AACTAACATTGTCAGTAAAAAATAAGCATGACAATTAGTCATACATAAGTCAACTAACATTTTAGTCCTTACATTCTTTTCACAGCTAGGACTAGTAATCATTTTCCAAAATGTCAGTAACACATGAAAAGCTATGAAGCATACCTAGCCTTCCCCTATGAAGGTACAACCCTGTAACTGTATTATTATTCATACATACAATAAAAATTCTTATTTCAATTCTGTATCTATTCTATCAATTTTTGGAAGAACAGTATAAAATTTATTGCTGGTGTTCTCCAGATAAATATCATATCGAATGTGATACATGTACCATAAAGGCAGTTAGATACAAACAATGATTCAACAACATTGAATATTTTCAGGTAAGTTGTCAGTGGAGCTTTTTCAATTAATTTCAAAAATTGTACATTGATTGATTCATAAAATATAAAAAAGTTATTATAATTAAAGAGGAACATTGTCAGTATTTACAATCAATAGATTTGCAATAATATCTTGGTTTCATATCATCTCTGATTGTACAATTATCAAAATACGTTGTTACTTAAAGACAGGTGGAAGTACTCACATAAAATTCAAGTTTTGAGTATTTAATATAATAATCATGTTATCCATTGTCTTTGGGAATCTTAGTATGTACTTGTGTATAGATATTTTGAAGTTACCTCTATGTTAAAATGCATCCCTGATTAGAGATGACACAATAATTATTATTGAAATATTACTATGGAGGTACTCACTTTATAAGATTTGAGTTTTGAGAATTTAACAAAATAATACATATATGCTCTGTCATTGTGGAATTTTGAAGTCAGTCATGCATTTTGACATGGAAATTGTAAAAATTAGCATATTGCTCTATGTTGAGTCAGTATTACAATAAATGAAATGTGTTACTGCAAAAATATCATAAAAATACCCACATGATCAATTTAATGTAAAATTCATGAATAAGTTCTATTTCGCATTTGCATGCAGATAAGAAATAAATTAATTCTAACCTATTTCAATGTTCAATAAACAAGACAATGGCCGAATATCACCTTTACAGAACATGTAAATACATGTATACAGTAAACCCATCCAAAATACTTAATGAGAGTTTTATATTAAGAAGTCTTCTATAATATTGGGTAAGTGTGCTGCTCACCTACAGTAGCATGTCAAGGTTACACTCTCATAAACCATTGAGAATAGTTTGTAATGAGGAACGGTGAGCATAGAACAAGAATCCAATATAATCAGAACATTGATTTATGAATTCTAATACTTCAATAATGCTTACTAAGAAAGAGGTCAGTACATTCATATAAACAGGATATATGAGCCCACAGAAAGATTTGAAAAATCAAATGTGTTTAGGGGAGAGTAATGAACAATTGACTTAGTCCCTCACAAATTATCTACAATTCAATTATAACAATATTGTACATGTTTTCAGCTGGAACTGAAATCCTGAATCAACTTTGGAAAACATTCCCGAGATCATGCAGTCTTCACTACATGGCCTGATCCTAGCTATTTTAATTGTCCTTAGTGAACACAGAGCAAACGGGGATGGGGACTTCCACGACTCTGCAGGGATTGTCCAATTAATGAGTGATAAATATGGACTTTACAGAACTGTAATGGATTTTGCCGAAATCAAACGAATGCTAGCCCAGGTGACATGCAGAATAAATGTTGAGGTTCAATGTGTGAATAAAAAAACTGGAAGAATTAAAAAGAAATGTAGCGATTTTTTGCAGCTCTCTCATTCAAATTGTTGCTTCTTGTTTCATGATTCAAATTTGAATAGTAACATTACTTTAAATTGTTACAAACATTGCTCCTCTGAGAGAACACCGATCGATCCACTCCCCTGCGTACCTGGAAGTTTAGATGGCACTGTTCGCGACGCAGCAGATTCTCAATTACCTTTGAAAGTTTATTGTGATGTTGAGGAAGAAGGAATACAGTTTGTAAAGCAGTGTGACACATGGCGTAAATTACATAAGCTATGCTGCAAATTACAGCTTCTTCCAACCGACAACATGTTAATTCCTTTAATGCCAAAAATTATTTGCACCAAAAGATGTTGGAAATAAAATTATAATATCATATGGAATGGAAGTTCCTGATATTCAACATCAAGTGGATTTCAGTTAATTTAATCTAACAATTAAGATTTCTGAAGCAATATTCATATGTTAATGTATTCTAGGTAAATAACGAGCGGGAATATATACTGTATCTAGGGATCTATCACTAAGTAGCGGGGCGGGATGGATACAGCCTGTATCCATCCTGGTCCCGCTCCTAAAAAGCGAACTCGATTTATGTTCATTTTTCCTATGCTTTCAGAAATTAAAGATTATATTTCAAACTTACGAATGTTGTATATTTTATCAATTCATTGATCTGCTAAGACTAAGAAAATGCATATTTTGAATTTTGGAACTTTATAAGGCAAAACTGACACACCTAGAATATACTAAGCAGCTTAGTAGGTATGGAATACACCTGTTATGTATGGTTTGTTTTAGATACAGGGTTTATCCCTCGGAAAATATAGAATGGTAACCATTCTTATAGAAAAACAATACATTGTTGTAAAAATCTTTAGTTTTCCTGAAATAGAGTGAGCACTTAGGGAGATTTTTAGAATAGACATGACAAGGAATGACATGTGCCAGAAATATTTTAAAATTGAAACAACTTTTCGTTTGCCTGCCCGCTAGATCTGATTCTCTCTTTAAATACAAGGCATTAACATGCAAAATGTCATCACCTGTTACAGATGGTGACCGCCAAACATCAACCACCAAACACCAGTTACAAAAAGTTGGAGACCAATATGTCCCATTTTTGGTGGTGACATAAAAATGTCTTGAAGCTCTCATTCAAATTGTTGTTTCTTGTTTAATCATTTGAACTTGAATAGTAACATAACTTTGAATTGTTACAAACATTGAAATCTAACTTTTGAATATTTAACTGTTAATCAACAGATACAAAAATGACCTTTTCAAAATAACACAAAAAATACCATGCACAAATTCTAATCTTTTTCTGGAAGTCCTGTACGACCCTATAGTAATTCATCACAAATAGTACAAGATTGTAATATTATATATATACTACAATATCTGATAAAATACATATACAGGGTGTCCATAATATAAGCCTTTCCCCTTTAAGGTACTTACTAAGAGGTTATGTCACTATGTCGTGAAATATGCCTGAGTTCTTCCCAATATAGGCCAACCTTGGGAGGCTCTATATTTGGGCAAGAACAAAGGCATATATATTATTATAGTGACATAACTGATGTATTACATACCTTTATTCCCATGACTACTTTGTATCAATGACGTAACACACCTGTGTGCAAGTAGAATTTGATTGAAATGAAACATGACATCATGGTATTGTCATAGTTATTAAATAAATCTAATATCAAAACGAGGTAGGCGGGCTAAATTGGGATTATCGGGCAATATCAGTGAATATAGCCAACTAACTTTCTTATTGACTCCATACAAATGCTTCGCTATCGCTAGGTATGTAATACAGACTCTTATGAACCAAAGCTACATTGAAGTGTACTTAGTGTAGTTGGATTAAAACGGAGTCTAAAAACTACACTCTTGCATTTATAGAAAACAGCAAAGACATGAAATGAGTCAAAAAGATTCAGAATTTTTGAAAAGTTGCTTCCTCCCTCCAAATGTAGCTTCAGATAATTTGAGCATCAAATATCTACAGGATATCCTTTAGGCTTTTATCCACTGGCTGATATCAATATCTGGACAAATGAGCATAGAAAATGAGTGCACCTATTGATGTCAACAATAGGATAAAATTTAGGATGAAGAAATATATATATTTATTAATACACTACTGTACTCCAACTAATATATGACGCTATTACATTTTGTGTGTTTGCGATTTTGAAGTTTCGCTGCTATTAATTATTGCTAATTTTCAGTCTATCAAAATTTTGCGGCTTTTAATTTTCTCAAAAATTTTCCTGGTTCTTTTTCTAATTTAGAACTCAAAATAAATTCAATAAAACAACATTCCTACCTTTTATCACCCTGCACTGGACAAAAATATGGTAAACATTGAGTGAGAATTTCTGGGAATTTCACTAATATTAAATTTTGCAGATTAGAACTATTGGAATTTCGCGGCTATTATATTTCACGAATTTTCCAAAACTCACGAAATATAACTGCATGCAAAAATTAACAGGAGTACAGTATTTACTAAACTATCATGATTGTAAATCTATGACTTTATATCAGTGTATGTAATCTATTACGTTCAACATATTTCAATAAGCCAATCATAAGGTGGATGGCATATTTTGTATTATATAGGAAATCTCCATTCCTGATGCCCGATAATCCACTCCGCATTGTGTTCAACTGTTTCTCTGCATATGTAAATATATAGTCTACACATAGCATGCAGCTTAATACTGTTCAGGTTATAACTGTGTGGCATATGGCTTTAAGAAAAGCTCAGAACAAACTGAATGTTACTTCCCTATATGTGGTGAGAAAACGCATCAGGCCTTGAATTTCGGTAATATGATAATAACAGGGTTTGGGCCTCTCCTGTATGTAGCACCCTGTGTAATGTGTAATACACTAAATTTCAGCAACATGCTCTGAGTCTAGCAGACTAAAATTCCTCTTCTAAACTGGCCAATACAGCGTCATCTATGTTACCTGTAAAAACACAATCATATTATAAAATACATAGCTTGAAAGCAATCAACACAAATTCAACCCACTCCAAATACAATATATTAAACTCATTTAAAAATAATGAAATTATATTCCAATATTTACTATCTACCTGTGTATAAATATTGTCTTGGATTTCTGCAAAGAATTGGAAAATTGATGACTGCAGAATATATTGATTAAAATATTTCCCTTATTATCAATCATTGAAACAAGAGCTGAGTTGAAAATCTTTTTGCAATAGAAATCATGAAAATTGGGCTTTGTCAGAATTTCACACCTACATGGCAGTGATGATAAACAATCTTGGTGGTAAGATAACTGACAGTAGATAATTTATACTTTACATTACAATAATCAAATTCAGTTTAATATCATGTGTACTTACTGTCATCCCAGACATCAGCTTGTCTTGTGTCTGTCACCATGGCAACTGGTGTGTTTTCCTTCATCTCAAACAGAGGGGCTCTGATGCTGCCTGGATCGTTCGCAGACTGTCCTGGGTTATTGAAGCGTAATGGAGAGGGGACCACAACTGGCTTAAAATTGAATCGTTGCTTGGGGGTTGTGATATTGCTGGTGGATGGTGTAAGCATTGTTGGGTTAACCCTCCTTGCAGTTGCAGTGTTTGTACTTGGTGTATATGAAACTTGTTGAATATTTGGGGTAGCTCCATTAATCCTTTGAGAACGTTGTACAATGTTACCCTGTAAAGGGGTTGTGGAACCACATTCCATGCTTCTATTTTGGACAGTATGTCTAGCTGGTGTAATACATACTGGAGGCCTCATTGCTTGAGAACTGTTCTGTTTTGAAGTATATCCAAGGGGTTTTATTGCACGCTGTGGGGTATTTTGTAAACGAGGAATTGGGATCTGATATGGCGTTGTATTAAATAAGGGGGTGCTGTGCGAATGTGTACCGACTGTACCTCCTAATTGTGGGGAATTTTGTAAGCTTAGTCCACCTGTCCCAATCATTGGGGAATGTATAGGCATAGGGCTCTCTGGAACATTCTCAGACATTTTCTCCAAGTCTGCAATGTTCAATTCACTTATACTTGCACAATTTATTTCCCCATCTGAGAGTTTAGAATACATGCGTACCAGGTTGTTGGGGGTTATATTGAGATAATGGGCTTTTCCAGATGGACTGAAGACACCAGCCTGCAAAACAGGGTTAGAATATATAACACAAGAGTTCTGCCCTTTGATTCAACTGGAACAGTCAAAGATTCAATACATTTAAATGGCACAATTTATTGGGAACACATGGTGATCCCTTATTGAATTTAGAAACACTATAAGTGATGCAGATATATGAGCATTAGTTCAAATGAATGATCACTTTCATTTGTCAGTAAATCATTGATGGATAGACAGAGGGACAAGTAAGCAATTCTATAGGCTCATCATGTGAGCCAAAAAGCAGTTGATTTCCTCGGCCTTATCATGTTATTCAGAAAAGGTGATGGAGCAGGAGCATTAAGTATATTTCATCTATTTATCCTTCCCCGAACATTGCTATGAAATAAATAAAAAATGCATATTTAGATACAAAATAAACTTTTGCGGTATAGCTAAACATGAGACAGACAAAGGCAACTGCCATACCAAAGTTTCACTGAAAAATAATGTTTTAACAATCATATTAAGTTTGCCTTGCCAAACCAAATTTACTTCATCTATAGAAAGGGCCTACCACATACCTGTCTCAAGATGAGCACTGTGCCAGCTTGTAATTGAGGCTGGTAGTCCCTTATAACATCTCTGTGGATAGTTCCCTTGATTTTACCTGCATAAAGAACAGAGCAAAGCTTCTTAATATCTACATGTTTTTAAATGTAAACAATGTTTAGAATTTCTAAAGTTCATTGTTTACATCATTAATTCATTTATTTTATTTATTGAACTATATGTTTCCAATTAAGTTATAGTTGTTGTATGTTTAAATTTATTTCAAAGTACCATTAAGTCATTTACTATGTTCTGACCTGTTGGATCTTTTAAAATGACACTGGCATCATTTGGTAAAATCTCCACATTGTCGATGAGAGCACACAGTAATGGCACCTTTCCCCTGGGTAGAAGCTTCTTGCTAGCCTACAATCATTTAGCATCCATACAAATATGAAATAATTGAAATATTATTACCATAATTCCTGACTCAAATTAATATGTTTCATTTTAAAATGTGTGGAATTTTTTACCATCCTACAATCATATAGCACACATTATATTTATTCTTCAAGTACATTCACACCCCTTGGGGTCAAGTACATGTACTACAAACAAAAAATTATAACAATTATAAAGGAAAAAGAAGACATTTACATGTAAAAAACTACTTAACTATCAGTATTACTATTAAGGATGATGATGCGTTGGTGCACTAGATATATAACTATTGGTAATGGATGTAAATATATATTTTGCTACATTTATACAGTTTTGATCTTTACCAGACATCAAATAAATAAATAGATTTTCTTGTACTGACATTTTCATTTTAGACAACATTATACTTCTTTGTTTATTATATTTCGTACAGTGAAGGAGATTAAGTGTTCTTCATTTTCTATAATATTGCATGTTTCGCATTTTTTCTCTTCCAGAGGTGTCGGTTTTGGTCTTGTGTAGCGACCGAGTTCAATTTGGAGATTATGTGCACTTATTCTAAGTTTAGTAAACTCTCTACGCAGGTCAAAACTTTTATAACATCTAAATAATTTTCATAGGCAAAGTTACTTTTGAATGTGTTATAAGTTCTTAATTTGTTATTGCACTTTCGTTTTTGTGTATCATTAGAGATTTTATTTTTCCATAATTCATGAAATTGGCTCCTTAGACTTTGTTTGCATTCAGATAAACCTCTGGTGTTATATCTAGTATTTCATCAGTATTCATTAATATTTTAATCAATTTTAAGAACAACGAATACCATGACAAGTGCAACATAAATAAAGAATGACAAAGCACATTGTTTGGCTGAAATTGGGAAGTTTCATTTTAAAATGAGCAGATTTCTTTTATGTACATAACATAATTTATTAGAAGTGGTTAAGACCTTGTTTTTTGATGATACTATTTGAATAAATGAACACCTACAATAGCATTTTAGAAAATAGAAAGTATCATCAATTGCCTTATGAAAAGTGAATAGGACATCTCTATGTCAAGTCTCTAGTCCTTATTTGAACTCAACAATATATGGGCATTATAAAATACACATGGGCATTTTACAACAAAGGGCCATTTTAAAAACTCCAGTTTTTTCTAATATCTACCGTAAAAACTACCGTTCTTCACCAGTCAATTGGAAAATATATGCTAAACACAAGGTTATCTTTCATTAAAAAGGGTTGAGATGGTGTAATGCCCACATTCAATGAATTTTAAAAACATAGGAATTAACATGGTTGACATGACATATAAATGTCAACAGATATTGAAATCTCAGTATAGCAATCCTATGCTTAGGGCTGATGAAAAATTCAGTTGAGATTAATCCAGGATCCTTTACTTTCTTATGGCAAGAATTCTATTACTAAGCTACAAGAGTAGCTGACTTTCACACATCAAAGACAGCATACACAGCATTGCATGTCAATAACCTCCATAATAGGGGAAAGGGGTTAAATCCTATGTTCACAATTTGAAATAAATACTTGATATTTTACCCCAGTCCCTTACCTTCCTGAGCACTGTTGCAATGTTGTGATTGGTTAGAATTGTTTCAGAGTCATGGCCCAGTTCTGCTGTCATTGCAGTCCAGGCTCCATGTCCAAAATGATCCTCACTGGACTGGCTCAGCTGGCTTAACACTGGGGTATTCTACAATACAACATGATTTTCAATGCAACATGTTCAACAATGCAGAATCAGAATACAACACAGGCAACATTACATGGGTATTCTTCAATACAGATCCATTTTACAATATTGGATCATCCTATGAAAAAAAATAGATTCAACAATACAGTGGCATTCTAAAACACAGGTGCAATCTACAATATAAGGACATTTGTTTGGATGTCAATGGGAAAGTTAGTGGGCTATATCCACCTATGTCTGATAATACCTGATTACCCCGATATAGCCCGCTAACCTTGTTTTGATATTAGATTACTTTAATAACCATGACACTATCATGACGTTATGTTTCATTTTGATCAAATTCTACTTGCACACAGATATGTGATGTCATTGATACAAAGTAACCATGGGAATAAAGGTAAGTAATACATCAATTGTGTCACTATGATGTGAAATATGCCTTTGTTCTTGCTAAATATAGAGCCTCCAAAAGTCGGCCTATATTGGCAGAACTCAGGCATATTTCACGTCATAGTGACATAACCTCTAAATGCACTGTACATGTTACATACTGAACAAAACTGGGGCATTCTACTGTCTGTACAGTAGAGAAGTATTTTACAATAAAATGCATTCAACAAAACAAAGATATTCTACATTACAGTGGTACTTAAATTTATATATAATTTAAAATTTACGGCAAATTTTACAATTTTATACAAGATATTTTAGATTTAGAGCACAGCTTCATATTGAAAATGCCAATCGAAGTTACTTAAGTTAGTTAAGTAGTATGAAACAAAAATGTGAACTCTGAACATCTTCTGATTCAGATGATACTGTTACCTTATCTGGTGAAACTCTATCCTCACTGGGAATCACAACAGAATCAAACCCAGTATTTTCTGCCTGTAAAAATAAAACAAGTTAATGAGTCAGTGGTTCAGGTCAGATATATACAGTAAGACATGTTTAACCTGAACATCACTTAGACCATGCAAATGTTCAAATAGATAGGTATTCACCTTTGAAGGGTTTTTCGAAATGAATGATTAAAAAATGGTATGGAAAGAACACTGATGTTGAGAGGTGTTCAGATTGTTCGAACATACTGTAAAACGGGTAATTTTGACACCGGGAAATTTTAGCGATTTTTCAATTTTAGTTTTTTTTTTAATCTTTAAAAAATCAAATTAGCGAAATGCATTGGAAATTTTATCATTTATGGCAGAAGAATGAATAACGGACATGACAGAGGAATTATCAAAATGTAAGACTTCTAACGCACATGGTATTGGTCCAAACTACTGTAATCTCATCTGACTAACCACAAAATCACGGTAGCATTTAAAATCGTTGATTTTTTTACAAACCGGAAGTCGAGCACTGAACGAAAAGCTCCTTAAATACTAGTATTCATGTAGTTTCCCGGGAATTTGCAAATTTTAGCGCCCGGTTTATTTTAACCCCCGGTTTATTTTAGCGAATTGAATTTTTAGCGAAACTATAGCGATCGCTAACAATCACTAACAATTACCCCTCGCTAACAATACCCGTTTTACAGTACATGTTTTCTGTGCTTCCTGTAAATCATAGAAGAAAAATGAGCAACTATACATATAACATATTATTGCTTTTATGACTTTTATGTAGAGCAAGACTTCCAATAATATTTAAATATGATAAAATGGATATCTGGCTATCTGCACAAAAATAGAGTTTGATATTTACGATAAACACTGATAGTGATAAGTTAATTTTGCATATTATTTCGTCAGCTGTTGCCTTACCAATTTTGGAAGAATCCCTGCTGGACCTGGAAATTTCCTTTTTATTCTGCGGGGCCCATGTTTAGTTGAGATGGGAGTAACAACACGTTGTGCTGGCTGTCTTGCTGGACTAGTGGTCACAGGTACCCTTACTCTCTGGGGTGCCTGACCCAACACACTGGGAGAGTTTGTAGAGATGTTAGACCTTGCTGGCATTGATGGTTGAGATGCTTTAATTGGAGTTCTTGTTGAATTTTTGAAACAATAGGTCTTTTTATGCTGTTCCTTGTTTGTCACTTTATTATTTGCAGGAGAATTTGTATTGTTTACTGCAGAGAAACTGGATTTATTTACATCAGCAGTTGAATGTATATCAAATGATGGTTGAATACTTGTGGCAGGCTCTGTTTGTCTTTGAGTCGAGAGTTCTCTTTGAGGTGTGACTTGAGCTGGTCTTTGTTCAGTGTTGATTGCCAATGGTATTCTATTGGCGGACCTCATAATGTTTTTTGCATTCGAACTAAAATTATGTTGGAGAGTTGTTGGTGTAAACTGATTTTCTCTACCTTCATTGCTATTGGTCTCAATCTGAGGTGCCTTAAATATTTCCCTAGACAATGCTTTTTGTACCGGAATTGAACTTAATCTTGATGCTCCATTAAGAGTGTTCTTTCCTAAAGGAGATTCACCAAAACTTAAATCTAAATCAGAATCATAGCTATCCTGACTGATTTTAAAAATCGCACTTGATGTCAAAACATCTGTTGGTTTTATTGCATCTAATATATTGCTTTGCTGTTTTCCGGACTTATGACAAACTGCTGCGACATCTATATCTAGCTCAAAGTCTGGGCTGTTTGAGGATGGTATCGAACTGACTGGAAGTTCTGGTGAAATTGACTCCATAGAGTTTTGATTAGATGTATCTGAGTTAAAGTCAATCACAGAAGGATAATTCTGGATCTTATTTGATATAGGTGACACGGTAGGACTAGACTCAGATTCTTGTTGATTTTTGCTGATATTTCTATTACTAGGAGAATCATCTTTGAGAAATGATGCAACCTTTTGTGCTGAGATTTGAACCCTCGTGGGTTGATCCATTGGAAATTCCTCACTAAGTTGAGAGGATTTGACAATACTTTCTTGGCTATCACTAGATGTTGTGAACTTCCCAGGATAATCACGAAGCTCATTATGAAAATTGTCTTTTGTAGACTTAAATTTGAATTTCTTGCTTGGTGATATTAACAAGTGTTTGGTTTTAACATTTCTAGATGACAGATCAACTGATGACACTTCTGGTGATTTCCTATGATTAACTGGGTGATGAGATGATTTTTCTACAGAGCCAATTTCAAACGATGAGCGTTTCTTTGTGACCTTTGGTTGAGAGGCCTCTACTTCTAAAGCTGCAGCCAGGAAGTCCTGAAAATAATCAATGTATATTACATTTTTCATTACAATACCCACTTTTTAGCTTTTTAATATTCAACCCCAAACAAAAACACCTAGGTGCATTAACTTGGAAAACATATTATTCAAATGTACTTAACTCAAGACACATATTAAAATGTGAATCTTTGTGCAACTTTACTAACAACATTTTGATAATACCAAGTGTCCTATAACATTTGCAGCTGATTTGAATTACTAACCTCATCCTCCAAGTCAAAACTGTCATCATCATCTTGTATTTTAAACATGATGGTGGATTGCTTGATGAAATCCAGTCACTGAAATTTAAGCAAATGAGAATTAACCATGTTGTCAACAATGCAGTTCATGGGCCATTGAGGTAATTGCTGGCTGCTCTGTTTCCATTTTTCTGGCAATTAGGGCAATTGACATCACCATTTCAAATTGTTTTATGAATTTTAAATGAAAAGAACAGGCAAAATTATTTGAATCATAATTTTAATTATAATTTAAATCAGTTTTAATAATATATTGTTTTTCATGCATCTAAAATCTAAACCTTGGTTAGATTGATGGTCTCATTCACCGTTCCACAGCTGGATGTATTACAATGTATTTTCATGGAACTTGTTAAATATTTATGTTTGTTTATGATCTTTTTAATTGTCTTAAAAATTTGATCGATGTCGATGTCATTTGTTAGGATAATATTTCATTACTTGCTCACTATAAAATACTACAAATTCACTATTTTAGTAACTAAAGTAAAAAAACAATACATATATATACATGTAAGTATATATATTTCAAATATAAATGCACACTTTATTTTATTTCTACAAAGAAGTGACCATACGTATATAAGCAAAATTCCAGGTGGCCATTTTTCTGACAATAAAACTTTTTACATCTCATTTTCAAATCTTTGCAATATTCTCGACTACAAATTATTATTTCAAGTCTATCATATGTCAAGTTAATATGACAAAGGAAATAATACTATATTTAAAATATGTATGTGGTTTAAAATGGAATCATAAAGCCAGGTGCCCAAGGATACACCTAGGTGGTATTTAGTAACACCCGCATGAGGTCTTTGTTATTCCAAAGACATTTCACCATGGGCTTTCAACTAGAAGGGTTAGCAACAAAACATATACATTTATCTAATACTTTTTGAAATATTACTATAAAAGGGAAGCATGGCATTGCTCATTTTTAGGTCTCATGTTTATTACACAGAGTTGCACACATGCTATCTATTGCAAGGCTTATGCCTGGCACAACCGTCACCATGTAATCAATTGTTTTTAAGTTTCGCAAAGATCCTGCCATGACCGTGGTATTGTTATCGTGAAAGCCTGGTATAACCGTGACAATCCTATGTTATATTGCAAGGCCTGTCATGACCGTGGTAATGTTAACGCCTGATATGACCGTGACAATGCTATATTATATTGCAAGGCCTGTCATGACCGTGTTTTGTTAAAGCCTTATATGACTGTGGCAATGCCTGTAATGACCGTGGTAATGTTAAAGCCTGATAATGATAATGTGATAATGCTCACGTTCTTGAATGAGATCGTAGAATTTTAGTTTGTGGAAATGAATTATGAGTTAAAGTAGTACATGTAGTAGTAGTCTAGATTTACATATTTAAGGTCAGTCATATCAGACGTGGGTCATGACACTCAGACAGGCCTTGCAACCATTGTCACCCCCATATCAAGCTTTAACACTACCACGGTCGTGTCAGGCCTTGCAATATAGTATAGCATTGTCACGGTCATATCAGGCTTTAACATTACCACAGTCATGACAGGCCATGCAATATAATATAGCATTGTCACGGTTATACAAGGCTATCACGATAACACTATCACGGTCATGGCAGGATCCCTGTGAAACTTATAAACACTTAATAACATGGTGACGGTTGTGCCAGGCATAAGTCTTGCAACAGATAGGGTCTCGAGTTGCATACCCTTCTAACAAAAAACCCCATGATTTCAGTTACTTCGAGGAAATATCTTATTTACAGACCTATCACTCTTTGTTGTTCTAATTTCTATGTATTTTTTTTTGGAGAAGAGTTACACGTCTCCTGTTAGTCATCACAAGGTTACCAGAGAGTGTCAACAATTGAGAAAAATTTCGTTTTCATTTTGATTTTGAAAAAATAAAATTAAAAAATCTAGATCGTTGGAATTAGTAAGCAATAGAGCACAGAAACGTACAGTAGATACTATGCACAACACATCATACAAACACTCTTCAGTATAATAAACTCGAAAACACTTAATCAAAGGTAGAAAACTGTCAAATTCTCACCTAAATTTTATCTCAAATTTTCCGCCATATTTAATATTACCCACAATGCTTCAAATATACACTGGACGAAATACTTCAAAAAAAATGGGACACTGGCAATAACGTTGTATCATCTACTACCACGTCTTTTATTCAGACATAATCCTCAGCACTATGAGATGTGTTCAATGTGGTTGTTGGAACCTATGGAGTTCCATCTATCCTAGGATTTAACTTCTTCTAAGGCTGTATTGGCTAGAGACTCGAGTAACCTAAGATGTTTTCTTCATCCTAGATCTATCCCAGAGGGGAAATAACCCCAGAATTCAAAGATGACATACGCGTCTTATCATGTAAACTTGTATTGAGATGACATACATCTCTGATTGGTTTAAAAATCGCCAAACAAATGAGGTCATCAATGGTGGCTACAAAATCTTTGAAATACGCTTCGAATAATATAATGTTCATTTCTGGCATGTAGCCAATATAATAGCTTCTTATTCACATCAAGATAAAGAAAGGTGTACGGAATAAGCCTATATAAATTAAAACATTACATACAGGTGTAGTATTTGGAAACTAGGTGGTGAAAATTCAAACAAATGAAGGTGGTAAGCAAGAGACATAATTATGTCTGTCATCTCTAAAGCTCTGGGGTTTTCCCTCCTCTTCATCTATCCCAAGGATTGACTCCCAGGGATGCAACTCAATAATTCCAACAATAAAAATGTCAGAATGTTATTTTCTGAAACTATAACTTATTGCATAGGTCATCACAAAAAAAGACAGCCAAAATATCACTTTAAAACATGAAGTTGATTCAATCAATATCTAGTTTATGCCATGAATATCTCAAGTGTTTTACAAGGCATAGATACGAGTATATCAACAGATGAAGAATTGAGTTATTCCATTTAATTAGTGGAAAAGAAAATATCATTAGAGAAGAATGTTGACTTACTTAAACTAAATTCAAGAAAAAGTCCAGAAAGTCATTTTTAAATTTCTTTATGTCAGTTAAAACCATAATGAAATTAACATTGTCCAGTTTTATTAATATTATTACTGTCATTATTTGGGTCTAATCACAAACCAGATGAACATAGTATGGATTGAGGAAAGCCTTTTCAATAAAATTATGTACTGATAATCTGACATCCTTCTTGTGAAAAAATTCAAACAGCTCTTGGTAAATGTAAAATAATATAATGTGTGAAAAATAAATTAGTCCGTGAAGAAAAAGAAAACACATTTTTCGAAAATAAATAGAGATTTATTTCGTAACCCTTTTAACTATGCATAGTTTCCATATGATTTCAAATCAATTATGGTAATCAACTTATGATGTCATAACAACTATGTGAACCAACCATATCACAATATTTGAGAATTTCAACCCATTAATAAATCTATTCTTTTTAGATAGATTAAGGTAGGTAGAGATCAATACTTTGCATATTAAATGTCATATGCAACAGGTTCTAAAGTGGCCCCATTAGGCCTACCTTAATGCTTTGTTATTCTGCCAGATTTGCCTCTTTGGGAGATAATTCCTCATTCTATAATAACCCCAAAAAATATTTTATTCATTAATATACGTATTAAACTTGGACACAAACCTTTTCCTGAAAATGTCAAAGTTTGAAAAATCGTCATTTAAGCAGTACAAGTTCTGAAACAAATATCTACTCAAATACTTAACAACTTTATAATGGAAATAATTAATTTTCTTGAATAACAATTTTGTTTCATCAATAACACAAGAGAAGGTTTGTGGCCTAGTGTATCGATTCATGATTGTGTAATATAGATATTAGCCGTTCAACTAAATTGCAAAATAACAATGAATGCAATCTGTATTAGATATACAATAACTTATTTTATTCCATAATACTACTGTTTTCCAAGGGAAATATGAAGGAATAAAAATCGTATTGAATCGTATTACATGAAAAAATCGTATTGTCCCCGGGAAAAAATCGTATTGGAGCGTATCACATGAAAAAATCGTATTGTCCCCGGGAAAAAATCGTATTGGAACGTACTAACCTATTTTTGGTTTTCCTGTTATTTTTAACCTTACCTAATTGATAAAAGCATTTTCAAAATGTAACATTTTAGTGGAATGTATTATGGAATAAATAGGTTATTTCTGGTCGGGATTGAATATGGGTTTCATTCCTCGGAAAATATGATATTGACCTTGGGAAATATCATATTGACACTCGGTCGCTGCGCTCCCTCGGTCAATATCATATTACCCTTCAGTCAATATCATATTGTCCCTCGGAATAAAACCCATATTCAATCCTTCCCAGTAAATAACCTATATGCATCCTAAATTAATAAATCACTTCTGTGTCTTAACATTTCTTTCTATTGTACTGTACACATATATACATACCAATATAATATCAAATATAATTTTGTTTCATATCTTGAATAATAAGCACATGTTAACATTTCAAATGTAGACTTCCTGATATCTGTAATTTGTTATACATATACAGGTCAATACATATGCAGCAAACCCCTCCAAACCATTTGCAACTAGCTATAGTAATTGCTATCTATCCCAGATAGAGCATTAACTATTATTCCCTCCTTTATTTACAAAAGATATGTGTCTAACCCAGAGTCAGTCTGGTAACTACATATACATGTACTTGTATAGCCTGGTATACGAAGTATAAAACCTGTGTAAGTGGAACACCTTTGCTACCTCTTAGATGTTCCATTTACAGAGGTTCATTTTACAATAAGTAAATAAGCCACTTACACATGCGCTCAACTTGACATCCTATATTGTATACCATACCCAATATGGTATATGTGACCCTTTACAGAACAAACAGCTGAAACCCACTCTTAAATAAACACACGAGTGGAGCATTGAGATAATTTTCCTAGGAATAAAGACATATGTTTTAGAGACAGTTCAAAAAAGTATATGTTTAACAAAAATAATGCAAACTATAGCCAAACTTTGCATGCAAAACTTCCATACACAGCACTTACAGAATACCTGGGTACAAAAACCAATGAGTGAAATGGTCTGGCAAGGAATGTCCCCTAAAATTTATAAATCTTTATTTGCCTAAATCAGTATTTTTTACTTATCTGATCTTGAATTATTACAGAAATCAAAATAAGTAAAAGAGACCGACTTGGGCAAGGCTACTTAATTATATCCAGTACAAAATATGACATGTGTATTGTCTAACAAGGGAAAAGGACTGTTCTTAATTCAGACAGAGCTTACTACATACTACATAATTGAGATTATGCTTTAAGAGAGATTAAAATTTACTACAGTATGTACTATTTCACTATAAGTATTTCATCAGCTGGAATGTATACTAGGACTAGACTAGTTAATGTAAGTTGATTAGCATCATTTTGTTTTTCTATGATGATTGGAAACTATTTCTCAAATCTTTAATATTTTGACTATAGAATACAGTACAATAATGCAATAATGTATGAGTCGAGGTTTCATTTCATTAAATTCTGCATGGACTAACAGTTTAAAAAGATCTTTGAGTATATGCTCAACAATTCCTCCTAGAATGAACCATAGATTCAAGATGAAATTATTTCAAGTTATGCCTTCATGTATCTGAGCCCCCCCCCCCCCTCCCAGCTCCCTAGACCCTATATCAAGTGCTTTATAGTTTATACATCATGTATTTAATCAATATCACAGATCTAAACTTGTGCATATAGCTAGAATATTATCTCTATTCGTGACGATGGAGTAGTTCATCCAAAAGATTAAAGGCCCTGTTTTTACTAAAATCTTTTTCATATGTTATTGCTTGTTTAAACAAAACATGTGAAATGTCACCACCTGCCATTTATTACAGATGCCAAACACCAACCACTGAACACTGTCCACAGTCTCAAATCCTGGAATCTTTTGCATGTAGCACATGTCATGATGGCTTTACTGTCTTTTGGATACTACCCCATGTTATTACTTCTAGACTCAATAAACCTTAATGCATAGAATATTGGTAGTTTCAAATAACAAAGGTACTAAATCCTAAAGTTGTAGAAACTAGGTTCCATGTTGTATATTTGCGCCTATTGTTCCATGTAGAATATATATTTGCTTATATTGTACCATTTGGTATATATTACGTATGGTACCATATAAGTGTACATGTAGTATATTATAAGTTATTGAATAATTTGAAGTGCAATACAGGATATATTCTGCTCGAGAAATCATTTGAATGAGACGAAGTCGAGTGCCAATACAGAATATCGAGACCAGAATATATCCTGTATTGCACTTCAAATCATTCTATAACGTTTTTATCGTGTGATGCTCTGTATTGCTACTGAGAATGTCCCCTTCGTACCAATATTTTCTATATTGCGACAGAGATGATCAATGGGGACAATCTCAGTAGCAATACAGATGGGTACAGCACAAGAACTGACCAATCAGAAGGCTTCATTTTACAGATCATACGATAAATGCACATATTGTAGGATGTTTTATATAATATGCACCTATGGTACCATATATTATAAATGCATCTTAGGTACCATATTCTATATATGCAACTTTGGTATCATGTATTCTATATGCACCTCCTGTACCATGCTCTTTATATGCACCTATGAATTAAGTGTGCATGTAGTACTTTTATATGCACCTATGGTACTCTTCTACAATCACTTTGTGGAAGTAAGTCTTCTTTTTCAGCCTCAATAGCAGCCTTGGCATTCTCCTCAATTTGAATTTTCTCTTTCATCTCTGAGCGTTTTACGAGGGTGTAAGCAGTGGAGCCCCCTAGCACGACAGCATTGCTACACCACCATAACACTGGTTTAACATCTGCATACCATAAACAGGCAAGAACTGTTTGTGCACAGGCTTTGGCTGTGCCTGATATATTATGAGTCAATGGGGAAGTGACTTGGATTTGTAGTCCCGTGATATACCCTATAGCAAATCCAAACACTCCACTTAAACACATAAACATCCAAAATTGAATATCAGATAGTTTTTCAAATGAAAATATAGTTTGTGGTTCTCCTGATATGATCATGAGTGGAAGGAAGAGGACACAAGCATTGATGTTGTTATAGAGGGCCAAACGCCATATATTATTGTCGACAGCTGGGAGTACTTTCTTTGTATAGATGGCGTATAATGCGACGGAACAGCTAGCAGCAACACCATAACATACTCCAGTGACAGAAAGCGAACCTAAAAAACAAAATAGTATATTTGACATTGTTATTATGATTTAATTAAACGATGGCGAGATAGATTGAAGGGTTTGAAACTATGAACAACATTTGAAGTCTCTGGTTCCCTGATGTATCCCTTCCTTAAATAAACCATGCTTTGAGAAAATTAGAGGAACAATGCAAGGGATGAAGTAAATTTTTGTAGTTGAAAATGTTATATTAAGTGGGGCTTTTGCTATAAATAAACATTAAACAGCTTTATTTGTTCTTATAGTTTACAGCTATTTGTATCGCAAATGTTTCATATACATCTCTGGTTGTCCTTGGTTTTACCATTTTAGCCTACATACAAGATTGCCATTGTAGAACCAAGGGTTATGATGGCTGTAGGGGTCGGAGATGGGAAATTACATACCTGCTGATCCCTCCTGGTCAACTCCCAAGAAGAACCCAGCAATTATGACTCCACAGCAAGCCATGGCTTTAATGGATGTTGTCTGCTTAAGAATGATGTATGATAAAATCTGAAAAAAGGAATTTACACATGTACATGCCAGATCAATAAAACTCTGAATAATGATAATTTTCATCATTGACAGGTAGATTAACTTAATCAATGATACAACATTTTACAGAGACAGGTTGTCAATATTTCCAGTAGCAAAGAATAATAACAAAAATCTTGGAGGCAAGCAATAGATACAGAAATATTCAAATTGATTAGAAGTACATGTATCAATAAAAAGAGGATGTCTAATTTTCAAAAAATTATTATCAGATTAAAAATCATAATCATAAATGGTAAGACTTTTTAGAAAACAGACATGACATGAAATGTTGGGAGCAAAGAGATATTGTAAAATTGTGAGCATTTTTTTGGAAAGCTACTTTCAACTCATTTCTAATCATTGTTGCTTCCATAAATTGTCATCTGACCTAAAAATGGTAATTCAATATTTGAACTTAAAATACACAATTGGATAATTGATTAATTGATTAATTGATTAAGGCAATTGCCCTGCAGGGCACTGACAATTTGAGCTCTGAGATCACCTATTAACCAATGCTCATTAATTAATGTCGTTATTAACACAATATGATAAAGTTCACTACAGTTTCACTATTAAAAATCCACCTGCTGTAATATATTATTGAGACTCCAGATGAACTTATTACATTTTCATTTTACATGTATATATTTTACATGTCCAAGCCAGTAGCCAGTTTTTGCCAAGGGGGTTCAATTTTCTCTCGTCAATCAGGCATGAGAGTTGATAGCAAATAAAATTCAATTTTTGGGCAAACAAATGCAAATCTAAAATAGCTAAACAATTGTAATTGACATTTATTGAAACAATTGCTTTCAACATTTTAATCTCTTTATTAATATTGCTGCAGCTGTTGTTTTTTCCAAATATTCAGTCAATAAAATGTTATCAGATATTTTATTAAATACATAAATACATACCACATTGAAGACTGTAGTGAGAGACCTGCCGACATAGTAAAATGCCACGCCCACATGTTTCAAACAAAGATTGTTGAAACTGATCATTGCCACAAATACGATGGACAGTGGAAGCACCTGTAAGAAAAATACATATATTTGAATGTCATTGTGCAGGTAGCTTGCAAACCTTATATGAATCTAATTCATGAACACCAACTTTGCATCACTCAAGTAGCTCAAAGAAGCATTCCCAAACTGCAGCCGAGGTCTTAAACATGGCCTCATCGTGAGAAAATATTACCACCATCTGGTTTCAACAAGGCTTAACAATTTGTTGGAGACACCAACAACAAGTTGGAAAAGACTTAATATGGTTATAGCATTATGTCATCAGTTATTGTTGTATTGGTGGTAACATACAAATAGCACCAATATCTGGAGTAGGCTTGAATGAATATTTAAAAAAAATTAATATAATTGCACTGAATTGCCCAATTCTACCAAAATCAACATAATCATGCACTTCAACCTGACTATAAAAATTTGGAAGGGTACCCCACCCCCCATTCATGGTATATTATTTATCATTATCAAATTAGATTAAATAAACAAGATGCTGAAATCAGAAATTGAATGTGTTTAAAATAAAAAAAAGTCATAAACTTTAAGTCACAGTAATATACAGGGTGGGCCAAAAAAAACCAATAACCAACTTTAAATCAGAATGAAAATAGCTATTTTCAATATGATACATTGATTTATATATCATTTTAAAGGAAATCCATTTTCAAACAATTTGGTATATAACACTATGTCATGAAATCAATATTTAAGTTTTATTATGCTTATTTGGGAGGCCGGGTCGGTATTTAAGGTATCCAGATTTTAGGGAGAAAATAGTAAATCTGCGGAATAATGTTAATTTTTTATTTACAGAATATCATTTTGTTAGGTGAGTACATGTATTCTAATGCATGTATATTTGCATATTGTGTGACTAAATTTATTGTTAATGAATTTTAGTGTTGTTTATTATCAATAAGTACTCAAAGAGGGTCTGTTAAAAGACATTAAACGTATATGTGACGAGGATTTTATTTTCCAACAAGACATTGCCTCGTACCATAGATCAAAGAATACATTGGCATTTCTTTGCAAACAAGGAGTCAATTTGATTGATCTCGATGCTTGGCCACCTAACAGTCCCAATGCTAATGTGTTTGATTACCATACATCGAGCCATCTCGAGGAAATGGTACAATCAAAAGCATCCAATAAACAGCATTGATGAGCTGAAATAGAATCCAAAAGTGCTGAAATCGAAAATCTCTCAATAAGGCTATTGATAGATTGTGCTACTACTTGAAGCTTATTGTTGATGCAGAGGGGAGGGGGTGGGGGTATATTGAGCAATTGTTAAAATTGTTTTAATAAATAAAGTGTAAAATGTTATTAAACAACACTGAAATTCATAAAAAATAAATTTAGTCACACAATGATGCAAATATCAATATCCAAGCATGTATCCACCTAACAAAAAAATGATATTCTATAAATAAAAAATTAACATAATCCCGCAGATTTACTATTTTCTCCCTTAAATCCGGAGACCTGAAATAGCAACCCGGCCTCCCAAATAAGTATAATAAAACTTTACTATTGATTTCATGACAAAGTGTTACATACCAAATTGTTTGAAATTGTATAACCTTTAAAATGATATGTAAGTCAATGTACCATATTGAATGTAAATATTTTTATCCTGATTTGAAGTTGGGTATTGGTTTTTTTGGCCCACCCTGTATATAGAAAAAGGTATTGGTAATATGTAAGTTTAAATTCTGGGTGTGTTTCATCAAATGATTTAAGTAATTTAAGACGTAACTTAAACAAAGCTATAATTAAAAATGTTGGTTTAAGCAATCAAATTTATTAGTATACCTATGTTTAGCTGCAGGGTACATAAGTTACATACATACATATGTACACCACATACTGTTAACCAATGTATTCCTTTAGTCATATATAATACATGTACCTTGATTGATCAAAATGCATATTCCAAACCATATGAAGTTATTTTAACATAAATCTACCCTTTGTTAGAGCTTTACATAATAACAAAACTCTTCCAACTAAAGAGGTTTCTTTGATTTAGTTTATCTAATCAGAATATGTTGACCGAAAATAACAATACTATTTCATGCCTCAAAGTAGATAACAATATTTCTCCTAATTATGTACAGGATGATCAATTTAAGATGAAAGATATCTTTACTGTATATATCTGATACGGTCATGAAAGATATCTTTACTGTATATATCTGATACGGTCATGAAAGATATCTTTACTGTATATATCTGATATGGTCATGAAAGATATCTTTACTGTATATATCTGACACGGTCATGAAAGATATCTTTACTGTATATATCTGATACGGTCATGAAAGATATCTTTACTGTATATAACTGATACGGTCATGAAAGATATCTTTACTGTATATATCTGATACGGTCATGAAAGATATCTTTACTGTATATATCTGATACGGTCATGAAAGATATCTTTACTGTATATATCTGATACGGTCATGAAAGATATCTTTACTGTATATATCTGACACGGTCATGAAAGATATCTTTACTGTATATATCTGATACTGTCATGAAAGATATCTTTACTGTATATATCTGATACGGTCATGAAAGATATCTTTACTGTATATATCTGATACGGTCATGAAAGATATCTTTACTGTATATATCTGATATGGTCATGAAAGATATCTTTACTGTATATATCTGATACGGTCATGAAAGATATCTTTACTGTATATATCTGATACGGTCATGAAAGATATCTTTACTGTATATATCTGATACGGTCATGAAAGATATCTTTACTGTATATATCTGATACGGTCATGAAAGATATCTTTACTGTATATATCTGATACGGTCATGAAAGATATCTTTACTGTATATATCTGATACGGTCATGAAAGATATCTTTACTGTATATATCTGATACGGTCATGAAAGATATCTTTACTGTATATATCTGATACGGTCATGAAAGATATCTTTACTGTATATATCTGATACGGTCATGAAAGATATCTTTACTGTATATATCTGATACGGTCATGAAAGATATCTTTACTGTATATATCTGATACGGTCATGAAAGATATCTTTACTGTATATATCTGATACGGTCATGAAAGATATCTTTACTGTATATATCTGATACGGTCATGAAATACATCTTTACTGTATATATCTTATACGGTCATGAAATACATCTTTACTGTATATATCTGTGATACGGTCATGAAAGATTCATTTGAGATCATTGATACCAATTACAAAATTGTAAATCATCTGAAACAGTCTATTAACATTTCATATTGAAAATACTAAGTCTGATTTGAGACATTCTGCAACTTTGGCCCTATCGTTTTCAATTTGGATATATCAAAATACCATATGATAACATGGTAGACTGACTGGAGAAGATATAAATCAGTGATGTAGTTCAGAATTGGTTTATCACCAAATTAAAGAAAGCGCCAAATTAAAGCAATTTACAATAAGTGCTTCCTAACTGATTCAATTGTACAAGCTGTGCAACATTGATCTGACATAGTATGCTTTGATCTTGGATTTCAATGAGAATACGAACGGATAATTGAATTTAGACTTTTTGTTGATTTTCGTATATTTGAAAATGAACACTTGTCATCAATAGAGCTTTTGTATTTTGTATATCACTCTTTTAAAAATTTAGAAAATGATTAATATTATGTAAACATTTTTAAAAACACATGAATTATGGATATACCACACTGATATAATACCCTGACATGTGAAACTGATGTAAAGTAGTTTTGTAATATGTAGTTGTAGTTTGTAGATTTTTGTACACTGTAGTGACTGATATGTCATTTACATGACATGGTTATTGAGTCAATAAAAGATAAATATATTTGCACAGTTTGATCTTTCCGATCCCTTGTTAAATTCTAGTATTAAGGTTTGGTGAATTTAAGTGGTTCAAGCTCAATATTGATAATTGGTTGATTTATGTGCATGTTATTGTAACATGAAAAACCTTTTGACATTTATCTAGATGGCTAAATGAGCATACAACTTCATTGATTTTGACTGTATCTGGTTCACATATTAAAATCCCACATTATTTTTTGAGAATCTAATTGCTTTTGTCCCACAGCAATGTTCTATTTTAACATTTAAAAAACAATGACATATATTAATATTTAAATATTCTAATTTTCTGTGGAAAATATTTTCTCAAAACTGCTAACAAAAGAAATCACACAATTAAAAATGTGAACTTGGACCAATGGAAAGAGACAAGAGTAAAAATGTACGTACCTCTCTTGAAACTTTTACATCTATCTTGAATTCGGGAAATGTTATATGTCCTGGCATTAGTTTGGCTAATACACCAAGGATCCCACATAGTGCTACAGTCACTACGCATTGGAACCATGTTACAAACAGGGGGGCATCAAGCTAAAAGTACAAGAGACATTTCATTGTAAAAAATCATATTATGACTCAAAAGTCTAGAGGCTAGGCAACAGTTATTTGGACCTTTTCCTCCCCAAATTGAGTTACTGGATCAATCACTGGGTGGATAAATGCATGCAAAGCCTGGGTTTGTAACTGTTGTCTAGCAGCTTTAGTATTTTTTAATGAGAATTGTTTCTGATTTCCTGGGTGGTTAAAATAGCAGGCAAAAGATGAGACAAAGTGGTCAAAGCATCGTCAGAACTATTTCATTTTGTGCACATTTCATGGTACTTGTATAATGCATGGCTGATTAAAATATTGAAATACATTTGACCAGAACATTTCCCTTGCCTATATTTATATTTCGACCTGTTTCCTGCTTAAACCATTTATAGTACTGGTCAGTCAAAAGTTGTTGTAAATTTGTTGTAAACCTGCCAATTTGTATACAGTAGTAACACCCCAGTCACATTTGTCGTACGGAGGGCGTGCGTCGATCGCAGATCAATTAAATCAGTGTATTTCTGCGGCGAGCGTAGAAAAACTACGCTCGCCTTGCGGCCTCGGTACGGCGAATCCAGTTTTTTACAGGCCGCAGGGTCGCCGTAGAAATCATAACTCGGAGTTATAATATTTGTTAATTTCTGAGGTCCTCGTAGAAATCAACTGGCTCAACAAGATTGAATCATTATTTGTCAATGTTTCACGATCACTTTTCATTTGATATTACATCCTAGCACTATGAATAACATTTATAAACTGTCCCGATGTAAATAAAATGAAAAAAGTATTATTTATCAACAGAAATTTAAAATTCACCGTGCGGCTGCTGTGGGAAATGTGACTGCAAAAGTAAGAGAGCACAGAAATTCCACAGCAAGCGTAGAAATGTTACTGGCCGCAGAAATGATAGACCGCAAGGTCGCCGTAGGAAATGTGACTGGGGTGTAAGAAAACAAGATGGACTGAAAAATGGTCATATTACAACATGTTCAAGATGTTCAGATATACAGGTTATTAATAAAGTGTAGTTACCTTGAGATCTTCACTGCTAAGTAGATACTTGTTGATAAACACCAGTGAGATTGAGACAAACCTAAAAACACAATTCCAAATAATATTATAAGTTCAGTTCAGCAACATGCAGGTTTAGGTGAGGCCATTTGATGCCAGAGTTACATGAACACTATCCCATTGTCTCTTAAAGGAGAAGTCTCTCAGCTAGGTATGGCCTTTGATCCCTCCCATTCTTTCATTTTATATTCCGTAACACCCGTATCTTGTGTTATTTATTTTGAATTCAAATATTGTATAAACCTTAGAAAGTTGAACATGTCAAGGGTATTCTATAAGAAATCTGTTGGTGGGAGTTAATTTGTTCCAATTTTATTCATCATGTAATATTATAAGTAAACCCTTTATAGCCAAATGGTACTTTGCTGTAAATTTTCAAAACCTGTTGCTCTCTGGAGAGATTTCAATTAGAAGATGATGTTAAATCTTTATTTTGAGGTACTTTGGAAAGTTTGAATTTAAGTGATATACACTCTGTATTTAGCAGTAAATCAATGGTGTTATCATATCATGTTTACAAAAAATGTATTTAAATGTATAATTGTATATACATGTATATATAGATGCTTTCATTCATCAATCAGGTGTTTTCAATTCAACATTGGTATAATGTAAAGGTGAATGTCAAATGTATGACAAGTTGTTTTTCTGAGCTGATAACATGGTCACACCGGAATAGCCTGACAGCAGTAAAGTCAGATACCGTTGTCACAAATGGCGGACGTAACCTTCACTTCAACTCTTTAATCACTTGGTTCTCCTTTCATGGGATCTTATCGTCGCTAATTCTGTGCATGTATTGAGCTCTTGTGATGTTGATAAATTTGATAAAGTTAGAAACCTAGTCTATACGACATGTCTTCAAGAAACTCAAGTAGTAGCATGATCAGATCCAAAAAAGAGTCATCTAACAGACATCCCTGACCAGCAATGAATATTACATTTCTGTTTTATGTTTATAAAATTTAGCTTCTACCTTTTGTGGTAAGCCACACCCCCACACCACCCCCACATCACCCCCACACCCCTTCTACATGTATTTTTCTTCCATGGCGAGAATTACTTAAACTTTACAACCAAGTGCCAAATAAATTTTGCAAACTATTTGAAGCCGAGATTACTCACCAATAAACACATACAATCCCAGCTATCTTTCTCAACTGTGAGTAATAAGAGCTCATCTTATATGATCTTATATATTCTGCTTATAAGTCCTTCCAACACCTTAATATTTTCTTATATGAAATAGCTTGATGAATATAGCACAATACTGGCATACAAGTTGAATGAGTACCACTTAAATAGGTACCACATGCATGGTGCCATGGTGGTGACAATTTTCACAACTTGATATTGCTAAAATGTCCCAGCATGTATCTGATGATGTTTCTTAATAGCCAATATTGATACATCTCTGTTTTTCTAAAATCATCTAGAAATAGCATTTGCATGATAGTTAATGTTTTTTCTAGAAATTAAGACACAGCAGATGTACAAGTTTTAAGCTTGGTAGGGATAAACAACTCCATGACAGTCCCCCAACAATGTCTCTCTGGCACTAGAACTGAAATTCTGAATAAATTCTGAAACTGAATAAGAGCAAAATGTTTATTTTAGTAAAAGAAAAAGTTTTTTAGTCAAAGTCAAGTTAATTTTCAACATTTTTTGGCAAAATAAAGACTTACATTTAAAGGACCATATGCACTCTCCATTGGGATCTCCCCATGAAAAAAAATAATTCGTCTGAGTTTTCAAAATGAGTATTCTGCTTTGATTATTACATTTATATACACACTAGTATCTTGTTGACCTATATTCAGCACTGTATTGATGTATAGGCCACTTATTAGGGTCATAATTCAATTATGAAGTGTATAGAGGCATAGATTCCAAACCAGGAAGTGTTTTTGTGTCTGTCAAAATCCATTTGCATCATACGCATCCCTACTTATCCAAATATGCTACTACATAAGGGGCGGGGTCAAAATATCGATGTTCATATGGAGACGAAAGTACTTTCGCGACGGGGGGAGGGGGTTTTTGGGCACTTTCGTTGACCAAAAAAACATCGATAATTCGGATCTGATATACAAAAAATAATTGGACTTACCCACTTTTTCTGGCGCTATGTTCTGATAAAAAGGCTTGTTTTCAATAGTTCGTGAGCTTTTTTGTATGATAGGTCCAAAATATCGGTAGATAAAGACGATAATTCGATCATTTTTCAAATAAATTCCGTACTTTTCCCTCCTCCTTTTGAAGAGTTCAATGCAGTTAAATTGCGAACGTGTGTTAATTCACCGTAATAATAACCCGGCAAATAGGATACGATGTTTTTTTGAAGTGACCTAAGCTTTCGTCTAGATGGGGGGTGGGGGGGTTGTTGTCCAAACGAAATTACTTTCGTCTCCATATGAACATTGATATTTTGACCCCGCCCCTAATGAAACATAATAGTATATTCTTTGGTTTTACAAAGTTGTATGATTTTTGATATGTGTAAAAGTTGTGTTTGGAGCATTTTTCTATGGCCATTTTGTAGGGAAAAAATGCACAATCTTTTAATTTTAAGTATGACCTGAATCGATTGCAAACTTCATATTTGCACATTTGATGAGATAAACCATTTGTGTCTTATTGTGAAATTATTAAGTTTGCAATCGATTCAGGTCATAGTGTATTTTTGGTATTTTTGTGATAATCAATGGAAACTAATGACCTCTATTGGGATCTACTGATATCCTCAAGTTAAGTCAATGATGCACAGCCCCATGTAAGTCAATACAACCTTACTGAACTAAATGGCCCCTATCTCAGCCTATGTGTGACAGAGCACTTTAATATTTTCCAAAGAGTTATATGACACTCTATTCTTCATGTTACACTTTAGAATTATTCATTTTGACCATAGGGGTATTTGCCAATGAACGCACCTCTTCCTTTTATATTATGTCAAATGTATTGATATTAAAAACCGTATCTTTCATTTGACACAAACAACAGCTCAAATGGACCACATCAAAGCTTGCAATAAATTATCAAAAAATTTTTTTGATCTGTCAAGCTTTATATATAAAGTTTTTATCAATGTCATTGAAATATGGCAAAGTTGTTTGTATTACATGATACAGCTGTACATTCATTTTTGTAGAAGTGTCGCCATCTTTTAAATAAATTGTAATTTAAAACATGCACTTTATTTAACATGTGGATGCATTCTAATGATCTCTGAACTTCAAATGCTTTTTTCTCTGTGAGTTATTTTTTTCTTGGTTCAATATTAAAGCAAATCAAACTTTGTGTCATATTCGAGCAAGTGTGTGAGTAACATGTTTCAATGGTTATTTTTTTTTCTTCTAAATTAAGTATAGTGCGCCTTTAAGTTTTCTAAAAACACAATTTTTTATTGTTTTTATTACTGGGAATTTTATATATATATATACATATATAACAGGCCTGTAGCCAGGAAGGGTTCCATGGGTTCGAGCGAACCCTCACCTGGCCAAAAAGTCTTTCAAAATCATGCAGTTTTTCACCATTCTGAGCACTTTTTCGTGATTTTGGCCATTTTTGGACCAAAATTGTCACAAGTAAACCCCACTGGAATTTATCAAAAAGTGAACCCCCCTTGGCAAATCCTGGCTAAAGACCTGTATAATATATCTAAGCGTCTGTTGATAAAAGCATAAAATAACTGAGTGTAAAGATAATGTCCAGTTTCAGCAATTTCTGGTGATCATGATGTCTGCTCAATCTAGTCTATATCCAAATTTCAGACTAGAGGATATAGTCTACTGCTCAATCCAAAGATCGTATGTCTACTCTGAGAATGTGACACACTCCAGATGATGTCACAGTCACACCTTGAGTCAATGTTTCTAAAATCCTTTCGTAACAATAAACACAGTTTGTTAAGGTTACGTCACGTGATCATTTGCTTTCATTGGCTGTTCGTGCAATCTCTTCTTTAGATAATAACCTAGATATGGATCCATTTTTACAAAAAAATCCCTACATGTGGTATGTGGGTAGATATTTTGAATCTCAACAGCACCCCCCCCCCCCCAACAAAAAAAGTTGACCAAGACCAGTGCCCCTCCCAACTACCCCCATAAATGTGGGGTTATTTTGAGGTTCTTTGATATTTTGGACATTTGTTTCTCAAAATGACAAATGTCCTAAGTAAATATCAAAAATCCTCAAAATAACCCCACATTTATGGGGGTACTCCCAACATGAACTGATGGCAAGGGCTTGTTTTACTCACCAATATGCGCTCACCACGAGGGCTATCTTGATGGACTGTGCGAAGAAGGACTCCATCTTAACTTTTACCTTTGGGTCATACCGGTGCATACCAAAGCGAATCTACCTGGAAACCAATTGGTTGTTGGTGACGTTGCAAACGTTCCGGAAAATCGATTTTTCTGAATGGAATTTCCAAACGATTTTGTTATACAATATTTGATTGGTTAGAAAGTTTCACAATTTGAGAAATAAACCAATCAAATTTTTCGACATAAAATAGTGTAAGGTAACGGCGGTGAGTAAGATTAATGTCATAAATAATTCAAAAGTACAAGTACAAAACAGTACAAAAAAGTGTATTTCTATGAATAACAAATTATTATACACCATTCCATATTTTAGCGACAAAAAATTACCTTTATTATGAGAATCGTCAAAATAATCTGAACAGTTTACGACAATCAGTACTTTCTTACGATTTTGCAACTCAAAAAGTTACACCAGAAAGTCTCCAATTTATCGCTGTTTACAAGGTAATTACGCTTTAAACACTTTATAATACATTGTTGTTAGGCACATGAGTTATCCAGACGTTTTTTTCTTTATAATCAACAATTTCCAAATCGCTCTGATAGTAGAATTTCATGTTGAAATTTTGATCATAAAATAAATGAGAAATTTTCTTAAGTGGGGAACAAAAATAAACCTCAACCATCAAAAGTTGTCACAATGAGCTAAATTCTAAGTTTCTTTTCTAAAACTCTTGCAAGCGGTAGAAAAATAATTCCCGTTCACTTTAAGTAGCACAATAAATGAATCCAAAGCTTCATACCTGCAAATCTAGTATGTATCCAACAGACTGACTAGAAGTCAGTCTGTTATGATGTACTACTTTCCTGTGGAAATTGCAGTGAAATTTTTTGCACAAAATTATCAATTGGAGGAAACATTTTTTCAATAAAATAAACATTACAAAATTCCAATTAAATAGTAAGGTACAATTAAATGCAATAAAAAGTAACACAGCATATTGTCTAGTGGAAATAAAGCTAGTTGAAGTAAAAATGTGCAAATTAATTTTACCCAATCGGCCATTTTGAATAGCACTTCCTATGTAAACAAATATTTGGAATTACCAAACTTTAACATAGGTGCCTTATAGTCTGAATATAATTCAGACTAAATAGAATATAGTCTACCTGCAAATCATGGGTGTAGCGCTATTTTTCTAAGTAGTACGCCACCAGCACAGGAACAAGAGTTGAGTGAATCAAAAAACAAGCATTCAGGTGGGTCTGGGGGTTCTCCCCTAGGAAAATTTTGAAATTTGGTTGTATTTGGAGCGAATTTGCAACCATCTGGTACGCCTGTGCGTACCCAGCGTACCAGGCGCTACGCCCATGGAAATGATGGATAAATCCCTACCAAATCGAACGAATGTTTTCATGAATCGCTATGTTTGTGATCTATGGAGGATTGACTCCCAGAATGCAACATCAGTTAATCTTATTTACTCGTGACAGGTTTCAAAATGGCGGAACAGCATTTTGAAAGCTGGCACTTGTCATGTGTTGCATTCTGGGAGCCAATCCTCCTTGCGGCATAATTGGGCTCCAAAATCACATCAACATTTGAAGAGTCGGCATTAACATGTGAATATCCACTTCAACTTTTTAAGCTCTTATTTGTCATTATGGACACAAATTCCACTATATCTGGACTTACTAGGACGGAGAAAATAGAGCACTGAATACACTGATGTAAGAATTTATTACATGTGCGACAGCATGTAATTTTTATAGCTATATTAATTCTTTATGTTCCCCACTGTACTTCTAGTACAGTCTGTTAAACTTCTTCAAAGGCATCTAAATACTACTGTGCAATAATATATAGAAAAATATATTCATATTGCACATGAATGACATTTGTATATGTTGGATTGCTTGTAAATTGGCTCATATAGTCTGTAACCTCTTATATTTTGATGCTTCTCTACCATGTTAATTCTGAAAAAATAACATGGCGGATAGACCTCAAATTACAAGAGGCCACAGGCTTATTGCACTAAACACTAAATAATCTGAAATATACAAATGTCATTCGTGTGCAATATGTATATATTTTTCTATATATTATAGCACAATAGCCTATAGATTTCTTATTTTTCAGGTTCAACTGCTTGCCTTGGGAGCAGTTTAACAGACTGTAGGCCTTCTCTTGAAAGTCCATGGCTATAGCCTACAGTCAGATTCATAATTCCATAAACAACTTTGAATCTAGAAAAGAAGCAATCAAAGGACCATGTTGCAACAGTATATGAAAAAATGACAGTGAATAGAATTTCCTTCATATTGTTATTTTTAAGGTACAGCTGGAAAATAACATTTTGGTAAAAATTACTATACTATGCAAAACTATTTTTTAACTTACTAAGGTCAAGTAATTAAAAATTTAATTTAATTTAGTTATCTATAAATTCTTTGTTAAGTACATGTAATAAAATTATTATACCTGCACATGGTTTTTCAATAGGAACACCAGGAAATTCTGATATTTCACACTTTCTATTTTTCCAAATTTTCTTTCAAAGGAGCTACCATTGACCTGTTTCCAAGTTTACTAAAAGTAGACAACATAATGATACTTTCCTGAAAAAAGCAAGGAAACATACACATGCCTTCATACTTAATTTTGTACCAGAAAATAATATGTGCAGGTATAGCAATTTTTTACCAAAATGTTACATTCCAGCTGGGCCTTAAACTACAAGTGCTTTTTTGTCTAAAATATTGATGTTTTTCAAATGGATAATACACATCTTTATCATTATTTTAGAAATTTGGCAGTCATACAGGCCCGAGATAACAGCCTAAATGATTTAGAAAACATGATTCATACCTCAATATTGCTATTATATGGCAACAGCAATTCACAGGCCCCGGGAACATGTATAACAAAATTGAGTCAACGACATCTGTATTACTTATAAGTAATAAGTAATACAGATGTGATGTTGATTCAATTTTTTTATACATGTTCCTGGGGCCTATGCTGCAAATGTAAGCACTGCAAAATTCGTAAAATGATCCACGCTCCGCCTTATGACCAATCAGATTGTGGGACGCATGCACAGTATCCAAGTAGAAATGAAATTCTCCATGGAGCCTAACCTGATATTTATTACTTGTTGTATTGAACTTCCCACTACCGTGGAAAAATAGAAACATTATGTACAAGGCCTAACTCATATGATAAGTGTGGCCTCTTGTATTTTGATCCTTCTCTGCCATGTTATTTTCGAAACATAAAAACCTGGCTGAAACCCTCTAAATTACAAAAGGCCACAGCTTTGCTGCACATTATACCCACACCATTATGTTTAGACGCTGCTTGGCTTCAAAATGGTAATGGTTTTGCTTTGGTAAATCATATTATTTTGAATAAATTGCTGTATTATAATGTCTCAAAGTGAATGGTCAAACTGTTCAATTCATTGAAATTTAATGATTGTAGATATGCAAGATTAAAGTCAATTGCACCCCCATGTTAAGTCTATACACCCTTGCTGGAATCCTCATTTTCTCAGAAAAACTCAAGTTGATTGAGTCTCGAGGAGTAGATTTATAGGGAATGAGTATTGGTAGAATCCATTTTTAAATGGTAGGGGTTCTTAATCAGAACATTAAAGCTTAACTAAGGCCTTTTTGAAAATCTTGGTTAGCTCTAGAGCCAACCAGAAATTCTAAAAGCAACCCCAATGTCTTGTTTAAGAAAATAGGTCCATGGTAACTCAAGTGTTGTCCTGAATCTTTGAGAAAAAAATTAGAAAGCATGAAATATTGATATTTCCTGGAGTTACCATTGTCCTCTTACCAGATTTGCAATTAGTAATGATACTTTCCTGAAAAATGTAAGGAAATTCACACTTTATTTTGTACCAGAAAATAACATGTGCAGGTATGATAATTTTTTCAAAAATGTTTTCGTTATACATGTACTACCACCTTAAGATCCCCGTCATAATGAGGCTATCTTCTGTATTTGTTTTCAGTTATACACAAACCATCCTGTGAAGTATGATTCCCAAACTATTTCAGTGGCTAATATTTGCCAGTGTGTACCTTGGAATATGGATTATGTTACTTATTGAAGACTCACCTATAAAGCTATCATCATCATACAAGGAAGTTGTTTTTGCAGTAAGTACAACTTTAAAGATTGATTGAATTTTAAGACATGAAGCAACGTGAATTGTATACTCTGGGTCTTGGGTTTATTTGATCTATTATAATAATCCGCTCTAATAGACATTGTTACTTAGTATCCCATTTATCGCCTAATAACACTTGAAATACATTTGACAAAACACGAAATGCAATGGACTCTTAGGTAATAAAAAATTTCACAAATCCCCAGGGATTTAATTGACAATGTCGCGAAGATCAATTTTTGCGATTTTACCTCAATCGCGAAACTAAATCGCACGCAAAAATACCTGGAGTACAGTATTCTTTTTATTTAATATTATTAATACACAGTGTTGACATAAATAACAAATACTTGTTTTTGTTTTCAGTCTCCAATATATCTGCTCATGACATTTGCGGTAAGTGTGATTTTTGAGACATTTTCTTTTAGTATTATGCTTTTAATTGATCTTTGAGAGTCCCTGCATTATTCCAAAAAGCTAAATACATAATACTGAATACCATATTGAATGGTGCTGATTACATTTGAGCTGCATTTTAAGTAATTTCTTCTGCTTCTTCCTCATATCTACAAGTATGTGTAGGCAGCCATTGCCCTTTACAATAGTTCGACTTCGCTTCTTAAACGAGAGCTCCATCTCCATAGTTTATAACTAGACTTTGCACCCAGGGTAGGCAGCAATTTGCTTCAGAATATTGAATATTCTCATCATGCTAAAAATTTACAGAAATTTAAGAACTCCCCTATCTCATCTTGCCATAGACAAAATTACAAAAAAATCGCTATATAATTCAATATTGGCTAAATAAATATATAAATGTTATTTTGTATTTCAGTGCTACTCCTTAGCTGTGATTGGCTATAGAGTTATGACATTCAATGACTGTACGGAGGCTGCAGAAGAATTAACAAAAGTAAGTCAATGTGAAAAAGCTAGGCTTACATTAGTGCACAATATCAAGAACACATGTAGGTCATGTATAAAATTTATAATTAATGCTGATATTGACAACAAGGAATAGAGAGTAAAATACTTGAAGCAACTTTTTCAAAAGCATGCCATAATGCCACTGTTTCCATGACAATCCTACTTCTATTTTCTGAAAGAAAGAATTAAGATGTCTTATCAATTATGGAAGTAATTGAAGATTTTAAGATGGGGGCACCCATTTTCAAGGTTATGGAAATTACATTTTCTGTCAAATAAGAGTGATGAAAAATCTGATTTTTCACATGTTTTGTCTTTAATTGGTATTTATTAAGCCAAATATATATCAAATGCAAGTCATGATTTTAATGATTTTTTCCATAGCTAATTCTAGCATTATATCAGAATTCCATTATTCAAGATTTCCCCTTTTTCTCGCACAAAGTGTTCTGTATCTTTTTGTGAAATCAAAAGGATATAATGAATAACTAAATAAATAAATACGGGTGATTCAGAAGTAAGATCAAAAACTGATATAAATAGGAAAAAATGTAAAATGATGTGCAAGAATGGTGTGTGCACCTGTTTGTACGTAAGGTATTGATGAAGAAGAAATAAATAATTTAAAAGTTGTACGTCTATGATAAAGTTTCATAATTACACTTTTCAGCAAATTCAAGAAGCGAAAGCAGACTTACAAAAGAAGGGCCTCAAAATGTCATGACAAAAAATCTGAAACCAGATGCCATCACAGAAAACATTTCATCTCTGAAGACATTTCATCTTTGAAGACGGCATTATTTATAATATTGAAGGATACTTGTAAGTCTACAGGGTGATCACTAATTTTTGGAAACACACATCTATTTTCTAAACCAGTTAAACTCATATAAAATCGCGACTAGGGAAATCATAGTTACACCAATGCTATGCTGACAAGTCTTTATATCCCCTAAATCTATTAAATTATGAAACTAAATTATTAAATCCCAAAAACAAATTTCAGTGATCACCTTGTATATGTTTGGAGGGATCTCATTTTAACCAAGAAACAACCTGAATATTTATTATTTGTTGGTCTGAACCTCATTACATGATTGGGGCTATATTACATGTGCATTAATTATAATACAATAACGTCATTTTGAAGGGCAATATAGTGAAATATTGGACTGAGGGCCGAAGGCTCAAGGTCCAGTATTTCACTATATTGCCTGCAGAAATGACGTTATTTGTATTATTACCACCATTTATGACCAGGGCTGAAATAGAAAGAAAATCTTATGCACTGAACGATATTTAATTTCCCGGGGAAAGTTGCCGGTCATTAATCGGCATTATTGACCGGCAATATGGCCCGCCACTATGACGTCACATACTGCTCAAGTTGATATAGTAAAATGAATGCCTTCTAAACAATCACTAATACCCCTAGAACAGGCCTGGTAAGGTGGTAATAATTTAATTTAATGCATGGTACATATCTATATTGAGGGACATTTTATAGGAGAAATGAATGTTCAAAAATTATCATTTTTCTTGCATCTAATGCCAGTGCCAATATTTATGCAGAAGAAGGTCCATATTTGACTTCTCTGTGAGTGAAAGAGAAACATGTACAGCTTGTATTATATATTGATACAAAATATAAATGCAAAATATATTGAAATTTGAATCCATTGTGTCAGTTATTATCTGTATTTGATGAAGGGAGTGATGAATAAAAATCAATGAACAATGCATTTTTAATAAAATCTAGATAGAACTACATTTTTATTTTTCTACAAAAATAACATAAATTGTACATTCAACAAAGGATAGTTTTTCAATTCTAAAAATAATGTTATGTTGTATGACACTTTAAATACACATTCTCAATTCATTTCTAGTCAAAATCATTTTCCAGGGAATATTGCTTTTATTCCATGATACCAGTTTCTGTTGATTAGTACTACATGTACTAACAACTGGGTATGTAAGTGATATTTTAAGGAATTTCAAAGATCCATTAAGACGTATCTATCTGTCTGTCCAGTCCTTCGAAAAATAATTTTTTACTCGGAATATTCCCTTCATTTTCAGTAAATTACATCCATATCACACATTACATAAGAAACAAGTTAAATATTCCAACTATTACAATATAAGAAAATATTATGCTGCACACTTGTGAATATTGTTACATTTTTATTGTCAGCAAAAACACCTAAATACTGTAAATTGCTTTAATATGGTGCTATTTAATTTGGTGGATTGGAAAATGTTTGGAATGTTGGAGGCTATTTAAAATGGCAGATTGGCTCATCAGTAAAATATGAATATTGGAAGGTTAGCTTGGAAGTCTCATGGCCAGGTTACACTTTGGTGACACTGGGAGGATTTACCATGATATGAGCTAAAATGTAAAAAATGGAGTTAAAAATCAAAATATTGAAAGAGCTCACAGGTCCCAGGGATTTTTCAAAAAATTGGCGGAGACAGCCAAATTAAAACGGCCATCGAATTAAAGCAATTCACAGTATTGGCTATAATCCAAAACCAATATTGGAGATGTGGCAGCTGAATTTGTATAATATGATAGTATTAAATAATAAGAGGTTATAAAATGGTTCATTATGTATACCAATGCTACAATGTCTGTTAGTAAATGTAGCAAGTGAATTTATTAATAAAAAGCCATGACATTGTATGTATTATCATAGATCCTCTAAATTACCAAAGAGTGGTATAAGATATAATATTATATGTTCAATAATAATATAAAAGTTTAAAATAATATAAAAAGCTGCTAGATAAAATTAATTATTAAAATTATGTCAGTGGTAAAAGTAATGTTGAGTTAACTCAAAATACAATGATGTACATTCAAAACCATGTTCAAGTCACAAGCTACTGATGATGAAGAAACTTCTATGGTGAGACAGTTATCCCACCTGTCTCATAGCTTCTTACACCATGCCATATCTAGTTTTCATTTGTATTTAATATAATATACATGTATATGCATTTAAGTGTAACATGTCCAAGATCATGAACAACCCTTACAATGGGCAATACTTGGCTACAGCCCTGGCTGCATCTTATTTTATTGGAACATAGTATGGCACAAGTAAATCATAATGAAAAATTGCAAATTATAAAATAAAATAAACCCATTTAGTAATGTATATATTGTGTAGGTAACACAGAATTAACACAGAATCTTAACCTATAATGACAAGTTTGAAACATCTAAAATAAATTATATTTTCAAAGGACATAAAATTATGTCTTAATGGACACTTCCTCACTTTCCCTCAAACTTTTCAATTGTTTACAAAAGTTTACATATAATCACGGGTTGAGATCAAAAAATCAGTTGCATTAAATAATCTGCTCGGGTCACATTGCCATGTCCGGCAAATTTGCCAAATTATATTTTTTTGGATGTAAAGGACATCTGCACCAGTTTCAATAACTTCGTTTTGATCGATCGGAACTGGGTTCCAACATAATTCCTACTTTATGAATGGAATAGCATTGAGTGCTTTATTTTATCAAAATCAAAGTAGTTTTCATGTTCAAAATTGTCTTAAATTATTGCTATTTCTTAGTAAAATCATTATGCTCCGGCACACCGCCAAAATTATTTGATCGCACCCCGTGATAATCTGCTATAAAAATGAATCGTACTACATGATTGAAGAAGTGGCATTTTAAATTCACTACAGAACCACTACATTCTACGTAATTACTGAACATCACTATGGCAAAATGATTGTCACTATGGCAACATGATTGTCAGTATTAACAGATTAAATTTTACTGCCTGCTTTTCACTTATAGCATACTTGTAAATCTCTTTTTAAATTTTCTGGTAGGTATTCTCAAAACCTGTAGAGTATCAATTTCTCAAATGGCTCTTTTAATTCTTACAGAAAAAATAATTCAAAACTATGGTTTACGACCATAAAAATGGGAGGTTGGCAGTATGTAGAGTATCAGGTTTTCTAAAAACAATGAGGAATTTTGGTATACTGTAACCGGGTCTCTATCCTGATTTAATTGTTTGGCATGTATTTTAAAGTGTTCTGTGCACTGCATTTCTGTTTAGTGTTTACACATCACAACATTCACATTTGTAGAACGAGGGATTTTCTAACTATATATATCACATATTCTTGTTTGGCAATTATTTTGTGAGGTATGTGCATAACACTCACAGTGCGAATGCTTGGAACCAGGATATTATCCCAAACTTAACTTTGAGCTTTGCAGTTTATATCCTAGTCTTGCTTAAAAGACCCTTACTCCCCCCCCCCCTTTTTCCTACTCTTCTCTGTATATAAAGAGTGTGAAGGTGATGGGGGGGTGGATACAGTCTTTGAGCAAGACTATTTATATCCCTTAAATCAGCTGTGTGACTTATTCCTACTGTTTAATTATTCAAGGTTCTATTTTTAACACTGGACCCTATGGACTAATCAGATGTCTCATATTTTCCCCTCTTTGACATGGTGTAATCCATTCACCAATGACACACACTGCACAGACATAGTTCATTTCATTGTTGACTTCCTAGGTTTGCGAACTTTTTTCCCTGACACAATTAACCCTGAGTCAACCCAGGATGGATTTGGATATGGAACTTGGTTCTGTTTGTGTATCAGTTCAAACCTTCCAACATCACAGCTAGGATTTTCCTTCCTGTCAATCACAACTGAAAAAAACACATAAAAGTGAACATTAATAATAATGGAGTTAAACATGTCCTGGAAGCGTATCTCTTCTCAGGAAGGGAATCTAATCCTTACTTAAATCAGCTGTTTTAAGGTAAATGAAATAAACTGATGTTTTAGTAAATTGCTATAGGTGGGGCTGATAATCATAGAAAATTGTTCAGATGGGCTGGTGTTAGTTACCTTTCAAAGTGTCCTCCAAGACACGAGGGCACAGTTTTGCAGTTGCCCTTGCACTGTACTCCATACTGGGGCTAGAGTTGATCTCAATTAACCAAGGACGCAAGTCTTCTGTTAGCATGAAGTCTGCTCCATATAGTGCAAAGGCACCCTGAAAAATATTGATATATTCTTGTTAAACTATGATTGGCGAAGAAAAAATTCTTTGTCGTTCTATATTGGAAATTTAAAAGCATTGGTCTACGAGGGGTGATCAATAAGTAGTGGACGTTTTTTTACACATATACTTTTTATAGACCAATCCCTTTGATTTTCCTACCAGAGATACATCATTCAATTATCTATCAATTCTGGAGATTGAAGACAAAATATGTAATAAATGTTGATATAGATTCAAGATTCAAGATTTTATTGTGTTTCAAACCAAACACTTGGTTTCCTCACAAAATCAATTACAAGACATTTACATATAATTATACAGTTAAAAAACAACATGCATTGTTTCACAAATACCATCATACAATCTAATTTTTTCCTTTTTCAAATAGCTCCCGACACTGATTAAAAAGTTTATTTATAAAATGTATCAATTCGTCAACAATTTCAAAATCATCAGAAGTCATTAAAAAGTTATATTTTTCTTCATCCGACATATTATCAAATGTGTCAATAAAACTTAGTTTATTAAAAAATTCAAATCTACATTTTTTATAGCCATCACACACAAGAAGAAAATGTTTTTCATCCTCTACTTCCCCCTTATTGCAAATCTGACAAATTCTTTCATTTATTTCAAGTCGATGCTGTTTAGTGCCATCTTTTTTCTTTTTCTCGTGTCTCCCTGTTTCAATTCTTAAATTATGGTTTGCTAATCTAAATCTGGCCATTTTAAAAATTAACATTTTGTTCACGCTTAATGTTAAATATCTTTCCAGATTGTAATCAATTTTTATATAATTTCCAAGTTTTCTATTTTCCCTTATGGCTCTATCATTATGTTCTATATATTTTCTTTGCATTTCAAGTTTAATTGCTTTTAGTAATCGTTTTATTCCAAACGTACTCCATCCTTATTTGCGTGAAGGAGGTACAGGTACCCCGGGACCGACATTTACGTCACATATTCAGATTTTAGTTAGATTTGAACTTTTTATATGCAACGAGTGTTGTGTTGTTTGAAATTTTTTGCTGACTGGTAACACATTAACAGAAAGTATTGTGATGTCAGAGTGTTGTATGGAAGGGATTTGCAGGTCAATTTGAGAAAGCATTGTGGAAGAAAGGGGTGGTGAGAGAAGGGAACACCCTACTCCATATGGACAATGCACCTGCCCACAGATCTCAAAATGTTCAGGAAACAATATCCCTGGACCTCAAAATCGAGTCCTTGGCCAATGCACTATATTGTCCATATCTGCTCACATGTGACTTGTTTATTTCTATACTACTTATTTCTATAGAGAAATGATGCAGGTTTATTGACATTGATGAAATAAAACAACCTGTGCAACTGCATATTGCTACCATGTCAGAGAATGGATTCAGCCTTGTTTCACAATCTTGAATTAAGAGGATGAGAAATTGTGTACATGTAGCACTTGATGGAACCTATTTAGAGGGCCCTGTAGAATGAATGTGGCATGAATACCACATAGTGATGATAAAATTTTCAAAATCAACTATGGCATAATAAAATGGGGTAATTCATGACCATAATGGTTTGTTTTGTTCAGCCTGCATTCAACTGCATTGCATGTTAAACAAGCTAAAATAGCTTCAGAATATGTGACGTAAATGTCGGTCCCGAGGTACCTGTACCTCCTTCACGGAAATAAGGATATATCAACATGTATTACATATTTTGTCTTCAAATCTTCAGAGTTGATGATAATTGAATGATGTATCACTGGTGAGAAAATTGGAGGGATTGGTCTATAAAAAGCATCTGTGTAAAAAAGCGTCCATTACTTATTGATCACCCCTCGTACATGTATATACTGACCTATATACATAACGCGTGAGATTTAACAATACTTAGATCAACTGTAGCCCAGTAACATACCTTCCTGTATTCTATTGCATCTTGGGATGCTGTCATTGAGCATATGATAGCATTCTTCATCCCTGAGTAGACAATGTTCTGCCATACATTCTCTGCATGTCCTTGATCACTAAAATATATAGGATTGTGTACATATAATTTTCTACTATTATGGCATTACAGTACTATTATATTCATAGGCTAAGGGCGATAGAAATCATTTTAAATAAAGATGGCATGGTAATCGATCTGTGTTTATCTATGTTTCTCCACAGGAGGAGTGAGTAGCTCCCATAATTCTTTCATATTCTATCGTATTCGGGGATTCCCCATTACATCATCTCTTGCATCATCTCCAATCAAATTGCAGGATTCGATCACGTGAACAATCATGAGCACGTGCTCTCTCAGTGCTGCGCATGCGTAGAGTTAAATTTGAAATCGGTGGAATGGCGTTAACATCAGTTCAACATCATCATTTCAAATCTACGGTAATACTATTGAAGTTACTCGATCCATACTTATAGAGAATACTCATAAAACTACAGTGAACATTTGGAGATCCATTTCAACGGCAAATTGAGGCCTGTTTATAAAATTTGTTTTCGAACGTGCTAATATGATAGGGCATCTTTGGGAAATCTCCCCCCCCTGGTTTCTCCAAGAGAAAAAGATAATACTGGATTTTGTTGGTGCTGCTATCTTTATATCGGCCCAGAACCTATGATTATATTACTTGTAATTGTCTTGTTCTGATGCTACATACATACAGTATGATATTCTTTGAAGGTAAAGTAGAGAGCAAAACGTTTTGACAGGGATGATATTATAAAGAGTAAAATTTTATATCGGTTATTCTGAGAATTATATAACTTAGTACATGTACATGTATCTTGTTGGGTATTTGCACAAGTGTTGACATTTTTTAATATGATATGAATGAATGGTCTAAAATCAAAATATTTGGTAGAAAGTTAGCAAACAGAGGATTAATACAAGAGTCGAGAATGAATGGAATGACTTACGCGAGATAATTGACAAACTCTGTGTGAGTCCACATGTTGTCATCTGGCAGAGATGTTGACCTCTCCCCAACAGTGTAGTACTTTTGGACAGAATTATTGCACAAATGGATTGCCCTGGAAGCAAACAAACATCCAATTAAAGGATCTACCTTAACTGTTCTAATGTACTGTCAATATAAATACCTATGTTGAAAACTTAATGACAGCTCAGGTAATCACAGGTCACCATGATTGTTACCTACTCAGGTATTAATTGCGCTGAGCTAGCAGATTTCGCTGAATCTGCAAATTTCCAGAACCAGTTTGTTTTTGCCCGACTGATTGACATTGTTATCCTTTGAGGGGGTTGAATTATGGTATATTACTTGTGTTATTATATGTAGCATGCTATATAATCTTGAATGTAACTTTGATGTAAGTCTGCATCTTTAACTTGGCTTTTCTCTCAGTTAAACTTTAAGCTGGGGCTATATTTAGCACAACCTAGAATATGATATAAATACAGATGGTTTAGTTCTAATTCTAGTTCTGGTTCCAAGTTGAGTTCTGCTTCTTGCTTCTGTTGTCTGGGTTCTGAAGGACAGTTCTGTGGGAGTCTGAGACTGGGTCGAGAGGTCTGAAGTCTGAAGATCTCTCGGCCCAGGTTCCAGGTTCTGTGCAAAGTATTGGTGCTGTAAAAAGAGTTGGTTCTAGGAATAGAGATTGAAGCCAAGTAACTGAAGCAGACTATTGAATAAACTTGTACTTAGTGATTTATAAAGGAAGAAATATTCTTATACAATATACTTGGATTGAACTGAATAACTGACTTGTTATGTTACACTTGATGTGATGGAGTTTGAGTTTGATGAACATTGAACATTATAATTAATAAACACCAACAGCTGAACTGAAGGACAATTCCACAAAAAAGTAATAGCACTTCAGCAATTGATAATACAGAACCCATAAACAATAAAACAATAAAACCATAAAAGGTTTCAGACATAGACCCACACTCTTAGACTTACCTGTTATCTAGATTGTCCAGTGTGTACTCTTGTGATGAAAAGCGTAAGTAACTGTCTTGATAAAGCCACACTGTTAATGGGTTCCAGTCAGTCACCAGGAACCATTGACGGATATCAAATTTAGTGTTATATACCAATAGAGGGCGCTCTGGAAAAATTCATATTAATTTCAATTAGATGTACATGTACTCTGTTACAGTGCCACTCCTATAATAATGTGCATCTAATGTGATACAGTTGGTAAAATTGTAAATGTAATACATGTTGGTTAAAATCTAGGATGGAGAAAATATATATCACTGAAATAAATCTACACATGTCTTAAAACAAAAGACAAACTAAGTATACGACAGAATAACATTTCATGAGATGAAACCCATGAGAAATTCTTTTTCCTATCACTATTAGGTATTCAATCTTTTAAAGCTTCGGTTAACTTACCTATGTACTTTTGCACAACAAAGTTTGTTTCTTTGCTCTCTGTTAGCGAATCACGCATATACTTCTCAATGTCTTCAAGTTTATTGAAACATTCTATCCCTGAAAAACATAATTAATTGCTTGATAAACAACAGGAACAGAAGGGTTACCATGTTGCCATTTTGTACAAGTTAATAGTCATAGATTACAACTAATCTAGATTAACTCACACAAAATAAAATGGTATTTCGTAAAAATGTCCTTAATGAGTAGATATTGTGAGATACTTGATATAGTAGATTTGGAAGTGGGAGGAGAAATAACAAATAAACTTTATTAACAAAGACTCCTTTACCACAAAGCTCTTAACCTTCACTTCTTACCTCTTCCCCTAGACTTGGCCCCTGGTTTGACCATCCATACATTCTTGAGTCCATCCATCTCATACTGGGCCCAAGCCTCCTCTATGCATTTGATGAGACCCTCACAAACATCTACTTGTGACTCTAGCAATGTCACCCCAGCACCATCACTGCAGCATAATTATATAGAATTTATGGTAAACAATGAATGGTAAAGGTATATGGTATATGATCTATTGTGTATTATGTGTGGTGCACAATCTTTAATACACCAACTAAAATATATGATGTTTGGTACTTTACATGATTAGTATATACAGTAATAGTATTTATCCCATACTTGGACGTGTTACAGGTACATAAAGCCAGTTTGTAAAAACTTATATTTTCATCAGCGGGCAGATATAGCTTTACGTCCCGCTCCGAGCGGGCAGATATAGTATATCTGCCCGCTACGTCATAATCGTCGCTCGCATATTTGTTCATAATTTGTAACGTTCGCGTAATGACTGTAAACGACAATGGAGAAAACACAGACAATCGGAATCTGTTTGATGGTTTAAAAAGGGAAGGAGCATCCACTTAATCAATCAAATATTCGAGAAAATAAATATGGGAATATTTGAGAGAACAGGAAAATCCACCCACGGCCAAGAAAACAAAACTGGACATGAATTTTCTAAAATATTTCCACGATTTAACAATGTGAACCAGATGACAAAGATTGTGGGATGGGATGGTATGGGATAAACATATTATCCTATAGTCGGTTCCGGATATTGGGATTATCCCTTGGCCAATATAACATATTTTCCCTCGGGACCTGCGGCCCTCGGGCAAATATATTATATTTGCCTCGGGATAATCCCAATATCCTGAACCTCATATAGGATAATCTCTATATATTCTATGGCGTATGAATCTATGGTATAAGTGGTGTATGATGTACAGTATATATACAATTGTTGATCTATGATAGAATCTATCATGTCTATGGTGTGTATGGTATATCATGTTTGATATACAATATATTGGTCACTATGTATTATATATGATGGTATACAATGTATGGTATACCATATTCAATCCATGATATACAGTGTATGGTATATGATGTATGGTATACAATGTAGGGTTTACAATCTGTGGTATATGATGTATGCCTGTTTTGTATGGTATTTGATGTATGGCATATGATATATGATATACAATGTATAGAATATGTAATATGATATATATAAAACCTCTAATAAATAGAAAAATGTTAAAACCCTTCAATCAATAGGCATATTCAGGCCAGGAGAGTCAGCCTCTAAAAGTTGAAACACTAAACATGATAATAAAAAACATCAAAAAATAGTTAAAGGTGGAAAATCAAAAGGCTTTAAAAGTCAAGACATACTTTGTTCATAAGAGCAAGCCATAATAATTCAAATTTATTACTAAATCTCACGACTTACTGTATTAGCTGATATGACCATTGTATCAACTGATCCCAATCCCCATCAGTTAACATATCCGGGTCTACCAGCTCATCAATATCGTCATGGCAACATGCCTTCAAATACTTATTGCACTGTTTCATAGCCCACTCCACTGCTTTTGGTGGCACAACCGTCTGAGCTTTACGAGGTGAGCTATCTCCCTTTTTGGTGACATGAATACCCTTAAGATGTATGCGTTTATCCTTTAGTAATTCAATTTCTAAAGACACTTTCTGGTTAGAGTCAATAGCAACTTGTTCATTTTCTGATTTTGATGTCTTTTCAATTTCAGATGTCTTTTCCTGATTGTCATTCCTGTTTGTCACAGCTTGTTTACTTGTATTATCACTGTTATTATTATGGGATTTATTAGCACTATCTTCTTCGTTTAGGTTATTGTCATTATTTTCTTCATCACTAGAGTCTTTATTTTGTTGACTGAGCTGAACGACCAATTTGACAATGTTCATACAGGCTGTCAATCTGAAGTTATCTGGAAATACACAATCATGTATTTGTACATCAGAGTGAAAAGATGCAATGGAATTTTTTTATTAATCAAAAATTATAGACAAACATGATAATTTTGAAATAAAAATTCTCATTAGAAGGATCATGGAATTGTTTGAATTGTGTAAAAATGACCAGAGGTGCAATACCAGATATACCCTAACCCCCATTGTTGTTGCCTTGGATACCATGACATAATCAACAAATAACATTTATTGTAATAGGTACCTATTTTACACCTTAAAACTTAAATAATGACAGTAATCTACCTATGAATGCCTCTTTGTCCTCTGGGTCATCCAGCCTGAAGCATCTTGGGAAGAATAGATTAGGATCTTCATTGTGGTACCATGGGACATTCTGTAGACTTTCACAAAGACCCACCTATTGGCAGAAAAATCAGATCAACATTTCAGGTTCTGATAGCATTGCATTGCCTGGAGCAAAGGAAATCAGAACTTTGGGTACATTATGACTCAGTGATGATCAATAGGTCATAAAGAATTCAATGATGAGCAATTGGATGCATCAAAATCTCAATGATGAATAATACGATACAACAACAGCTCAAAATTAAGCAGTAGGAACTCTAGGATACACCAAAACTCAATGATAAGCAGTAGGATTAATCAAAAACTCAATGATGAACAGACAAATTCATTAAAAACTCAATGATGAGCAGTAGAATTCATCAACTAATCAATGATGCTTGAACAACTATTGATTACCACAACTGAATGTTTAAACATTATGAAGCCTTAGTTGCTAACATAGCCTGATAAATACATGGTAAACATCGATAAAACATAAGATTATGCATGCTTATACAGAAGTTATTGATTGATCATAAACAATCTTACAATAAATATTTTCAGCTATTATTAGCATAGCATTCACCCTGCCGGGATGAATTAAAAACAATAGATATATTATATATAAGTAAAGGTAATGAGACAAATGCAACAAATCCTGTAAATGCAGACAATACTTTTCAACCCATTGTTTCTCAATGACATATTGTAAATTGGTTTGAATTGGTATTATAAGCCATTTCCAACATTTTCTTCTACATAAGTGGTAACTTTTCATTTGAAGTGGATTTTGTAAAGGATCTTATGCTATATACATATATGGTGAAGAAGTGTAAAGAAGGAATTGATGGATTTGACTTAGCCCTATTTGTTCAAATTGAGTGAACAGCCAAATTTAAGTACATGTAGGCATCAAATATCCCAGATGCGAGTAGAAATGATCTTGATTTATGTCATTAACAATTCACAATTCAGTCAAACTGATGTCATATTTGGAATCTACATGTAAAATTACATTTAGAAATGTGGTTTTGAAAAGAGTTTATCAACTTTGAAAATTTAATTTTCTTTGAAAATGCGACTTCTAGGTCGGGGAGATTCCCCATAGAGCCCATGTTGTAAAACCACAAAAAGTGAAATATATTTTCTTGTGTTAGGCAGATAATATTTTCTTTTACTGGACATATTTTAATTTGTATAACTATTAGATACATAAAGGTAATATGAAAAGTGAACCATTAAAACTGATGCATATTCAAGTTAAAGGGAATTTTGTGATACCCTGCCATGTTAATTCCCCCGAATCAGCCACCTGGTGGCAAAACTGGTAACAACTTACTCGCATCTGAGTAATTAAAGCAGTTTACAGGATCTCATTTCTGGTCCTTTAATGTTTCTAGTTCACTTTTACTTATAGCTTTCTATTATGATGTTAGCACTTAAAATAGGGTTTTCTGTAGTCTGAGGACTCTGAGGTGCATGTATAAGTCAATATCAGAGAATATTGATTGTGAATATCTTTATGAGTATTGAGTAATACTCTGTGGGTTTACTTTTTATCAATAATTGATGCATAACTTTGATTTGATGTAGTTAGGTTGCTATGGTTAAATTATTTATGATGCTTGCTTTAGCAAAAAGCTTGTTGTTACCTTGTTTGGTTGTTGTTAATTTAGTTCCAATGGTTTAATAATTTATGATCCGTTTACATGATAAACCTATTTAAATGTTGTCTAGTTTGTGTTTTATATGAGTTCAAGCTGTTATCCTAATGTCTCTTAAGAAATTAGAAGATTTAGACAATGTCAAAAGTTATTAAGATTTAAGATGTAGAAATGTCTGAATTCATTCGATTGAAACATGGGATGTCTTCTTCACCAGATAACATTAAATATAAAAAGATATACGGTAATGAAATAATGTAAGAACTATTGAATGTTTTGAAAAAAGTCATGACAAGTAATCTTTTTTCATTATCTAATCCCTGTTTTGTGTCCTTTCAAAAAGTCTGTTTCATTATATTAGTGGTCAATTAGCCACTAAATGAATCACATATAGGATATAATTTAAAACTATTCAGACAATCCCAACCAAACGTTTGTTGTGAAGATGTTAGCCTCAATAGAACATGGTGGGAAAATCCCTTTATCAAACTATACCTTTGTTGTGAAGATGTTAGCCTTATGAAAATGGTGAGAATATCCCTTTATCAAACTATACCTTTGTTGTGAAGATGTTAGCCTTATGAAAATGGTGGGAAAATCCCTTTATCAAATTATACCTTTGTTGTGAAGATGTTGGCCTTATGAAAATGGTGAGAATATCCCTTTATCAAACTATACCTTTGTTGTGAAGATGTTAGCCTTATGAAAATGGTGGGAAAATCCCTTTATCAAATTATACCTTTGTTGTGAAGATGTTAGCCTTATGAAAATGGTGAGAATATCCCTTTATCAAACTATACCTTTGTTGTGAAGATGTTGGCCTTATGAAAATGGTGAGAATATCCCTTTATCAAACTATACCTTTGTTGTGAAGATGTTAGCCTTTGGCACATGGTTGAACATCTGTGTACTTTTTAATGAGTTCTTATCCACTGCATTTGCTTTCACAGAAAATATCAACGTTGGAGTTGAATTTCTCACAACATGGGACTGAAATAAGAAAAAATGGGAAGTAAATAATAGCTGTGTTTTGTTTTTTATGTCCTTTCAAAAGTTTAGTTCTAAGTAGTATCATGTATTAAGACATTCCCTTTGGAAAATGTCTACAGTTATAAACATAAATACTTTATGTACATATATATTATATATATATATATAGTATGGCCCCATCACTGCGAATACCTTTTTATTCTGAAATATATATATATATTAATTTTTCTCTAAATTCTTTATATTTTTGGAAAGGGGGTGACAATCTCTGCATGGTCATGCCTAGAAATCTGTTTCATTTTTTGAAATATGAACAGCGTTTGCCAACATTCTAATAAAATCTGGACAGTTGATGACATGCTTGTTTACTGTCTTTCTCTACTCGATTACTCGAGACATTGTTGTTGTCTTACTTTTCACAAGTGTACATACCATCATCATCATCATGTTTTCCTCTTCATCATTCAGCTTCATACATGGTCGGATTTTCCTCTGCTGAGTCTGCTCTAAATGCACTACAAGTACATGTAAATAATAATTAACAAGATGAAGAAAAATTATATTTTCAAATATCGTACTTCTGGATATATTTCATATATTGAAAATATAGAGCTTATTTATTGAGATCTGGATGTTGCTTTATATATCAATACAAATATATATGAGTAAAGCTGGTATTAGTAAAGCTGGTATGAGTAACATTGGTATTTTTTTTTTTTATAGGAATAACTCTTAATAAGTAAAAAGTCCAAGTCCAAGGCAACCATCTAAACATGTACCTCATTCGATCTCGTTTTTTATCCAAGATTTACTCACCGCCATCATTTATATGAGTGTCATCCTCATCGGAATCCTCAGGTTCATACATGGCAGAGTTTTTTTCTTTGCTTGGGATCCTATGAAACTTTTCTACCCATCCTCGTTGAAAAAGACTGGATCTGATAGCTGGGTAAGGCCCCATCACTGCGAATACCTTTTTATTCTGAAATGTAACATATATTTTGTTATATAAGTTTTGAAAATATACAATGTTATTTTTCCCATAGACATTTATTTTGAATCAGTAAATGTTTTGTCCAGTCAAAGAACTTTGTCAAGTTACATGCAATTAAAAGGCTTGAGCTGTTCTCCTCATACTGAAATGTAATTTGCACAATTAAAAGACTTGGGACACAAACTGAATATTCCGAAAATAAATATAAAAGCTTGAAACAATTCTCTCCTGAGCAGTATGATAGTTTCATTAATGAGAAATACATGTATTGTAGCTAGGGCATATTTCTCAATTCTAAAAGGTAATTAATGATTTTTCTACATGGATATACTTCACTACCTAACAGAAAAGAAGGTTTATTTCCATTACTTCCCACTATTATTCTTTTTATGAATTTAGCTGCTTGAAACCTCTCCCCTATGGCAATTTGTTAAATGTACTTTGATTTTATCAGAGAGGAAAGGGTAAATAGAGAATTGACTTACTCTGATTGCCTTCTCGGCCTCTATCTTGGCTTTTCTTTCAAGTTCTAATAAAGACTTGGATTTCATTTTGTCATTTACTCCTATCGTATTATCATTTAGTTGAACAATACGAGTTGGCATCGTTCTGCTGCGTCTTAGAACAGACTTTGGTGCCTCATTTTCATTCTGCTCCCTAATTGGACTACTCCCATTTATAGTTCGATTTAATTTTTGGCTGCTGTTAATTTTGTTGACAATGTGGGATATAACAGTTTGTTGTCTTTTCCAAAGACTCTCTCCCCCACTGACAGCGTATGAGTTGTCTCGAATATAAGGGCCTGAAACAAATAGGCTATGAGAGGAATTCAGATGAAGTAAGGGGCTACTGAGATAAGGTTTAAAGGTCCCATAATGTATGAGAGCCCAAATACATTAATGGGTTGGTAAAAATACCCTGTGCATATTCATAATAAAAAATTAACAACATCTTAAAGAAATGTTGTGTTTATTGAATATTAGAAGCGTGAGTGTATATAAACACGCAAAATGAAGAGGTTGAAAAATGAGCTCTAAAAATGGTCTATGCATCAACCCCCTACCCTTGTTGATGATTTAACTTGACCTAATACATCAATAATATTACAATTCAGTGCATTTGACATTAAAATGGAATATATTAAATTGGTATACTTACTTTGGTCCACATATTTGTAAGTTCTGTTTTTCACCGGAGAAGCACCTGGGACACCCTGTATTTTATTCAAAGAAATCCGCACTGATTTATTCACGGAAGTATTTGATTTAGTTTTAATAGGACTTCCACTTGTGTGTAATGTCTTTGGTGATCCAGGATCTCCAGGCTTTGAATTGATGGCATCTGCTGATGGTGACTTTGAACTTAATGTTTTTGAAGTCACAGTTTTGTTCTTGGTCCCACTGACAGGACTCTGAGTACTTTTGGTGAGACTCTTGTGAATTGGAGGTAGTCTGTCAGCCTGCTTTGTTTCTGTCATAGAATCCCGCGTAACTTCAGAATCACTAAATGGCATTTGCATTTTAAGTTTTTGGATTGTTTCATTATTTTGCTTATCACCAGTAGGTGGTGTTTTGCAAGATTCACTGCTCAAAGGTTTCACTTCGGTCATTGATTTTTCTGGCTGTTTTGCTTTGGGTGGTGCTGATGGCTTAATAGGGTCCTTCTGGGAACCCTGGGAAGTGAGAACCTTCATTGTGGAGTGGTGTGGAGGAGCGCAATCAACCAACAAACTGAAATGACAAAATTTGATATTATTCAACATATACTGTACATACAGATGGACTGGTATTTTATGATATTCTTTTTTGGCTTAATAGTGCAGCATGATGCTTAGTGAAACCAGGCAACTGTGAGAAATACATGTATATTGGGTGTATATATCATTATATCAAACATTCTTAGGAGAAGGATCAGGTAAACCCTTGGCTTTCAACTAGAGCACATGGGTAAACTAATCCGTGACTTTGAAAACGTTGACTTTTTTTGAAAGTCCATGTAAATACCAAAGGTAATGCTTCCACTTTACTTGTCAATGTATATTTAGATTTATATGTAGATTTACTTTGGCTGTATATATAGAAGCCCAACAAGCGAGGAAACAAACTCAGAAGCCCTATTTGACCAGATAAAAAACAATTGTGACAAAAAACCAACGCATTTACTTATTATGGGGGACTTCAATCTTCCAGGAATAAACTGGGAACTAAATTGTACAACTCCAGGATGCCCTGACAGAAGAATTGCTGATGTATTCACTGAAATTGTAGATGATACCTTCCTCTACCAGCATGTAAGTGAGCCAACGCGGGGTGATAATATCCTTGATCTAGTACTGTCAAATGAAATGGACATGGTTTCAGATCTGGAGATACAGGCAGGAATAGGGAAAAGTGATCATCAAGTAATAAGTTTTGTCCTTCATTACCAGGCTGAGTTTACAGTACAAGAACGATTAATCCCCCTACTGAACCAGGCCAATTATGAAAAGATGAAGGAAGAACTGAGCATCGACTGGGACAGTGAATTTAAAGACAAGGTTATTGATGAATGCTGGGACATGTTCAAAAGAAGAATGGACGAAAGTTATAGTAAAAATGTCCCACAAGTCAAGGCTAGAAAAACAGCAAAAGCATGGATGGATAAGAGATGTTTAGCACAAATCAAACGAAAACATGGTGCATGGAAGAGGTACCAAAGAACGAAGAAGGGAGAGGAATACCAGCAATACGTTAAGGAGAGAAACCAGGCTAAAAATGAGGTAACTAGAGCTATCAAGGAATTTGAAAGGAATATTGCAAAATCAGCAAAATCCCAACCAAGGAAATTTTGGGGGTACAGCAACAGCAAAATGAAAACAAGGAGTGGAATACCCCAGCTCAACAGAGAGGATGGCACAACAACAACTAGTGACTTAGATAAAGCAGAAGAGCTGAATAGATTCTTCTCTAGTGTCTTTACCAAGGAGAACAAGGATAACATACCAACAGGTCACTATATCAGAATAACAAGTTATATCGAGGCCTGGACTTTCACAGAAGATGAAGTAATGAAAAAGCTGGAGCTTCTAAGAACAAACAAGTCACCCGGGCCAGACAAGATAAAACCCCGCATATTAAAGGAACTCAGGTGTACCATATGCAGACCTCTATACCTCCTATTCAAGATGTCAACAAATTCTGGAACGCTGCCTCAAGATTGGAAACAAGCTAATATTTCACCGATATTTAAAAAAGGGAAGAAAAACCTATCTACCAACTACAGGCCAGTAAGTTTAACGTCCATAGTATGTAAGATACTCGAATCCATTATTAGAGAAAGGATCCTGTCACACTTATCAGAAAACAACCTTTTGACGCAATGCCAGCATGGCTTCCTACCGTGTCGATCATGTGTAACCAATCTCTTGACGACTCTTGAAGAATGGACTGAAGTTCTCGATAGTGGTAGCAATATAGACGCAATTTACCTAGACTTTAAGAAAGCATTTGACAAAGTCCCCCACGAGCGTCTTATAAAGAAAATTGAAAATCTTGGAATTATGGGTAATGCCCTCCAGTGGTTGAAATCCTTCCTCGGAGCAAATACAGGAAATGACCAATTCAACCCCGCGAATCGAGCCTCAACAGACAATGCTGGGAGTGGAAATTCACAATTAAGGAAACAACGAGTAATAATCAATGGAGAAGCATCGTCATGGAAAGATGTCACTTCTGGAATCCCGCAGGGAACCGTTTTAGGACCGGTAATGTTTCTCGTATTTGTAAATGACATACCCCAGACTGTTAACAGCCCTCTGATAATGTTTGCAGACGATACAAAACTGTACCGAGAAGTGAACACCACGGATGACTGTGATGAGCTGCAGGAAGACATCCAATCCCTAATGAATTGGACAAATGATTGGCAACTTCAATTTAACAGTGAAAAATGCAAGGTCCTAAGAATTGGTAAATCTTCTCCAGACTACAGTTACACTATGGGTAATACAGTTCTCCAGGAATCAGAATGTGAAAAAGACTTGGGAATGATGGTGGCGAATGACTTCAAGAACAAAACACACATACTGATGGTGGTAAAAAAGGCCAACCAAATTCTTGGTCTTATCCGAAGAACTTTCCAGTTTTTGGATCCTACAAATATGATGATGTTATATAAGGCTATGGTCAGGCCACACTTGGAATATGCAAACACTGTATGGTCACCATACTTAATACAGGATATTGAAGCTATTGAAGCAGTCCAGAGGAGAGCTACGAGATGCATACCAGGATTCCAAGATAAAGAGTACTCCCAAAGACTTATGGACCTAAAGTTACCATCACTTGTGTTCAGGCGCTTAAGAGGGGATATGCTTGAAACTTGGAAAATCCTCAATGAAAAATATGACATTCCAATTAGCAATATTCTACCTCGATCACACAACATAGGAAGGACTAGAGGCAACAATAAGAGAATCTCGAAAAAACAAAGCAGATTGATTTTAAGACAAGGATTCTTTACCAAAAGGGTAGTTAAACTCTTTGAATTTCCTCCCCCAAGAAGTAGTGGAAGCTGATGACCTGAATCACTTTAAGAGTAAGCTTGACAGACTATGGAGCGACCACCCAGCCAAATACAACTATAGAGCCTTGAAGTAGACACAAGTCAATTAATTGGGGTCAATGCTAAACAATTATGCTCATTTTTATCTTAAGAACGGCCAAAGGTCAAGACGACCTAAGCAGTGAAAACTATAACTACTATAACTATGTACCACACTCACTTTGAAGATGTTCACATAAAAAATGTGAAGGAATTTGATAACACTCTACAACTTCAATTATTGATGAGTGATTATTATTTGATGGAAAATAGACATTTACACCATCGTTATAAAAATTTTAACAACTGTGGTTTAACAGAAACTTATAAATAAGCTTTCATACGTCTTTGGTAAAAGTGTACCCACCTCATTTTTATCAACAGTAATAAGTTTGCATGGAGATAGATCTAACATTCTGTGGTGTAATGAATAAACTCTACATCCCTGATGCTGTGATGGCTGCTACAGTTTCCTTAATTCAACAGAATGGTGCAACGTTATTCAATAATACATACATTCTTACTTATATTACACGTACTCAGTCGTGAAAATATTGTTAAAAGTGTAGAGTCCATTTCACTGCTTCATTGCGTCAGTAGAACGACAAAAAATAAGAAATTGGGAGACCATTGTGCAATAATATATGGAAAAGTATATTCATAATGTACATGAATGACATTTGTATATTTCAGATTTTTTAGTTTTTTGTGCAATAAGCCTGTGCCGTCTTGCAATTTGAAGAATTTCAGCCATGTAGCCTAAATCTTATTGAAAATAACATGGCATCCAAATATAAGAGGCCACACACTTTATAAGCCAAACTAGAAGCAATCCAAGATATACAAATGTCATTCATGTACAATAGGAATATATTTTTCCATATATTATTGCAAAATGATATTTTGATTTCTTATATTTTAGTTTTACTGACGCAGTTAAACAATGAAATGGACTCTAGATCTAGCATCAACAACACATTTAAATTTTCTGAAAAAATACTACCCCAACTGAATTTCAAATATCTATGTAGAGACTCTTTAAAACGTATTATTCTAGTTTATTAACATACCTGGCCATACTGGGAATCTATAGAAGTAATCTTATTTGCAAAGAGCGCATCCGAATAGGTAAATAAATTGGATTTACTTTGTCAATAAATTGACAAATCACCTGGATACAGATTGTTTACAAGAACTACGCTAAATGGAGGAATTTAATACACTAAACGAAGTCATTAAATAATAGCGCACCCAACGAAAAGCTTTAATTCAATCTTCCCGGGAACCTTCTTTCTTCTTCAGTGTTTCTACCCATCTTTCGACTAAGTATTTTAGGGGTTTTCTAGCCTTCTTATTTGTGCCGTGTCATCATCTCAGCAAGAAAAATGCCTATGAATACTTAAATGAATCCTGACTTCAGGATTCATACAGGATACAGCACGTCGCAGTGTGCCAATCCTGTATAAATCCTGATATGACACCTGGATTCATACAGCACATGCACCCAGTGTGCCAATCCTGTCTATGTATTCTCAGTCAAGATTCATACAGGATATGCTCGCTGTGCGCGAATTCTGTATGAATCCCGACCCACAGGATTGGCACGCTGTGTGCATGTGATCCTGGACTTATCCTGTGTCTTTATACAGGATTGGCGCGTGTAGGAATCCAATATCACGAGGGCACGCGTGGAGGGCAGAGTGTACCCGTGTGTATTTCATACTTGAGTGGGTTTGGGGTAGATATCACCCGGGAATATATATCATATCTGAGGAGCGGGCAGGATATATTGTATATGTCCCGCTCTAGGCCAAATGCGGGCAGGTATAATATATACAACCCGCTCCCGGGAATTTTTTCAAAAGTTTAAAAAAGTTTAAAAAATTTAAAAATTTAAATTTTAGAAGTTTAAAATTTTTCAAAAAGTTTAAATGTTACAATTCTATTGTATTGAACTGAAGGAATATTATGAAAATGTTAAATATAAATTGTGCTTTTACAGTATAGGCCTATCTTGTCATTTGAAAAAGGTGGTAAAGGTTATATCTACCCCAAACTCACTCAAGTATGAGATACACCAGTTATGTACGCTCGGTTTTGGATACAGTGTTTATCCCGCGGGAAATATGTGTATCTCCCTCGGTCCCTGCAGTCCCTCGTGAGATACACATATTTCCCTTGGGATAAACCCTGTATCCAAAACCTCCCAGTACATAACCCTTATATATACAACCTACCGCCGAGCAATACACGCATATACCGCCTATCAAATGTTTGGTTAACTACATCTCATAGGAAAATGGACAATAAAGGTAATATTGGACCTCTATCAATACCCTTGGATGGTTAGAATCGTTACTAAGATGTTCTAGCTGGCGGAATTGGCCTAGAATTATAGTTGAAATATATTTGTTATGTCCAAATTAAGAGATAAGTTAAACGTATAATGGTTTTCGATTTGTTTTTCTCATTCATACTCAATTGATAATGAGCCATACATAAGATATACTTGGGCCGGTAAATGTATGTCATATGTAAGAAAGAAAGAGTTTGCAAATAATAATATACTCACTAGATAGTTTTTCATGTTGACCCCACCCTCTGTTGAAGAAGGGGGTGAGGCTGTTATGATTTTGTCTCAACATAAATAGGGCACATCACTGTCACACTTTCTGGATCTATGGAATGATTTTAGAGCAATGCTGTGGAATTGTTTCATAGGCTTTGATGTACTATTGCAAAAGTTATTAGAGAATCCTCTTGAAATGAGGTATACTCAACATGGAATTGAGGGTAGTAAAAGGCTTAAAATAACAAATTAATTCAAAATATCCTGCAAAATGTCTAATAAATAGTGAACTTCATATTAATTGAACATTTTAGGAAGGATAAAAAAGAATTTGAAGAAATGATATACTCACAATTTTTTTTATATTGACCCCCCTCCCCACTGTTGAAGAAGGGGTGGGTTTGTGTGGGATTTTTTCTATCCACATTAAATGAACAATCTCTGTTATACTTTCTGGCTCTATATCAAATGGTACTCGAGCAAAGTTGTGGATTTTTTTCAGAGGCATTAATGTCCTAAAACAAAAGTTATGAGGGAAATTTTCTTGAAAACAGATATACTCAAAATTGAATTGAGGGTAGTAGAATGCTTAAAACCACAAATAAATCCAAAATATCCTGCAAAATGCCTACTAAATGGTGAACCTAATATTAATTGACCACCTTAGGCAGGATAAAAAAGAATTTGAACAAACAATGTACTCATTTTTTTCACATTGACCCCCTCCCCCTCCCCTGTTGAAGAAGGGATGGGTTTGTTGGGATTTTTTCTCTCAACATTAAATGGACACATCGCTGTCATACTTTCTGGCTCTATCAAATGGTACTCGATCAAAGTTGTGGATTTTTTGATTGCCATTAATGTGCTAAAACAAAAGTTATGAGGGATTATTCTTGAAAATACATATGCTCAAAATTGAATTGGGGGAAGTAAAATGCTTAAAATCACAAAAAAATCTAAAACATCCTGCAAAATGCCCAATACATGTGAACTTATATCAATTGACCATTTTGGGTATAGTTATGAGGAACTCAAGTTATACACAGTTAATTACTATGGGGGGCCAATATGAAATATTTTTTGTGGGCACTATATACAGGGTGTCCGGAAAGTAAAGATACAAATGCTCTAATTTCATTAGATTTACCTGTTGTGAGATGAAATTGCTACAGATTGTAGAATGACATTGTAACAATTTATCCTGAAACTGTCATGACAAGTTCTTTCAAAATAAAAAAGTTATGGTTGTTATGGTAACAGGAGTCGCGGGTATGTGGAGCAACGTCACAATTATGTTTTATAATTCCTTTCTCCTGTTCATATCATCTTGACGCTCCGTCGTCTGTTACAATTATGCATCAAATTATATACCACAACAGCAAAGGGATTAGTACTGTAACATTATTTAATCGTTTGACATTACTACTACTGTTATCCAGTATTATGTATTTTCCACCTTTATCTAAACATTCTTGATGCATTTTGACCTGAGATTCAAAGACCTAACAAAACCTTTGCTGTCAGTCTCTAAGATTGCTGATAACATTGGCTTCCAGCCGAGTCTCATTTTTATGTTGAACTTCTCACAAATATTGCTTTAACATTCATTAATGTAGAAGTCCAACGGGACATTATCAGGGAAATATGGGCCATTGTACAAAAAAAGGTAAATGTCGAGACATTCAATTGTAAGATTTGTTTCCTTTACTTTGTGCATTGGAGCATTGCCTGTGAAGGTGCACTATTGACTTTCCTATTAATCCAGGGATCCTTTTTCTGAGCACTTATATATCCCTTTTCTTTGATTATACTTGTGACATTACATAGTTCTGATATGTATCAATGATATCGTTATACTAAAGAAAATACTGTGGCAGCAAGAATACAATATTGAACAAAGCAAAAAACTGACAAGAAATACAATAATAAACACTATTTCAAATGGTTAGATTTTAGCAATTTATCACAATTTAGCGACATCCTGGAACTGCTCCACATACCCCTCACCACCGTAATCATGACAACCATAACTTTAACACATTTAGACTATATGTTATAACAGTTGGTAGATGTATTGTAATGTAGTTGCTCTTCAATCTGTAGCGATTTCATTACAAAAAGACTAAATCTCTTAAAATTAGAATATTTGTATCTTTACTTTCCGGACACCCTGTATATAGTGCCCACAAAAAATATTTCATATTGGCCCCCCATAGTAATTCGGGGGTGGGGGTTTACCCTAATTTTCTCTTGTAATACCCACCCTTAAACTTGCTCGGGCGGGATAAGATATAAGCCTATTCCAATGTAGAGTTGTTTCATCATGCAAAGATTCACGATTTCTTCATCGTTTTGAACAAAATGATACTTTTGGACGACAAGGATCTTGTACTAAAGAGTACAGAATAAATTTTTATATAATATAGATAATATGGGCCACAACAAATCAGCATCCCAAGTGCCATTGCACGAGTATTTACAACAACAACCATCACACAATCACTCTAAACATAGGCTTTTGACAAACTACCATTGTACAATCACTCAAAATACCAAAAATACCATTACACAATCACTCTAAACACATTAACAAACTACCATTACTCAATCACTCTAAACACATTAACAAACTACCATTACTCAATCACTCTAAACACATTTACAAACTACCATTACACAATCACTCTAAACACATTAACAAACTACCATTACTCAATCACTCTAAACACATTTACAAACTACCATTACACAATCACTCTAAACACATTTACAAACTACCATTACACAATCACTCTAAACACATTAACAAACTACCATTACTCAATCACTCTAAACACATTTACAAACTACCACTACTCAATCACTCTAAACACATTTACAAACTACCATTACACAATCACTCTAAACACATTTACAAACTACCATTACTCAATCACTCTAAACACATTAACAAACTACCATTACTCAATCACTCCAAACACATTTACAAACTACCATTACACAATCACTCTAAACACATTAACAAACTACCATTACTCAATCACTCTAAACACATTTACAAACTACCATTACACAATCACTCTAAACACATTTACAAACTACCATTACACAATCACTCTAAACACATTAACAAACTACCATTACTCAATCACGCTAAACACATTTACAAACTACCATTACACAATCACTCTAAAACACATTAACAAACTACCGTTACTCAATCACTCTAAACGCATGCCCAAACTACCATTTACACAATCACTCTAAAACACATTAACAAACTACCGTTACTCAATCACTCTAAACGCATGCCCAAACTACCATTTACACAATCACTCTAAACACATTTACAAACTACTATTACACAACCACTCTAAACACATTAACAAACTACCATTACACAATCACTCTAAACGCATGCCCAAACTACCATTTACACAATCACTCTAAACACATTTACAAACTACTAGATCTATTGCACAACCACTTTAAACACATTTACAAACTACCATTACACAATCATTCTAAACGCATGCCCAAACTACCATTTACACAATCACTCTAAACACATTTACAAACTACTATTGCACAACCACTCTAAACACATTTACAAACTACTATTGCACAACCACTCTAAACACATTAACAAACTACTATTGCATAATCACTCTAAACACATTTACAAACTACCATTACACAATCACTCTAAAACACATTAACAAACTACCGTTACTCAATCACTCTAAACGCATGCCTAAACTACCATTTACACAATCATTCTAAACACATTTACAAACTACTATTGCACAACCACTCTAAACACATTAACAAACTACCATTACACAATCACTCTAAAACACATTAACAAACTACCGTTACTCAATTACTCTAAACGCATGCCCAAACTACCATTTACACAATCACTCTAAAACACATTAACAAACTACCGTTACTCAATCACTCTAAACGCATGCCCAAACTACCATTTACACAATCACTCTAAACACATTTACAAACTACTATTGCACAACCACTCTAAACACATTAACAAACTACTATTGCATAATCACTCTAAACACATTTACAAACTACCATTACACAATCACTCTAAAACACATTAACAAACTACCGTTACTCAATCACTCTAAACGCATGCCCAAACTACCATTTACACAATCACTCTAAACACATTAACAAACTACCATTACTCAATCACTCTAAACACATTAACAAACTACTATTGCACAACCACTCTAAACACATTTACAAACTACCATTACACAATCATTCTAAACACATTTACAAACTACCATTACACAATCACTCTAAAACACATTAACAAACTACCATTACTCAATCACTCTAAACGCATGCCTAAACTACCATTTACACAATCACTCTAAACACATTTACAAACTACTAGCCTATTGCACAATCACTTTAAACACATTAACAAACTACCATTACTCAATCACTCTAAACACATTAACAAACTACCATTACTCAATCACTCTAAACGCATGCCCAAACTACCATTTACACAATCACTCTAAACACATTTACAAACTACTAGATCTATTGCACAACCACTTTAAACACATTTACAAACTACCATTACACAATCATTCTAAACACATTTACAAACTACCATTACACAATCATTCTAAACACATTTACAAACTACCATTACTCAATCACTCTAAACACATTAACAAACTACCATTACTCAATCACTCTAAACGCATGCCCAAACTACCATTTACACAATCACTCTAAACACATTTACAAACTACTAGATCTATTGCACAACCACTTTAAACACATTTACAAACTACCATTACTCAATCACTCTAAACACATTTACAAACTACCATTACACAATCATTCTAAACACATTTACAAACTACCATTACACAATCATTCTAAACACATTTACAAACTACCATGACACAATAACTCTAAACACATTAACAAACTACCATTACACAATCACTCTAAAACACATTAACAAACTACCATTACACAATCACTCTAAAACACATTAACAAACTACCATTACACAATCGCTCTGAACACTCTGGGATTAGAACAGCAGAAATAAACCAAAATGCTTAGTTTCGAAATAAAGTATATTTTCTATAGTAATATTTACATATTCACAAATAATATATAAAATATACTCAGTAATCCACCAAACACAATTCAGAAATAATATCCGGAGTAGAATGAGTATTGTAGAAACCTTTTCAATAGCATCGACCACTTTTTACAACATTGGAAGCTGTCACTTGAGATAAGTGCATATCTTGAAGGGTACATTCATTTTTTATATTTTTGAACGATTATAGACACCTCAATGTCTTCAAGTGCGATAACAAGTCACGTCTATAATTTTCAAGAGTTTTAAATACCTAAATAAAATCATTTTGTATGTTCCTTTAAGCCTTTAGAATATTTACAGGTCCGAAAATCTCTGAAGATGAATTCACAATTTAGTCTTTGTGGCAATATCCCTACTGTGGGGGATCGGCAGGTTTACTGTATGTATTCATGTCACTGTAGGCAGGTGGAGCGCCTGCTGCCTGCATTGCAGGGTTTTGCCCTGGCTGGCCGGGATATGCCTGTTGCGCTTGTCCGGGATATGGTTGCTGTCCGGGATATGTTTGTTGCCCAGGATATGCTGCTTGTCCTGTGGGGTATTGTCCCGGATATTGGTTCTGGGCAGGGTACGGAGCATATCCCTGGTTGATTTGACCATTGCCTGGGTAGGCTGGGGGCTGTACCATGACCCCTGGTTGCATGTTGCTGGTTGTCACCACTGTTGTTCCACCGGTTTGAACTGGAATCATATCAAATCCTTTTATTTTCTCACATCAAGTTATAATTGATATGCGGATTGGCAAAAAATATATCTTATAAATTGAAATGTAAGCTTATGTGATTGTTCAGCGGTCATTATTACTTCCCATCGGGAATCATAAGATAATCCTCTTTTTTACATGCATGAATACAAGTGATATCGTCACTTTCTTTTTTTATTCCTTTTTCTTCATAGAAAAAACATTTAAAAGCAGTTACATTAACATAAACAATATACATATCATAGCAGTCACACAATTTTCCATCATATTCTTTTTTAAGGCATCTAACCACACTAGTCTAATCTAATCTAGTACCCATAATTTCCCACCTTTTTCTCTGCCCATTACAAGAAGATATAAATGCTTTAAACCCTTTAAATGTAGGTCTTAACATCGAGTATTTGCATAGGTACACATATCTTTTAAATATACTCCACATATTTGTCAGGATAATTGTTCTATCATTTATACATACTTAAAATATTCTGTTTTGTACAAAGTACTGTCAATTCCTCTGGTAACCAGTTTTTAATGACTACTATTCAGTTCCATTATCACTTTACAGTCATAGAGGAGATGACAGATTGACTCTGGTTCTACTTTACAAAAGGTACACAGATCCGATTCTGATAATCCACACATTTTCAAATATGTGTTGTTGGCCAAAAATCTATGAAAAATTTTGAAATTGAAAGAAGCTAATTTTGGTTCAAAATTGCTGACCTTATTGATTCTATTGATCATTTTCCAGTCTTTTTTTTGTTAAGTAACAGATTCAGATTTTTGTTCCAACCAGTGATGTACTTTATATTTGTCTCTTCACTTTTTATAAATTCCCAATATATACTCCTCAAAAAAAGTTAAGGACCAGTGGTTTTCCTCATAGGTTTACATGGTAACCCCCATATTTGTTTACATGGGGTCTGCCATTTTTTTAATTTCAAGAAATTCATCAATTTTGACCCATTGTAATGGAGATATAACATTGAAGTTTTCGGACTTAATAAAGAATAGAATCAAGATACAGATTTATTTACTTTATCGGGTTTTCTTATGTTCCACGCTTAGAAAATAGTCGGTCAAACAAATATGGGGGTTAACATGTAAACCTATAAAGAAAACCACTGGCCCTTAGCTTTTTTTGAGGAGTACATAATTTTGCTTTTCTTACTTTGGCCCAAGAACTTTTTAATGTGTTGTTTTTGTCTTTCAAAGTTATTTAAACTATCACTATTGGTATTTAAAATAAATTCACCTTGTTAGGTAACATAAATTAAAAGAGCATTCATTATTTCAAAAACACATCATTTTTCCAAGTCATATTATGAACACACATTTCCTGAATTTTTTAAAAGAAACAAAACTAAGGTAGTTGTACATTCGGTAACGTATATATATCGCCACTTACAATGCGTTCACACATCAATATAACATACATGCATACATTTTCCTACCAAAAAATATATCTGAAATATAAATAATTCTGGTATCTTGTGATATGCACGCATTTACCATAATGGTATACAACGATATGTTCTTTTCTCAATTACAGAATGCTATCTGGAGCAATACAGCATGAAATTCGATGAGTATCGGAGTGCGTACTTACCAGTTCGGATGACATGTCCTCTATTGCGTACTCTGCTCCTGCAACATTCACAACAAGCGCAGCAGCAGATACAGCAGATAATGAATGGGACCAGCGTCAGAATAAGACCACCGATGACTATCCCTACGATCACACCAGATCTGCAATGTAATTACATAAGGGTATAAGACCACCTATGACTATCCCTACGATCACACCAGATCTGCAATGTAATAACATAAGGGTATAAGCCAAAGATGGGAGAAGAATGTCCATGATTAGATAAATATAGAGGTTCTGCTTATTTATACACCTAAGATGGGCACAAAAATAGGGGCCCATAATTGGTTCGATCCCACGTAAACTGAGTATCAGAAGAAATATGATGAACGTTAAATTCAGAATCCTCATTCATCCTAGTATTCTCAGCGATCAAATTTTGGGTCCAGGGTTGAAGCTTGCTCAGTGGCACAATCCTGTGGTGCAATCAAATAAAACACAATCCACTTACGTTAACGTTGAACATGTCGACGTTGGTCTTGGATATCTCAAGGAACAACTGGTACAGCAATAACGATTCGAGTAGGACCCGCAACAATATGATGGACACGTTATATATCTACCTTGCAAGTTACACGATTCCCAACTTGACACTAAAACACAAATAGAAAGTATTTATTGATGATTAAAGAAATCAAGATGGTTGTTTTCTGCTTATGGTTGTTTTCTGCTTCATTTTCAAGTTTTAATTAAAAAATTGTTTTGTCTCCCGAAAGATCTAATAAGTGTAGGCTATATTGCTTATATGTTTTAAAACGCCACGAAGCATTATAGACTTTATAAAGTTAGTTGAAATACACTAAACATATTTAAAGCCAGAATCAGATCTAGCAAGTATTTATCATCATCTAAATCATCATCTTGACGAAAATTGTTTCAACTTTGGAACATTTTGGCTCATGTCTTTGTCATGTCTACATGTATGTAGCTTTATTTAAGGAAACTTCAGATTTTTTAGAATAATGCATTCATTTGTCCATCAAGATGATAAACATTTTCATTATTTGGGAGAAGTTTTACATTTCCCCCATTTTTGCACTTTGAATCTTAAATAACTTCACTTAATAACACATCGCGGATCTTTTGTGAGATATTATATTTAAAACGGTAAGAGATACATTGGTAGATCAGTTGTACATATTTCTTGCAATTTTGTCAACCCCTTGCCCTATAGATCTGACTCTGCCCTTGACTCTATCATTCACACAAATAGAGTGCAACATTGAATATACAGGGTGACCGGAAAAAAAGGAGACCATTGAAGTAATCAATTTCTCCTAAACTAGACAAGTGCCATCAATGAAATTTTGCATACACTGGAACAGTTATATGGAAATTTGTTACTGAAGGTTTCAATACAAGCATTCAACTGGTTCAGGAGCTATGATCATTTACATAACATGCTCCAAATAGGCACAATTGAGACCAACGCAGAGTTGTTCATTCATGTTCTGCCCTCTATGGCATTATTATGGCATTACATATAGCAGTGATTGCCTTCTTTAGGTCAACAATAGTCTGAGGATTGTTTTGGTATAGATTGTCTTTCAAATATCCATACAAAAAGAAATCAGCAGGATTCAAGTCTAGGCTGAAATGGCAATGAAGGGTTATCTGACATGTGGTTCATCATCCTGTTGCCAAAGTGCTGATTTACCAAATCTTAAGAGTCACTTTAGGTATTGGGCATAGTGCCATGTTACTAAAACCACTATATGGCACAATTAAATCCCATATGAAAACCAAGGGCTGCCCAAAACCTCCTTAGGATGATACTGTAACTGAGTGGGACCACTGAGTCAGAAGCCATAGGTCAGATAAGCTTCGTCTCCATACACCTCAAATTTGAATCCACCTGATTTCTTTTTGTGGGGCAATTTGAAAGACAATGTGTACCAAAACAATCCTGAGACAATTGCTGACCTAAAGGTGGCAATAAATGCTAAATGTAATGCCATAACAAGGTCGGAATATGTAAGGGTATTTGCCAAATGTATCCAGCTCTGCGTTGGTCTCAATTGCGCCTATTTGGAGCATGTTATGTAAATGATCATAGCTCCTGAACCAGTTGACTGCTTGTATTGACACTTTCAGGAACAAATTTCCATAGAACTGTCCTGATGTATGCAAAATTTCATTGATGTCACTAGTCTATTTTAGGAGATATTGCCTATTTCAATGGTCTCCTTTTTTTCCGGTCACCCTGTATATGAACTCATTTTAAAACACCTGTATATTGTGTAGTACTCAAGAACGTAGAAAAATAGAAACAATTGAGTATCAACCGCTTGAACTGACATCCTAAAGAAATATACGTGTTTAAATAAATAGCTCCATCAAAAACAGTAAACAGATCAGTAAACATTTTCTGTAGCCTGCCCTGCAACACAGATGTAACATCAGAGACTTTATCATATTTTCATATGTAAATATCGTTCATTTCACATTTCATATTGATATTATTCTCTTGCAAATCTTCAATAGAGAAATGTGAACGAATATAAAAAGGTCCCGTAAACAGGTCAAACAATGTTAATAGGCCTGGGCGTTTTCAGTAGTCTATTGTTTTAGAGAAAAGATTCACTAGTACAATATACTATGCTGTAAATCCCCGGGCTATAAATGTTACTTACCAAGTGAAAATAAAGAAATAATCACAACTAATCCAAGTAAAACTGATCTATAGTCTTTCATAGTTTAAACTTTCAAAAGGAAATCAATATAAATGAAGAAAATTCCGAATTATGATCGTCACCCTTTCGGTTAGAGCTAGTTAGAAAAAATGCTGTTTCACTTTACTTGAATTTTAATTTTGAATATCTCGTGTGTTATTTTTGCTTCCTTGTTCAGCTAGTATTATATTTGTTCAATGTTGAAATCATGTGAAGACTCGTGAGTGCATTCGCCTATACTCCCCTCCATAAGTTTGGCAACCTAAGCTCACCCATTGAACTACGTGTTAAAGCCTCTTTACATTTGAATTTTTGTTTACTTAACCTGCAAACCCTCCATTTCCCATTGGATTACATGGGAATGACGATTTTCAAAAATTCATCAAATTTATCATCAATTTTCGACCTATTGAAATTGAGGGAAAAAATGAGAAAAAATGGAGGAATTGGAAATAAAGTCAAGTTACGTTTCCATCAATATTATAAGTTATTTCATCGCCGGTTAAAGAAAATAAAAATTCAAACGTTAAGAGGCTTTAATACGTAGTTCAATGGGGGAGCTAGGGTTGCCAAACTTATGGAGGGGAGTGTAAATTGCTTGCTATAATTTATCTGATAACACGACGTTAAGAGAGGCATATAAGCAAAATGCGAAGTGTGTATTATTTACACTCAACATTCAAAGTCCACGAATTTGACTATAAACGCGAATTAGTCATCGAATTGTTTTGGTTTATATTATTGATCATCAATGATATTGAAGACGATAACTACAGTTACTGACACAACAGCGACTGCAGTTGTCGGCAAAATAACATTGAACTTATAATACTTTACAATAACATTTATGTTATCACCCGAGGCTGAGGAAAAAAGTAGAAGTTAAACAATATTAAAGACTAGTATTTTAAAGTCTTAAAAAATATTTATTTGTCTATTTGAGTTACAAATATATGCACCCCATCATTGCATCGCTGGGTGTAAGTGGAACCGTTATAAATGAGAGTAGACTACCCCCCGGGTCCGAGTTTATTTCTGACTAATAAAATCAAAGATGCTGATATTTTACAAATCAGTTACCTTATGTTTTTGGATATAATGTGAAGATTCCTGGTATACGTGTCATACATAAATGTCATACATATATGTCATTTGATGATGTATGTCATACATATCATACATACATGTCATACATACATGTCATTCATATGTCATGTATGTCATACATACAGTACATCTCATACATAAATGTCATGCACATCACATAAGTCATACATAAACGGCATGTATTCCATACATACATGTCATGTATGTCATATAAAGGTAACTGGTCAACTCGTACCCAAGACAACTTGTACTCAAGACAACTCGTACCCAAGTATATATTTTGTTCTAAGTCAAGCGTTGGATTGGGAATGTGTATAGATACACATATTATAATTGAAACATACTGTTCAGTCGTTTGAAGAATTTTCAGAAGAAATTGATTTCATTTTGTGACATTTTGAGCTTTGAGTGTCAATTTATTTTGACTATTATTTTATATATTTCATATCATCAGAAGTCATAATTATGAAATTTAGCAATAGAATATTTTGAATAATATAAAAAATATAGAGATTATCCTATATGAGGTTCAGGATATTGGGATTATCCCGAGGCCAATATAATATATCTGCCCGAGGGCCGTAGGTCCCGAGGGTAGATATATTATATTGGCCAAGGGATAACCAAAATATCCTGAACCGACTATAGGATGATCTGTTTATCCCATACCAATCACATTTTCCAATTGGCCACAGTTCAGAAACTTTGCAACCAACCGTGGAATTATTTTAAAATAGCCATGTCCAGTTTTGTATTCTTGTCCGTAGCCGGAAAGCATCAAACACATCGCGATTGTCTGCGTTTTTCTCCAATGTCGTTTACAGTATGCGAACGTTACAAAAACGAAACGAACCAATATGGGAACAGCGATTATGACGTGGCGGGCAGATATACTATATCTGCCCGCTCGGAGCGGGACGTAAAGCTATATCTGCCCGCTTATGAAAATATAAGTTTTTACAAACCGGCTTTATGTACCTGTAACAAGTCCAAGTATGGGATAATATAGGAATATCCTATGGTTTTGAAAAAATATCATTTATATCCATGAGTGGATATTGATATCTTCATGAGTGAGCGCAGCGAATGAGTGAAGATATTTGTATCCATGAGTGGATATAATTGATATTTTTGAAAAAACATAGGATTGTCCGTTTATCCCATGGGAAATCATCATCAGCGAAAAAGTTGAAAAATACAATTTGAGAAAAAATAAAAATTTGAAAAAATGTTGAAATTTTTTTAAAATATTTTTGAAAATAATTGAAAATGTAAAAATAATTTTTTTTTGAAAAAAATCGAAACCATCGAATATCACTTTTCAAACAATCGAATATCACTTTTCAAACCATCGAATATCACTTTTTAAGACGTGATATTCGATAGTTTAAAAGTGATATTCGATGGTTTGTGAATTTTTTGCTAAAATATGATATCTTGATCCACATATCAAATATATCTTCATGTGATATTCGATCTATATCCTTGCAACCATGGGATAAATAATGATATATAATATTAATATCAAATATTATTTTGGTACCTATTCATACATGATATATTATTACACTTAGTATGCATGTGCTCAAACATAATCCAATTTAGTTCCAATTGGAAAAAATTAACAGATTAAATTTCCTTCAACTTTCTCAAAATGCACTAAATTAATTGTATGATTCATTTGTAGAAAAGTCACTGTTGTTATATATTATCTATATACACGGGTGTAATGCCATGATGATACCATGAGCACATGCTTTGAGGATCCGCGTTGTTATAACCTACCGCCGAGCTCACTTATACATTAAGCCCCGTTACACAGTCATGATACCGCCGAGCAAGCTCATTGCATCATACGGTCTGCTTTACCCCGGGTATATATATGTTAGACAAAAAATGTTGAGAACAAGCACTTCAACCTCTTTTATTAATAAAAAAGGTGATTCAAGTTGAATCAAAATGCTTTACTTAATCTATTGAGAAAAAATGTCTAAATTCAAAAAATATTGAGGCTTATTTGAGTCACATTATAACATGAAAACATTATTATACAAACTCATTTTGTTTTCCTAATATGCACCCATAATACTGGAAATAACTTGGGTACGAGTTGTCTTGGGTACCAGTTATCTTAGGTACGAGTTGTCTTGGGTACCAGTTGTCTTGGATACGACTTGTCTTGGGTACCAGTTGACTAGGAAGCCATATAAACACGTCATTTATGTCATGTATGTCATATAAACATGTCATATATGTCATGTATGTCATACAGCCATGCCATATGTCTAGTACCTATGCTTCAAGAAGATCATAATCAAAAAAAATTCCCCCCCCTTAAAAATGTTGACTTTTGAACAAATGTCAAAATTGCCCCCTCAATAAAACCACTTTCCCCTTTTAATGGTATATTCAAACATTGGGATGAATTTCACAAATAGGGTCATTCTTTTGGCCCGAATTTGTTCATCTCTGGATACAGCTTACCAAGACCATCATTTTGAACACTAAACAAAGGTCCATGTGCAGTATGGCAAGTGATTTTAGACGGTCATATCTTTCACCATGAGTACTTTCTGTGCATAAATACAGTGGTTTTTAATAAAACTATGTTTTCTTTCAAGTAAATCCCAATGATGATAAAAATATCAATCGAACAATTCAAAAAATTATAAATAGGGACCCCATGTCAACATTTTTTTCAAAATGTTGAACTTATTTGCCCAAGAGAGGGTCTTCTTTTTCTGATTTTTATTGCATTAAAACATTATTTAACAAGGGGTCTAAAACATCTTCAAAAGTAGAATGGTATTGAAAGTCTAGTTTTGAAGATATTAATTTTCGATGACCAAAATCATGCTGAAAACAATGGATAGCATGAGTTTTAATATAGTGTAGAAGAAACTTTTGATACATTTAAATTGAGAAAATCAAAATCCTCTTTTTAGAAAATAAGCCTTACCCCCCTATCACACCAAACTAGTTCTTACCCGTTCTTGCCAGTGCTACGAAAACATCGTAAAACGGGCTCAATCTGGCTTTTGTCGGGAAATATGTCTGAAATAATTAGCTTCTTTGTTCTTAAACAGTCTTCAATACGTCCATCTCGTTCGCAGTTCGTTCAGGTCGCATCACGTCGGTGTGCAACGTCGTAGAACGCGTCCCTTAGTCTAGAAGGTCAACATGACCTGATTACAGAACGGTATGGTCGCCATCGAATTTTGAATCGATTCAAAATTCTAAAATCACATTCCCGTCTGAGAACGTTCATAAAGTTCGTAAATAGACCTTAGAAAGTTGCAGCTACGTTCATTCCGTTCGCAAACAGTTTAAAACCAGTTTTGAAGAACGCAGTGGCAACTTGTTTGGTGTGATAGCTATATTTTTGCTAACTCGTTCATAAACAGTGTCAAATACGTTCTTAATCGGTTTAAACCCGTTTGCAATTAGTTTTACCTCGTTCTCAACATGTCCTCAGACAGTTCAACTCGTTGTTAAAACGTCCCTAGTAGGATTGAAGTACGACGGTTCCGTTCGTATTACGTCCAGCTCGTCGTTAGTACGTTGTCACTCGTTCTAATTGTAGAACGTGACGACCACGAGAACATTTTGAGCACTGGAGAGGTTAAGCAAATACGGTTTTTCAAAACGTATACGTAAACGCAAAGTACATTGAATCAACATAGGATTGTATCGCTTTAGTCTACTTCAGATACCCGTTCAACTTCAAAGTTGCGTGTTTAGAACGGGAGATTTTAAATTTTCACGTTGCTATCAACGGGAATCATTATACTCATGTCTGTTGAATACTATCCTTGCAATTTTGATTTCGATGCAGAGTATAATTCTTTCTAAAGAAGATGATGTATGTTACGCATGATTTAACTCCAATAATCTTACGAAACGAGCTCGTTTAAAATATGTATTAGAAAACCAGCTATTGAACTTCATCAATGGCATACTATGTAATCATTACAAGCTATGGTGTAGTCTAAACAAACACTAGAGCTGAACGGCTATTTATGTGTGAACTCTACATGTATTTGTATAGGGACGATTGATACGTTTAAGTTGCGTTTTGGATTTTATACGGTAGCTTAACCTCTCCATTGTCTAAGTTCTAGAGGACCTACCCGTTCGAGTACGTTCGATGAAGTTTGTAAATAGATCCCAAACGGTTCTTAGTAGGTCCAGTCCGTTCGTACACAGTTGAAGCCCGTTTTCGAGAACGTAGTGAGAACTAGTTTGGTGTGATAGTAGGGTTACATTTTTAAAAAATTGACAAGATGGGGTCCTAATCCATAACTTTTCAGAGAGTGGGATTGATATTTTACTATCATGGGGATGTCACTTTAAAAAAAACATATTGTTTTAATAATAAAAACCACTGTATTTATACCTGGAAAATACTCATGGTGAAAGATGTGACTGTCTTAAATCACTTGCCATACTGCACATGGACCTTTACTAGTAAAATAAGACATAGTGGAATAAGTTCAGTAATTGTAAAAGTATATTTCATATGTATTACTATGTACAGATATATATTACAACAATGTACACTTTTATATGGGTTGCATGTGTTTGAATGGTGGAATGAGTGTTTTTTAAAACATTGGTTTAATTACTGTTGCATTTTGACATGAACTTAAATAATTTATAATTTGCAAGATCAAATCAAATTGAAGCAGAAACATACACATGATACAGGCACACTTGTAAAGTTCCAGCTGCAATCAAAATTTCAGATTTTTGCACATATAGTGGAATTGCTTATTACAGGTGCATGCAATTGAAAGTTTGAAGGTCATGCAACATGGCTACGCTTCTCTTTTCTATTTGCACTTGGAGAAATAGAGGCTTGATACAAGACTATCACTTATGTCATTGCATCTTCTCTAAAGTTGAACTCAAAACCATGTTAATAACTTGAAGGAAATATCAAACTGGTTGCTTAATTGATAACAGGAATTTTGCGATTTCTTATTGGTAGTTCTGTCCATTATTTTAATATGTTTTATGCCTGCATCGAGACTGCTTTTCCAGCAATGGACGGTCCGCTCATTGTTCTATTGTCAGTTTTTGTTCTCATGTGTTCAGACATTCCTGGTAGTCTCGCAAAGTAGTTCCGTGCCAAAACATGCTTGTGTTTCACCTTGTGAATAAAAACTTTGTCGTATGCCTGAAAGATAAAGTAACTTTGTGAAAAACAGACACCATTATAAAAACTTTATCTCCTAAAGGTTTTATACTTTTGTATTTTGTTTTATCCTTTGAAATATCCCAAATATATTAAATAAAAATCCATTTACATTTCACATCTCATAGTAAAAATTTATTTTTGTCTTCAGACAGAATTTCATTTATTAAGTTGTAGCTTATGGTTCATAATTTCATGAATGAATATTGAAAGATTTCCCTTACCTCTTCTAAATTTTTAAGTTTCTCATGTGCAGATGCTTCCTCTTTAGTTAAGAACACACAGTTCCAGGGGGACCATTCCTCATGGATATCCCAGCGTACAAGAACCAAGTCATAAAGGTCCTCCCATGCACTAAGTCCACTCTGGCTGGACCAGATGTTCTCCACCATGTAACGCAAGTCACTCTCCTGAAAAAGAGAATTTTACAATGTGAAAATATGATCAAGGAATATCACTTTTGTTTTGACTTGATTCAAAATTAAGTTTGAATCAATATAATACTGTTTGCATTGCATGTGTTTTGTCATACATGTGCAGTTTTTTTTTATTGCTTCTCATTAGGAGACAATAGGATATATTTAGATGGAAATCAAAATAAAAAACAAAAAGGCACAAACCTGTAAGAGATAGCAGATCTTCGAGCTATCTCCATGTGCCTCTTCCGATCTCTGTATAGATTTCATCATATGACGATAATGACTATAATCTTGACGCAAACGGCCATCATTGTCAACTTTCTCACACTGGCGACACTTGCTCGTGGTTCTAGCGTTGGAGGAAAGTTGAAATTCTGTGGAGGGAAGGTATTTATTACAGCTTGGACAGAAGTAGATGTTTTTACGCAGCTGGGATGGATCTTGGGGTACCTGGAAAGTAACATATTAATTAGTACAGCCTACAGGGTATCTCTCTTTTTTGAGTCACATTTAAGATAGTACAGAGTGTCTCAGAAAGTGTGACCTACTATTTTTGGAGTCACTATGTCAATACCATGTAATCTTTTTGAATTTTCTGGTGTAGATGGATTGTGTTCAATACTTAAATGTGTGTAAATTTGAACTCCTAATACAATCATTAGTACAGTGTTCTACAGTAATCATTATCCAAGTGGGATAAAACCATATACAATGAACTTCAAATCAGAAGCCACATTGCCATGCAATAGCTTACATGTGAGTCCATATTTCATGTTATATTACATTGAGTAAATAAGGGTTATGTACTGGGAGGTTTTGGATATGGGGTTTATCCAAAGGGAGATATGCATATCTACCTGAGGGACCATAGGGACCGAAGGTAGATGTGCATAACTTATGAGGGATGAACCCTATATCCAAACCGACCGTACATAATTGCTTTATCCTATACCAAGTTGAGTTTTCAAGGGCATATGGCCATTTCAATAGTACAAGGTGTAAAAATAAACAAATCATTCATATGCGAAGTCATTTTATTGCATTACCGGAAGCGGGAAGATATGCACCGGAAGCGGGAAGATATGCACCGAAGCGGGAGATATGGCGGGAGATATGGAGGTTCTGGATATGGAAACCTCAAAATCAGGATACGGGATATATCTTACCAACTTATCTCCCTAAAACTCTACTTGGCATAGGATAAATCATTTTATCAAGGCCTTATCAATGGTGTTATTTTCCTGATAATTTTATGATTCCTACACCAACTCCCAGTTATACACAATTGACACAATTACATTGTATGAGACATTATCACACAATCAGAAAAAGATAATGTAAAGATAGATTATAACTGATTTTGATAAAACCATGGTATAGAAATATATTTTCAACACTAATTTATCTACCATACCTTGAGCAATCGTGCTGCCTCTGGGTTGAATGTTGGAGTTTTGATATACTGCAAAAATAGTGTGGAGATCCTCTTCCTTAGTCCTTCGAGGTTACTCTCCTTGACGCCACGCATTAGAAGGTCAGCCTCACGATCTATGAGTTCTATGATCTCCTGGGTCAGTTTACAGTCATGCTCCTGGAGTGGAAATATGAAAATTAAGTACAATGACTTTCTTTACAGTTATGCACAAGTTCAAAGTACAACAGAATTTATTTTTTCAATTAAACACATGTTTAAATTTTTCTTCAAGAATGAGATAAAAGTAGTAAAGTGGAATATCTCTAGCATACTTAGTTATTTTTTTAATCTCAAGTTTATTCTTAAAAATCTTATTTTTCAGAATCTCCGTCTTCATGAAATATTCAGCTCTGAAAAAATTGCCCCAACTTCTTTTCTATCAATCATTTAGTTTATTATCATTTCGAGACTTACAACATAAAGATATTGATGTTAAATTGTTAATCATAAGAACAATTCAAATTTCTACCTTGACAGTGTGCTTGAGTGTCAACAGTACATCCAGCCTTTCATCTTGAGTCAGGTACTTCATATTGATGCTGTTGTATATGTCTTTCAGCTCCTGTGCACGTATGGTGTAGGGGGTGTCCATCTCTGTGTTGCCACCATCAAATGCTTTCCAGCGCTTAGGAGCAGCAGCCTATACAATAAAAATGCAGATTGTTAGGCAAGGAAAAATAATTCTTCTGGTTACCAGTCTTTCTTCAAGCTCACCACTGACAGGCTTTCTTTTCTTTTGATTTACAGTAGTTAACTTTTGTCTTTCTTTTTACATATATTTTTCACTCTCTCATGCAAGATAATTATTTTCTATTCTTTACAATCTTATTACACTATGCATATCACTAAAATAGAGAATACCAAAATAAAGATACCAAAAATCTATACCTTATCAAGAAAGCCCTGGATTCTTTTTTGTTTGTTCTCATCTTCTGCATCGAGTTTGTGTCTCCCTATAGATGCAATGAGCTGTGTCTCTTGCTCAAGAAGCTGGCATAGGGCTGCCTTACGCTCTGCCCCTGTCAACTCAGCATTGATCTTTTCCACCTCTTCATCTCTCCATTCTATACATAGATCATTTAGTATGTAGTGAAATATTTTACTTATTTATAAATTATTGCTTACGCTTAATATAAAACGTTATCAATTATACTTGAACACGTTTGTATAGTACTATATAATGGAATAGATAAATTAATATGGGTTTCAGGGTGCAACTTTTACTTTGTTCTACTGTGTAACAAGGCATTAACATGACAAAATGTCACCACCTAGTTGCTCTTTATATTATTACTTCAATCTCAAGTCAGATTTGAACTTCTGAGAACTTGTAGATGATTTAAAAAAAATATTGGTCAATTTGAAGCAAGATGAAAAATACCTTTTTGACCTTTTTTACCTTGAGAAGGTCAATGAAAGTCAAATCTAAAATCTTAAGTCAGATTTGAACTTCTGATAACTTGTAGATGATTTTGAAAAAAACTGATGTCAGTCGTATTTGTTAAGATTGGAAGTTTTAAGAATTTGTTACAGACACTAACCGCCATCCGTTTTAGCATTTTAGCATTTTTATGTCATGTAGTTAACTACATGTGTCATAATTGTCACAATTGTCATAATTCTCCCAATGCATCATTTTTTTCAAATATTCTCCAGAGTGGTGCTCATTTCTAAAATAAAATGGAACCTACTTTCTAAAGCATGGTACAGCAAATCAAAGTCCTCTTTTGTTTTAGGATTCATCCTTCTGGAAAATTCCTTTTTAATTCTATCTTCTTTTTCCTTCTTCTTGCGTAATTCCTCCCTTCTCTCCCATTCAATTCTTTTTCTTTTATCATCACGTAACCTTGTAACCTGCCGCTTGGCCAGCCACCTTCTGTAGTACTTTTGAATTATAATAATCTAAAATAAAGTAAAATATGATATCAATTTTAAGGTTATATCATTCAATATCAATACACACCATGAAACCTAATACTCAAAAGAAACATTTTTCCATATTCAACTATCTATTGAAAAAATGCTATGGATGACGAGTAATTTACACATGAAAAACTCATTCTTTGTTGATTAAGCAGTGATTTTAGCACTATAATAATTAATTATTAAAGATAAAAAACAGCACATGTATTTTATTATTCAACATTATAATATTGAGAACAATTTGCCATCATTTTTCGATCATTAATTTGAATTATTTTTGTGCATACTTGTAATTAACAATAACAAAGAAAGAATTTCAAGCATACTTAAACAAATCACCTAAATTTTTAGTGCTAAAGAAATTTCTGTACTTGGGGTATAAATTACAGAGCAAATAAAAACTCATCAATTTACCTTTGTCAATATCATAGCATGATGTTCATCAGCTGTAGTGTACTTTCCAGGTATAATTAGACTATCCTCCATGTTGGATACGTACACTCCTATCTTTGTCATTTGTGTTGAGGTGTCCTCAAATGTCTGAATGACTTCGTGTTTTTGTTGATGAGTTTGTGTGTCGCGACAAAATCTTTCAACATTGCTCGCTGTGGTTGTTTTTTGTTGTGTTTGGGCAGATGCATGGTGGTATATAGCGTCCGTCTTTTTGTGTCTATAGCCACCAAGATACGGTTTCTTTCTAGTGGCCCTCTCTATTTCAACAACGACATCACTCCATGTTCCATCATCTAAATTTTTTTAGAAGATATGCATGTACAGTCACATTGATACATGAAGTCGAACATACATATTACATGTAAATACATAAGCCATGACGGAATAGCTGACAAAAAGCCAATGATTTCCATTGGTTCAGTTTTTTCGAAAAATATCGAACAATTTATTCTATTTCCAAAGTATGACACAATTTAATAATTTCAACTATGGATGTAGGAAATAATTTTTGGGAATATTTTACGAAAAGTGACAATGTAAGGTTTCCTTACCTGTCTGCACCCGTACAGTGATGACATCTGGCATGTGATATTCTACTTTGGGTCTGATAGCTCGAATAGGTGTATTGACAGGGTCAGCTGATTGCATCTCTAACTGCACTGTGCCATTGGGACCAACCCCTAGGTCTGACAGAGTAATATTGTCTGACATATTCTTCCCTGGAAAATAAACATATTTCTTAAAAATATTTCAGTGTTACTTATATGTGTAAGAGGATTATATGTCTGCTATAAATTGTACTTTTAAATCCACAGACTTTCTTACCAGGCTTCTTTCCCCCTTTTCATTCCATTTGTAATTTTTTGAATGTTTTTGTTTTTGGTTGAGGTTACTAAGTGAAGAAATTGTGGTCTATGACATCATAATAAAGTTGAAGATACTGCATTATTAAAAATGAATATGACAGTTGTCTTGGATAATCTTTATGACATCATAATGCTAGATTTAATTTCATTATGACATCATAAAGAACTGAAAAAATACATGAAATCCACTTGACATCACAATATAACAACATTGAAACAAGATGACATCATAATACATATTGGCAATACGGGTGTATATAAGACAAACGAAGAGAAAAACAACAAATGGGCACTTGTCTTTGCTCACAAAAACTTCAGATCTCCAAAAGCTGCATCTGAAACTAAATGTAATTCATAATGTCCTGGGCTTATTAGAGTAGAGAACTTAACTTACCATCAAACATGAGTAATATGAGTTGTGGTGGCATCTTCAGCTCAGCTGCAAAATGATCCTTTAATTCTCGCAGTGTTTGCCCCAAAGTACAAGCTAGAGTTGCAACTTGACCACTAGGCATCAAAACAAATTTTACTGAAAATAAAATGTAGGCTATTATATTTTGATCATAAAATTTTTAATGTTGAATGATATGAAATGTATAGAAAAAAGAAAATTAATTTGCAATCTTATCAAAGGCTTTTTATTTCACATCACTGATAATGAAAGAACCATATACTGGTGTAATTCTTAATATAGTCTGTAATAAATTCCTGTTTACTCACCTGTTGCAGTAGCATCATTTAAGCTCATACTGGGGGGAATTGGAGACTCTGCATGGGGATCAACCACATGGGTGTCCGTGGTGGGTTCAGTTCCTGTTGCAACATTATCTTGTTCCGGTTCAGGACTCAATACAGGGTGGCTTGATTCTTCCATTGTAGCTGTTGGGACTAAAGTCTGCGCTTCAGTTTCAACTGGATCTGTGTTGCTATTAACATTTTCTCCATCATTCATTTTGTCAATCTCTTCATTTTCAATGGTCCCTTGTGCTTTTTCTGTTGCTATTGTCTCTTCATTTTCAGTTCTATCAGTTGCTTCACCTCCTGTCATTTCATTAGTGTTGTCTGGTTCAACATTGTCATTTACTGATTCTCTTGGGCTGGTTTCTTTTGGACTACTAGGTGCAGGACTGTCTGTCTGTTTTTGAGAATCAATATTTTTCATTCCTTCCTCTTTTGTTTCATCCTCATTTTGTTTATTGCTAAGGTTATCTTCATCTTTGGGTTTTTCTTCACTGTTCATTTCGGGTTTATTTTCAGTTTGTTGTTCAGTTGGCTGGGAATCAGGTTTACTATCAGCCACCTGTCCATTATCTTCGGACACAACTACTGGCTCAGCCTCCGACATTCTTTCCTGAAATCAAAAGAACTCATTTAGCTCAAAATATCATAGCAAATTTGGATTGATCTTGGTCAGCCATGTTGGATTTTGCACAGAAAAATCTCCGCAATTTAATTACAGATATGTGTCGTATAGGTTGTATAGATTGCGATAACAACTATGCCAGTTGATTCTTCGTATAGTCAACATAGACAACCTACCTGTAAAAGGTACCTCAACACCAAAGTATATGTACAAATTTAAGAATATTTGAGCTCCTCAAAATGTAAAAATATGACCTACTTTTTGCCGATTGTTTATCATACGTCACCGTTGTTAGGTACTACTAGTTCCCGGGAGTGTGCCTTTAACTTTTACGCAAAAAGTTATATTTATTTTACAGCTACACATTCACGATGATAGACTTTATTGGTATCAGTTAATATATCCAATATTAGATCTTTGATTCAGAATAACATTTTGTTATCGTTTTGATGTTTCTTTCAATAGCATTATATGCGCAAATTGATCGTTTTCGTTTCCCACGTTATTCTAGCTTGATTCGATTCACGAAGTCATTCGGTAATTTCCGTTACTTTCCATAACAACAGTGCAGAAGAGAAAATTTGATAAGTTCATTACACTTTTATGACTTATTGAGCATGTTTTGAAAAAAATAGTAACATATTACCAAAATGGATTAAATAGATCCACATACTGGCGGAAATTTGTGACTTTTTATCCAGTCAGAGAGCCAAAATTTGAAGGTAAGTTCAACTTTCAATTTGTTTAGAATTTCCAACATGGCTGACTTCAGTTCGAAATACTGAATAATTTCAGAATTAAAAAAACTGTCACTGCATTTGCTGTTTTGAAGATGAATAATTGCAGTGTTTCCTTTCTCCTATGTATACTAAGCTTTATGATATTTCTTGCGTTACTGTAGGCTAGGCTTACACCTTACACCCGGGACCTTACAACTGATTCTAGATTCTTGAGCATGTAACAAAAATATAGCATACAGTACTCTGAGGACTCGATGCTTGTTTTTATGTAGTGCGAGACTATTTCATTTGGATCTAATGCCAGTCCATTGAAAGAACAATTCCTAAAACAAATTTCACTGAATCACTCTCACGATTAGCCTGTACTAATAGAGATGTGGCACGTGTCAGTGGCGTAGCCAGGAAGACAAAAGGTGTTAGGCAAAAGCTTTATAAAAAGACAAGCGCCTTGTCTGCCTCATTGTGGCTACACTAGGTTCAATCATGGAAAAATCAGCTTGTGAGAAACATTTCCATAATTCAGATTCAAAAATCGATAAAAGTTATGCAGTTAATTTATAACTTCATTGACAGAGGAATGTTCCTCAAAGGATGTCAAAAAGGACTAAGCTTCATCTGCCTCATCCTGGCTACACTACAGCTTGTAGGTGGATGCATCTTTCCTGTAGGCCCTCTGTATCTGATATTTTCAGGGCCTTTAACTGCGATCATTTACTTCATTAAATAAGGTTCAGTTCCATCTACATGTACTGTAGCACCTTTGAAACATCCCCAGAATGGTAGAACAACTTCAGGAATAAGTCTGACTTTCCACCTCCATGTATTTAACCATGATTTGCAATTTACAATATATTATGTTGAATTCATACTGTTTGAGAATTACACTTTTGTTAATGTAACCAGGAGGTGGTGATATTTCTTGCCATGTTTATCATCTGTTGTATATGTTTTTACAGATGGCTCATGTGAATGCAAGAAAGAGTAAAATGTCAACAACAAAGTACCTTGGTAAGGGCCCAGATGGTCTCCCTAGACTGCCACCTATACCATCTGCCCCCAAGAAACAAGATGACCCATATGCTAACAGTAAACTTATGACATTCAGGATGGCCAACCATAAACAGGATTTACTCAACAAAATCATGTAAGATATGTCATTAAGTCCAAAAATACAAGAATCTTTACATTTTGTCGAAGTCCTACATGTACATTTTGATACTCATTACTTCTCAATTGTTATGTGACTAAAGTATTTCTAATACTTAAGTTTTACCAATTATCACAAAAATTGGGTGCTTATACAAAGCGTTTCTTGGATCAGTTTTTGCAGATACAGCAATTGCATTTGGAACATTAATTTTAATTTGCATGCTGTAGGTTGGACAATGCACTGGCTGTGTACAAGGATACAGATGAATGGAACAGTAAGAGAACCCCATCTCCCGAAGCTCCGGAATACCCAGATGAGGTATGTACGATTTAAGGCTATGAACCAATGATACATGTATTTCAGAAATTTTGTAAACCTGTACTGAACGACCAAGAAATATTGCATTCTCTTGTAGATGCTGTCTTGTACTCAAATAAATTATTTATTGAATAATGTTTATATACATGTAATAGTATTATTGACTCTTATAATTTATCAGCGATTCAACGCAAGAGTAAGTGAGAGCATGAATTGAAAAGAAACATTGCATGTACTCTACCAGAATACCACACACTTGTAAAGAAACACACTCACTCTATTATTATGTAGGAATTATGAACTTTCTGTGACACCTCTTCAGAATAGTTGTACAATCAAGTCTTGATGCATGTTTGAAAATATGGAAATATATTCTAATATATATATCTTTTTTCTTTTTTCCCCTCTCCTTGAAACTGCTTCTTTCATCTATTTCCTCTAATTAATTCTTCCTCTTTATCTTGATATGCTTTAATTACTCTGAATTAATCTGGCTTGTGTTTGCAAATGCCATTTGAATTTTCTCCAAATATGTTTTGTAATATTCTTTTTCTCTTAACACTTGGCACTTATTTCTGGTTCCACTTTGAACTGTTCTCTCAATGCACTTTTACTTTGATACACTTTTACTCTGACTGCACATTGAACTGTTCATTCAATGTATGTTTACTCTGGCTGCACTTTGAACGGTTCTCTCAATACACTTTTACTCTGACTGCACATTGAACTGTTCTTTATATGTATGTTTACTCTGGCTGCACTTTGAACGGTTCTCTCAATGCACTTTTACTCTGACTGCACTTTGAACTGTTGTCTCAATGCACTTTTACTCTGACTGCACTTTGAACTGTTGTCCCAATGCACTGGTTCTCTGTTCTTTTGTCACACTTTGCCTATCTCTATAACTCTATACAGATGATGAGCAAGGACCGTAGAGTTAGGGTGAGATAAATTTCCCTATTTTAGATTTCAAACATTAATATAACCCTGTGAAATAAAAGAGATATAAAGTTTGAATATAAATAACAGTATTTTATTCAACCTTTTTGAAAACAAACTAACAAGTGTTTAACAAAAGTTAATTTGTTGACTTAAAAAAGACATATAGAGTGACCCCCAGAAATGCAACCCTCTTATTTTTGAATAACTTAACGTTTTAGTGCAATCTTCAATTCTTTTGTGTAGAAAGTTGTTTTTTGGGTCACCCTTTATCACATACAAACAATATATGCATAGATGATCAATTAATAAAATAACAGATAAATGCTTGTAAATTGCATTTTGAAAAATAAAATAAATGTTACCATTCTGTTTTGATCATGATTGTCTCTCTATACATGTGCATCATCTATATTGTATCAAACCTTTAATAACTACTTCTACGTTTCATTAGTTGAACTATCAGTTCATGAAGCGATGTGTGGAGGAGACTCCAATTACCCCTATGCCCAGGGAATGGTTTGACAATATACAGAATATGATACCTCCACACTTGAAGAAGACCTGTAACTATGATGATGTCATAGATGAACTCTTTGAGGAGGTCAGCGGAGATTTTCACTCAAGTATGAAGAGGACAAATGGTGAGTGAATATTTAGAATGTATTATCTCTTTATATTGAGATATTGAAAAATGAAAATTTGGAGGAATTTTCTTTCTTTTTTAAAATGACTGGTCAAAATAGTCTATCAACCAGTATATTGTTCCTCATGGAAAACACCTCATGATCTTTTTTTTATCTCCAAATTCCAGTGCAACAAGCATTGAGAAAACCAGATGTATCTGGTCTTGAAGATGATGACAATGTCCATCCAGAAGAGGAACCATCTGGGCTGGATTACTCAAGTCCCTGGCATGAGGAATTTGTGCTTAATAAGGAGGAGATTAGAGCGAACTTACACATCCTACACCCCTCAATGCAGACTGTCCTAAACATGTGCCAGACACAAATTGGTGTCTTGACATTGTTCAATTGTTCTGCAATAAGGTATGCAGTTTACAATGCAAATACAAAAAATCTATATCAAATCTCTTTCAAAGGAAGACTGTATGTTGGAGATTCTGAGTCCTAAAATTAATTTATCATTTATACTATTTAAAACTTAAAAAATCAATGCTGTTAAACAGCTCCCTCTTGAGAACTCCACTTACCAGTGTCTTTTTGTTCAGCAATAAATGTTTCTCCATCAATTCACACGTCAAATGACGTAATGTTTTTACTTAATAGACATTGTTGCATTCTGATTTATATCCTCTTATTTATATGTTTTTGTGAGAAGAACTAAAAGGGATGTAATTGATGATTTATATATGTGTTTTTATTTGGCAGGACTCTTGGTCCATTAGACTTTGACAGTTTGAAGAATGATGTGACTCTAGAATCTGAGAAAACGGAAGAGAAACTAATGATCAGGTAACAATTGTTATTTTGTTATTTCTAAGATTTTTGTTGATGTTATGATAGAGATGTGTGGCCAGCCAGTTAATCATTTTTTATTGCAGATAGACCAAAGTTTGTACTTAGTCACTTGTCATATCAATATAGAAATTTAACCATTATTGATTTCTAGATTTTAACATTAAGTACATGTAGTGCTCAAGGAACACACCAAGAAACCTGAAATGTGAAAAAGTATGCACTTTGGAGATGTTTACAAAATAGACACGACAATGGATGATATGAGACAAAAGTACATGTATTCTAAAATTGAAACTATTTTGTTAAAGCTGCTTGCTTGACCTGATACTACCTTTAAATTACATATTGTTATGTTATCTTTTTTCAGTTGGTTCCAAGGTGTGATAAATGTGTTTGCAGACAGGAACAATTTCACAAGTGTACGTGCTGATAAGCTAGATTCCTTCTATGGTGCACTAACAACACTCATTTCAACACAGGTATTGGACAAATCTTTTTTTCACCCACTCATCTGTCTGTCCATATATCAACAATTGGGACAAATAAAAACTCATTTGTCTAAACCAATTCTCATATACATTTTAGGGGCTCCCTGCTTGTGATTTATATGAATCAATGTTTACCTATAGACCCCTTAGCCAGAGCCCTATATAATCAAAGTGGAATTGCATATTTAATGCTTCATTTTTCAGTGTCATTGCATTATTATTTTTTTCAAGTTGAAGGATCTCCTTGTGCGTTCCATAGAATCCTGGGTGGATCTGTTCGATGAGAGTAACAAACTAAACCTCCCTCTCCTAAAAATGGAACTAACATTTGATGACGAACGCATGCAATTTTACCCCACCTATGATGATTTAGAAGAACTAGTCTTATTTGTTGTGATGCAAATCACCAAAACATGCCAGCAAGTGCCGACTGTTCAGTCCTGGCTAGCTGGTGGTAACACAACATCCAATACAGATGTGTCAGTAGCTCAACACATACTAGATGCCACATATGTTAAACTGAAGGAAGCTGTGAAGAGAAACTTTGAGGAACCAAAGGCTCATTTACAGTCATTTAGTGAGTATATGTTATAGATTGCCAAATGTGCGTTAGTGTTCCAGTTTAACATATTTCTAGTTTATTTTTTATCTGCTTTCATTTTTTCAGAACATCCTATAAAATGTTGTGGCTGAAATGTATAACTGGAATAAAGTTCATAGTAAAAACAGCTTACAGTTTTTACCATATTTTCTATTGATATTACTGCATAGAATTGTGTTGACATTTAGTACTATGGTGTAACATTACAATTGATTAATTCATGAGTATATTTCAAACAATGTCTATTTCATTAAAGTTGAGAGGTATGAGTGGATCACAAATGGAGAGGCTCTGAAGCAGATTAACACATACATGGAGGAAGAGCATTCATTTGAGGAATACATTGAGGTAATTAAATGGCTTTTATTTCTATTAAATAAACCTTCACTCAATGGATCCATATTATACAAAACAATAAGTATAAGTACATGTACAAACATTTACATTTACAATTTTGTTGAACTACAATGTTACAACTACAACTATTATTTTCCTAAACAAACACTTGATTTTTAATTGAGTTCTTATTTTTTAAATGTATTGAGATTCTAGTACTTTGCCAATGTAATCAATTATTCAGCAAAAATATTTTTTTCAAATTCTGTTCATATTTCCTAGTTTATTGAGAAACTCAGTAACCTGAGAAAATACAATTTTGAAAATCTGCTCAAAATATTAGATATTCTCTGCTTTGTTTTCTAGTATATTGAGAAGTTTCGTAACCTTGCCAAGGAGATCATGGTTCTGCCAAGTATAGAGCATTATGATATGATCAGACTTGACTGTGAGGACCTGAAGATGGGCCTTGCTAATGCTGCCAGGGGACTAGCAGACATCCTCCTCAACAAAGTGGCAACAAACCATAGGAACGAGAACAAAGAGTAAGTACATAATTCACTTTTGCTTCTGGAATAACACCTAAGCTGAATGTATGGCAATCCACAAAATTTATTTAATTTTGTCTTGAACCATATCTTTCTTAAATAAGATATAATCCTGATTTCTTATGTACCTAGATCTAAATAATTTCATTATAATAATGAAGATAAAAAAACATATAGAGACCAAATGCAATTTTAACAGAAATAAATATTAAAACTGCATTGAAAAGAGAAATTAGTTTTGTGCAATCATCAAATAATTGCATTTGTTTACCTGCATATTTATATCTTAAAACTTTTCATGAAAAGTTTAGATTGAAGACAACATGAATTTTTATTAAATCGCAGGATTTGTGAGGCCTTTCACACAATGAAGGAGAAGGCCCTGAAGGAACCTGAATCCTCAGAGGAACTCATTGAGATGACTGCCTTTATAGAAAATGCCCGCACATACGGCATGATCAAACTGAATGAACGAATTAAGGTTAGTGTTGTTAGACATCGGATTCAGCTTAATGTTGTTTGACATCAAAGTAAAGCTAGTACAGTGTTGCCTAACATCCAATGATTTATGGAGTAACAAGAGAAAGGCAGAGAAAAATGTCTTCCCAAATAAGATACACAGACTTAACACATTTTACATTGTAATAGAAATACATGTAGTAGTTTCTCCAAAAGTAAAATGATTTATGACTCTTCCTTGTTATGTAATAAGAAATGTTACATATATACATGTGTGTGATGTGTTATTGTAGAGTGCTTATGAGAGACTCCAGTACTTGTTAGACTCCTATCTATTCAATCAAGAAGACCTAGATCTTAACAGCGAGGTACTCAAGTGGCCTAAAGAAATAAATCCAATCTTTGACGAAAATGAAGAGGTATGTTTATTCTTTTAAAATCTCTTGAACAATTTTCATAATTTGGTAAATTCACTATGAATAAAGTCAAGAAATAAATTAATTAATTTAGGTTTGAAGTTTTTTATCTTTAATGTTCATTGGACGATCAATTCTGTGTGCATTAAATATGTTTGCTGCAGCAGCTTATAAACAGGGAGAAGTGACTATATTCTCGCTTCTGTAAAGTCATTGTGATTATTGTAACTCCTTGCTTCATTTATTTATGTTTTACTAGTTGCTACTAGACAACAATATTAATGAAACATGTACCTTCCTCAACTCAAACATTCATTACAAATTTCTCTTCCAGTTGGTTGATAAATCCAAACAGGAAGGTGAACGAATGCTTCTGGAGCGTAAAGAGAAGGTCATGCTAGAACTAGAGAAACTGAAACAACGTGTGGATGAGTTTAATGACTATGGAGAGTTGGACATGATGCAGCAATATGTCCAAGATGTACGTGCAGTTCAGAAGAGGCTTGTTGATGCCCAAGAACAGATTGAGTGGGTCAATAAGGAGGAGTTGTTATATAAGTACCCAGTTAGTGTATACCCTGATGTGGAGGAGATTACCCTGGCTGTTGAACCATTCACTAAATTGTTCAATGTTGTGCTCAAGTGGCAGAGGGCTGAGAAAAAGTAAGTAGAATTGTTACAATTTCTTTAATATTTGACTTTGAATATGTACATATCATGATATTTGTAAGACATGTACATACAAAAAAGGGAATAATTAAAGGGAATAATCAATTATAGAAAATTAATAAAAGACGCTTTTTCATCCATGCTGCAAAACCTAAAAATGTAACATACATGTCTTAATGTTTACAGGTGGATGGATGGAGCATTCCTAGATTTGGATGCTGAGCAAGTGGAAGGAGAACTAGATGAATACTGGAGAGATGTCTACAAAGTACAGAAAGTGTTCAACAACAAGCTAAAGAAACTGCTCCTTGAGCAAGAAGAGCGTGAGAGAGAGCGCAAGAAGAAGAAACGTCTTCAAGAAGGGGATGAGAAGGAAGGTGAAGAGAAGAAGGATGAAGATAAAGAGCCTGAGATTCCCACCCCTGCAGCACTTACTGTCTGTAACATGGTCCAGGAGAATATGAAAGTATTTAAGGTATGAATAAGGATTTTCAATCGTTGGTGAAGCCCATCCAATTTTTTTTGAAATAGGCATTAGGTACATAAATTCAGAAGAAATCGTGTGTGCAATTTAAACATAATTGATTAATGCCTTTATTTATAAAGCCACTTTTTTGTCATTAGGTTTCATGTTCAGAAACTGACACTGGACCCTGATTTACGTTTGATAAGATATATATTGATTGCACGTGATCACATAATTTTCAGGAATTCATTCCCACAATTGGTGTTCTCTGTAATCGTGGTATCCGCACACGTCATTGGACAAAGATGTCTGAAGTAGCTGGATTTGACATGACACCAGACTCAGGATCCACTTTACGTAAAGTACTCAAGTTGAATTTGGATCCTTTCATGGAACAGTTTGAGTCTATCAGTGCAGCAGCTACTAAAGTAAGTACTGTTAAATATATTGGCTTTTACAATTGATGTCAATGGACAGATTGTTAAATAGTCAATTATTCATGAAGCTACATATTTGTGAAATTCTGAATTTTTAAAAATGCATATGTGAATAAATACATTTTATAGTAACATTATCTGTTTAATCAGTTGAGGACTTCATTGGACTTTTTGAATCCATGAATTTCATTGTTAAGATGAGCACCTAATATTGGAAACTTGGCACTTACATTTTAGCTTTTATTTGGAAAAAATAGAATTTCAGGGCAATGATTTTGAGTAGCTTTTTTGAATTCTGAAATTGATTTAAAAATTGTGACTTTACTTTATCAGGAACACTCTCTCGAAAAAGCCATGAACAAAATGACAGAGGAATGGGAGCCAATATCATTTGTGACGTTGCAATATCGTGACACAGGTATTCACATCCTGGCATCTGTGGATGAAATTCAGCAGATATTGGATGACCAAATTGTCAAAACACAGACTATCAGAGGGTCACCTTTTATCAAACCATTCGAGAAAGAAATAAAGGTATCATATTTTACAGTATTATTAATTGCTTAGGGCATATGCTAGATTGATTTTGATCTCAATTCTATACGCAACCCTTTGAGGGATTCTGTTATTTTTGAAGTTAAAATCAAAAATATATTTTACTTTCAGATATCATTTAAGTCTAACAATGTGGCTTAATTTTACAGATTATGTTCATATATCAGAATATTTCAACAGTACATAATTTGGTAACAAGACTTTGGTAACATCAAAATCCTACCTTATCATCAGAGCTTACTAGTGGAACCAAATATGCATTAGAAAGTGAGACCCTGATGATACCATAGTCAAACCAATAGTATGGCTAGGTTTTAATAGTAAACATGAAGAAATCTTTGGGTACATGAAAGACGAAACAAGATTATTTGCGAGAACTAATCTAATGTTCTGTTTTTGTGTCTTAGGTTTGGGAAGAGAGGCTTCTAAGAATCCAAGACACTTTAGATGAGTGGTTAAAGGTACAGTCCCAGTGGCTTTACCTTGAACCTATATTCTCCTCAGAGGATATCATGCAACAAATGCCAGAGGAGGGCCGCCTCTTTCAGACTGTTGACAGGAACTGGAGGGATGTCATGAAGCACACTGTCAAAGATCCTAAGGTATGATATCAATAGGGTACTATCCAACTCACACGACAGTGGTGGAGTTTTGTTGAAAATAGTTCACTGCCCTTGAGTTTATCAATCAATATTAGGCAATGTGTGCATTCAAGCTCTCTGGATTTCTCAATGATGTCTTTTAATTTAGTCATTTTACTGTAAAATTGAAACAAATGGTATGTTGAAGGCTAGCTTGCCATAGGAGTTTGGTGTTATCCATCTCAAAAATGTGGTTCTACATTTACTCAAATTAACATGTACCTGTAGAATACCAGTATTTTGAAATAAATTGATAAAATGAAGATATGGCCGGGGTAATGCATACAGAAATGTACTTTTTGTATGGTTTGTATAACTACAGTACACATGCAGTATATTCACACGAGTCATAGAATTGATACTAGAGGTGAAATCAGTATATGTGACTTCACTGTTGTTTGTGTATGGTTCTGCACATATATGTTCTATCATACAGGTATTGGTAGCTACCTCTATGACTGGGCTGCTTGAGAAACTATTAGACAGCAATGGGTTACTTGATAAAATCAACAAAGGGCTCAATGCTTACTTGGAAAAGAAAAGACTGTTCTTCCCAAGGTAAGAAAACAGTATCCTCTTTCATTAAGAGCAGAATTTCTGTTGTTAGCACCTTATTTTGCTTCAGGTTGACCATTATATTATGTCTTCCTTTCCAGTATGCAATTTGAAATCGTTATTTTCCTGTCAACATTTTAACAACCATCCTTCTTATGCTAACATTTCACCAGTGAATTATTTTATTCAATGGCACCATGGGCTTTCTTATTAGACTAGTTGAAAGCCCATGATGGCGCCAATAATTCCCAGCAAATAACACCAGGGAATATAAGTGATATTTTAAAATAGACTACCCAAAAATCATATTTACCTTTGCCAATGTAGCAGTCATTATCTGAAACCAATATTCAATCCTTCCTCCCAGTCAATAACCTCTTTATTTGCATTTATTTCAGGTTTTTCTTCTTGTCCAATGATGAGATGCTTGAGATCCTCTCTGAGACCAAAGACCCAACACGTGTACAGCCTCACTTGAAGAAATGTTTTGAGGGAATCGGCAAACTTGAGTTCAACAAGAACTTGGACATTCTAGCCATGTGCAGCAGTGAGGGGGAAAATGTGAAGATGAGTGAGATTATTTCAACAACTGAAGCTCGTGGTTCTGTAGAAAAATGGCTGCTCCAGGTACAGGATGTCATGTTGATGTCAGTTCGTGATGTCACAGCAGCGTCAAGAGAGGTATGCACAATTATCTAAACTGAGATTGTTTCTAGAAATACAATATATTGTACATAACATGTTGTTCTAGAATGTGATAATTGGATGCTTTTGAAGTTACATATGGGAAATCACTTGGAGATCTTATCAAGCTATAACAACCTGTCAATCGATCAAGTTATGTTCAAGTAGAAACAATATTATACTTAATATTTACATGACAGGGATAAGTATCATTGATATTATAGTAGCAATATGTTAACTTACTCATGACTTAAATCTCTAGGATTTGAATAGAAGAAAGAGAAAATTAAGGAAGGTGAACAAGCATGTTTCAGTATCACACATTATGCTTCTGGTGTCACATATTATGCTTCCAGTGTCACATATTATATTACGCTTCTTTATGTCAAATATAACGCTTCTGATGTCACACATGATGCTATCTTCATATTATTAATGGATACATAAAACGAGATGATGTACGTATCACAAATTATGCTTTTGCTATTACTTATGATAGACTAGAATCAGGGGGTTGGAAATATAATGACATCTTATATTTTGACGAGCAGGCAAGTCATGTTCACTAATTGAAAGGAAAAGGGTTCCTTAATTGATACTGAGATTTAACAAAACGAAATAGGTGTCAAAATGTGTTTTTGGGTAAAAAATGTGTTTTTTGCTGAATTTTTTTTTTAGAAGTTTTATTTTAGTAAATACAGTCTGGTTGACTATGGAAAAGTGAAAATAAATCAGTTTTGATCGAATTTGGTGATTTTGGGGAGGTTTTAAAGATTTATCTTGTGGTTGTCATAGTGAAATTAAAGTAGACTATAATCAGTGCATTGGAAATATAATGACCTCTTTTTGAGTAGCAGGCAAGTTATGTTAACTAATTGAATGGTAAATGATTTCTCAATTGATAGTGAGATTTAACAAGGAAAAATAGGTGTCAAAATGTGTTTTGGGTTAAAAATGTGTTTTTCGGAGAATTTTTTTTTTAAATTAAAAAAAAAATTAGAAATTTTATTTCAGTAAATATAGTCTGGTTGACTATGGAAACATGAACATAAATCAGTTTTGATCGATTTTGGTGATTTGGGGGAGGTTTAAGAGATTTCTCTTGTGGTTGGCATATAGTGAAATGAATGTAGACTAGAATCAGTGCATTGAAAATATAATGACCTCTTTTTGACGAACAGACAAGTCATGTTAACTAATTGAAAGGTAAATGGTTTCTTAATTGATACTGAGATTTAACAAGAAGAAATAGGTGTCATAATGTGTTTTGGGGTAAAAATGTTTTTTTGCAGAAAAAAATTAAACATTAATTTTTTTTAGAAATTTTATTTTAGTAAATACAATCTGGCTACAGAGTATAAAAAGTGATCGATTTTGGGAAGCTTTTAGAGATTTCTCTTGTGGTTGGCATAATATGTATAGTTGAATAAATAGTCAATTACCAATTCTTTTGCATTACTAATAGAGACAATATTTAGGTTTACTCCTCAAATTAGCATTTCACCAAGAAAACAATATATTCTAATTCAATTTTATTCCGTACTACATTCTGTCATATTCCTTCAGTTATATTATTCACATATTCATAAAAGTAAAGAAATCATACCAAAAAGCATACTTTAATATATTCAAAACCTTTGCAAACACAATGACCAGTTTACTAAATAACACTATAAAATTGACATTGATACATACAATATTATATGGAAACATATTTTCAATTTTCAGTATTATCACCACAGGCTGTCATCAGCCATTTTGAACATTGGGGTATACCAGGTCGTTTTTACAAGTTTCAATGTTCCACACAATTTATTACTAAACTGAAAAGCAGATTAAATGAACCAGCACAAATAATGACAATGTAAATGGTGCTCCTGGTAGAAATTCGTCTCACACCTTTTATGATCCAATATGATGTTACTACAGAAGGCATGACCATTAGCCAATACAAAGTATCTCTCTCACATCTGACAACTAAGAACATGTTCATCTTTAGCATGAGCAGAAGATAATTCACTTGTGAGAGAATGATGTATGCCAAATAGATACTGATGTTGTATCATTTTGAATTTTGAAAAAATTGTCTCGATGATCTTTGCATTTCATTGACATTAGGTGATACCAATTCCAATGATGGATATTGTTGGTACTATCGAGAATTATATTATACTGGTTGTTGTACACTATACTGGTATGTCAGAAATGTATTGTGCCATTTTAACTTTTGTGGCGTTGTACCTTCCCCATTGTTGAAAATATATCATATGATTTATCAATTATCTGTAGAGATCCTGTTTGGATGTTATGCCTCAATTGTATTTTCAAGGTTCTTTGTATTGTGTTCAACTGTTTCTTTTAAACTTTTTATAACGTTTGTCCATCTGGATTTAGTACAGAAACTGCATACTGTTTTCTGTGTGATAGACCCCACTGTCTGAACCATTGACTAACAAGTCTATTCTGATAGGGAGATGATTGTGAGTGGTGATTATTGGTTCTAGACCGTACTAGTTCAATAAAGTCAATCAAACCAGAAAAAGTACAATTATCGTAACACTAGATTGGCTGGCAGAGCTCCAACCTGGTACAATGACAAGTTGACCACAACTATTTATGTGGTGATCAACACTGATTGTATCGTTTGAACTAGTTAAGGGATGGAGAATATTATTTTAATTAACTGTCTAATTAGTGCCTTTTGACACCTCGTTCACCATGTTAAATCTCACAAATCTTTTGTTATATATAAGGGAGTATTTTGATATAGGTCTCTTGCCTGCTCGTTAAAATATAAGTACTTTCACTTTCTAGAGGCTTTTATCATCATATAATTCTAGTCTATGATGCTAGGTGTATATTATCAGAAATGCTGCAATTGGTATCACATATCATGTTTTCTTTACCACATGATATTCTCATATACAGCATATCATAAGTGATGCTCTGTACGACAAATTATGAAACCCACTTCACAAGCTTTATTGTACGAAAAAAAATTCACAGTCAATATTTTGCATTTGGGAATTTCAAAATGATTACTACCTTTTTCAGTTCTCTTCAGTTTCAATAAATTGAACAAGAGTATTATTATCACATTCCATTACCAGATTACTTAAGAATGCTTATAAGACAAACACATTAGCTCTGAACCATGCCAATATTTTGATACAGCAATGTATTAATGAAACATGTGTATTAAATGATATGTGGCTCTTCAAAGTGGGGTTCTCTTATATTTTTGAAATTTTAAAATGAAAGATGAAATTAACATTCATAGTTGCAATTAGTAGACTTTTGTAGGTTTTTCTATTATATTAGGAACAGTCAACAGGCGGTTTTTCTGTTGTTGTTTTAGCCAAACCACCTGTTGTTTTGATGTATTCATTAAACTATTTCCACTTTTCATGTTCAATACCATATTTCATGCCGTTTGCCGTTCTTTTCATCAATTTTGCCAGAAACTTTTATAATCACCTCTGTAATCACATTGTAATTGTATTGTAGGCGTATGCCATCGAGGCAAGAGAGGACTGGGTCCAGGATTGGCCAGGTCAGGTTGTCATTTGCGTTTCCTCAATATTCTGGACAATAGAGGTGCAAGAAGCAGTGAAGGGAGGACCTGCAGGGCTAAGGGAATACTACGATAAACTGAACACACAGCTATCTGCAATTGTAAAGCTAGTCAGAGGCAAGCTTTCAAAACAGACCAGGATAACATTAGGAGCATTGGTGGTAATTGATGTACACGCCAGAGATGTAGTCTTAGATATGGCGGATAAAGGTACAGGGGATTGATTCAACATTCTCGATATTGTTTTCAGCATTCTGTAATTATTCAATAACACTATGAATGAAGAATGTAGTATTTCTTTTATCTTGTATTACATAACAGGGACTTTTAATGAGTGAAATTTCTTATAATATTTGCAGAAACTTTCAATTCTTATAGTTTAAGACTCAAAACTTTATCATTAAATTTCCTTTTGGCAAGACTTACAATCTGATGGGTTTTGCAGGTGTGGCCTCAGAGAATGACTTCCAATGGCTGTCACAGCTCAGATACTACTGGGAAAATGACAATGTGAGAGTTCGCATTACAAACGCAACTGTTAAATACGCCTACGAATATCTTGGCAACTCAGGGCGACTTGTGATCACCCCATTGACTGACAGATGTTACCGTACATTGGTTGGTGCCTTCCATCTTCACTTGAATGGAGCACCTGAAGGTCCCGCAGGTACAGGAAAAACAGAAACAACTAAAGATTTAGCCAAGGCCCTTGCTGTACAGTGTGTTGTGTTCAACTGTTCTGATGGTTTGGATTACATTGCTATGGGCAAATTCTTCAAGGGATTGGCGTCATCAGGAGCATGGGCTTGTTTTGATGAGTTCAATCGTATAGAACTTGAGGTGTTGTCTGTGGTTGCTCAACAGGTACTGTATCTTCATTTTATCATGTATGACATGTTGATTCACCCCCTGGTTACAGGCCATTTGAATACTTAAGATTGATTTTTAATGAAAATGAAATAAAGTGAAATATATATTTAAAGATGTTGTCTGTGGTTCTGCATTAGGTTATACATATTATAATAATACAGTACTTGTTTTGTCATTATTATTTCACATCTTTTTTGTTTCATTAATGAATTTGTTCAATCAGGCTAGTTACTTCCATAGCAATTGTGTTGCATATATTATTAAAGGACCAAAACAACAACAATGAAAAAAGTGATGATTTCGTATATATGTGATATGATATATTTCAGATTCTGTGTATTGTGCGAGCTGTACAAGGAAATGTAGATACATTCATATTTGAGGGCACTGAGCTCGCTCTCAACCCGAACTGTTACGTCTGTATCACAATGAATCCTGGGTATGCAGGACGTTCTGAACTCCCCGACAACTTGAAAGTATTGTTCAGAACAGTCGCTATGATGGTGCCAGATTACGCTATGATCGCTGAAATCTCACTTTACTCCTTCGGGTTTATCAATGCTCGTCCTCTTTCTGTGAAGATCGTCACAACATATAGGTTGTGTTCTGAACAGCTTTCATCACAGTTTCATTATGATTATGGAATGCGAGCTGTTAAGGCTGTACTCACTGCAGCTGGTAACCTTAAGCTGAAATTCCCAGAGGAGAATGAACAGATCTTGGTATGTACTTTGATGTATTGTTAATTTTTGATCAATATTGGTCTATGTATTCGCTATTAAAATGGACAACTTTAACTTGAATAAATCCAATATCAAACAGATTTTATGAACAATACTAGCAAATTCTAGCACTAAAGGGCAACAACTTATATGGAATAACCTATAGCAGGGTCATCCCTTGTACTAGTTCTCTACCTTTTCAATAGTTTTATTTCACTTCTTTAAATGAAAGCATCATTGATTATTTTATATTATACAATATTTTCTGAGAAGTGCCCCTAGATGAGCCAATTTTGCTGTTATAGTTGCCGTTTGATGTTCGTATAATTATTTTCTGCATATTTTCAGCTATTGAGGTCCATCACTGATGTCAACTTACCAAAGTTTCTCTCCCATGATATCCCACTGTTCCGTGGAATCATCTCTGATCTTTTCCCTGGTATTACTCTACCAGAGGCCGACTACAAGGTAAGGACAAATTGCATCTTCAGAGATTGATGTTTTTAAATCATATCAGGACTAGGTTTGCAATAGAGGGACAAAAATCTGCAAAATCATTTTCAGAAGTTTTTTCTTGATGCAAGTTGTTTTCAATATAAACAAGCAATTAGTTTATCTTTACTACAGCTTGAAAATAAGGTTAAATCACGACAATAAAAGAACATGGAGGTACAATGAATCTCACTTTTGAACCTACAATCCTTTCATGCAAATAATTATTGACTAATTTATCTATAACTTATTATTGTTTTCATTTCTAGTTATTCCTGGAGGCTATAGACACAGTTTGTGCTAAACGTAAACTTCAGACAGTGGACTTTTTCATTGAGAAACTGATCCAAACATACGAGATGATGATAGTCAGACACGGGTGAGTGAACAGAGACTACATACTCATAAACATTGTACAATGGGTATCTTCATTTATGGGTGTTCATCTTAGAGAGGTGTTTGTATTTATGGGTGTTCATCTTAGAGAGGTGTTTGTATGTATGGGTGTTCATCTTAGAGAGATGTTTGCATTTATGGGTGTTCATCTTAGAGAGGTGTTTGTATTTATGGGTGTTCATCTTAGAGAGGTGTTTGCATTTAGGTGTGTTTGAGTAAATGCGAATGAAGGGACTCAAGACCAGAAAAATATGTCATTTAGAATTACTTTAGATGAAAACATTTTGAACTGTATAATATACTTTACACTATTTTATATCCATCTTTCTAACTTATTGTAAAAACTGAATTATTCACTTTTCCTATTTTATGTGCTTCAGTTTCATGATGGTTGGTGAGCCATTTGCATGCAAGACATCTGTGCTTCATGTATTAGCTGAGGCCATGACACTGCTAAATGAACAGGGACATGAGGAATACGATAAGGTCTTATACAGGACCATTAACCCAAAGGCAATCACCATGGGACAGCTGTTCGGTCAATTTGATCCAGTCTCTCATGAGGTAAATTTTTTTTCTAACATCTTTAACTCTTGTATTTCTCTAATGAATTGTCATAACCAATACATCAATGTAATTCTCAAATCAAAATGGATATGAGTAAAATGCTTTCTACAAGTTTAGAAAGATTTGTTGAAAAATTAAAGAGTGAGACATGTCATTTCGTCATTGAATACTATATTGGTATATTATGCTGTTTTTATTTGTAGTGGACTGATGGTATCACAGCAAACACATTCAGGGAGTTTGCCTCGACAGACACACCTGACCGTAAATGGGTCGTATTTGATGGGCCAATTGACACGCTATGGATCGAGTCCATGAACACTGTACTGGATGATAACAAGAAGCTGTGTCTGATGAGTGGAGAGATCATACAGATGTCGCCAGTTATGAGCTTGATATTTGAAGCCATGGATCTCTCACAGGCTTCCGTAAGGCTTTTTTAAATTTGATCCCTTTTGGTATTTGGCATTATTCTTTATCTTCATAGAAAATGTGGAAATTGATTTAAGTAATAAGGAAAACCATTTCAAAGTTTTCACAAACACATGTTTCACTGATATATTTGTTACAGCCTGCCACTGTGAGTAGATGTGGTATGATCTACCTCGAGCCCACTACACTAGGCTGGCGCCCTATAATGAAATCCTGGGTCCTTGGCCTACCAGAGGTAATGCAGACTGAACATGGGGAACTGCTGGATACACTCTTTGAATGGCTGGTCGACCCATGCCTGACTTTCATTAGGAAGAACTGCAAAGTAAGTGGCACATTGTTTCTGTTGGTCACGTACTGTGTAGTAAAGGCAAATTGAAAAAAATCAAAGTTTATCATGGTCAGTGGATCCCATTTGAGGCTCCCCTCATACAGATGCATCAAATAAATTTTTCTGGGAAAGCAAATTGCGAATATGTTATACATTTATAGACTAGACCCCTTTGCCTATAAAAATAGAAGGAACTAATGGTTTACTGATAGACCCTCCTCCTTTCTAATAGATGCAACAAACAGATTTACATGAAATTCTGATTCACTATTGACATCTCTCTATATATAGCAATTCTAATGAGGATATGTCTACTATTGCAGGAGTACATGAACTGTGGACAGGCTAACCAGGTGAGATCTCTGATGTATTGGATTGAGATGATCCTGCATGAACATACAACAAAAGAGGATGCTGTTGAAAACAAACACTTGAGGACTTGGATCATTGTGAGTACTCGGAGAACATCTAAGAACATATATAATATGATTTCTGAATACTCAGCACTATTTTCTGATAGATGATCGTTGGTGGCTTTGCGTTTGGAAGAAACTTGAATTGAATGAATTGATGTATATTGTAAATTCTGGTGGCCGTGTCACTTTACCTCATGATTGTCTGATAAAGGTCAATTGTAAAACTTTTTTCATTTGTACATTTAATGATCAACTAGTGGAGCTTGGCATTCGAGAAAATTAAGAAAAATACTATATTGTTATTTTTCAGTCTTCCTTCTTGTTTGGACTGATGTGGTCACTAGGGGGCACCATTGATCCTGATGGTCGTAAAAAGTTTGATACATTTTTCCGTGAAATACTCACAGGAAAGTCTGAGGAAACACCCGTCCCTAAAAGCATTGGGAAAATTGATGTACCTTTCCCGAATGACGGACTAGTCTATGATTATAATTATGAGGTATGTGTCTGTGAATACAAATGAAATAATTATTTTATTTGAACACTTTTCCATAAGTTAATCATAACTTTTAAATTACTATTTCTAAAAATTCAGTTGGTTAATAAGTACATTTTATCATTCACTTTTATAAAACTGCATTTTTGATGGAAATTCTATTGCTGTTGGGGGGTTTATTTCAAAATTACAACATCTACTCAAAAATGTGTTCTAATCAATTATAGATGAAGGCACGCGGTGCATGGATACACTGGAATGACACAATTAAGAACCTGAGAGTTCCTCAAGACAAGAAGATCCGAGACATCCTGGTACCCACAATGGACACTGCTAGATATACATACCTCATGGAGGTCTGCATTGAGCATAACAGGTAGGGATAGAACTGATTTACAAAAGCAAATATGGAAAAATGGAAGTGCAAACAATTTTTTAATAAAAAAATGGTAACTAAAAATATACATTTATTTATGAAAATGGATTTTAAATTTTAATCATCTACACACTCTAAGATTGTTGATAATATCATGAATTAAACAGACTTGAATTGGTTTAAAAGAATTACATGTATCTTAATCATATTTCAGGGCTCTATTATTTGTTGGACCTACGGGAACTGGTAAATCAGTCTATGTCCAGGAGAAGATGATGGTTCTGCCTAAGGAGAGATACACTCCAGCTTTTGTGAATTTCTCAGCCCAGACCAGCGCAAATCAGACACAGGTATACACTTTGAACTATGCAGGGTGTGCAATCAGATTTTGACCTACTGATCTAAGTAATTTTAATGTCATATTATTTTACAATATGAAAAAGCACCCGAATCATATCAAAACTAACTGCTCAAGTGTTAAACTTTCAAGTTAATTAAACTGATTTTTCATTTTACTCAGACTTCCAATTATTGATTACAAATTTTTAACCAACACCACCGAATCATCTGACTTGAATTCAATATTTAACTATTTTGAAATGAACAATGTGACCTGTCTTTATAGAATATCCTTATGTCAAGGCTGGACAAAAGACGTAAGGGAGTCTATGGGCCTCAAGTTGGCAAGAAGGCCATTATCTTTGTTGACGATCTGAACATGCCTCAAAAGGAAATCTACGGAGCACAGCCACCCATTGAGCTACTCAGACAATATTTTGATCACGGAAACTGGTAATATATATTAGATTGATGACAGTCATAGCTATATAATCAGGTTTTTTCAGGTACATATCAATAAGAGTATTTCTGCTTAGTGATTTAATAAACACTATCACCTTCATAATCAAAATTAGTAAAATTAAAACATAATATATCAATGTTTATATACTCATGTTTATAATGTATAACAATATTAAATTCCAATGTTTGTATTGTGTTTCTTTGAAAAAATATGTGATATAATGTAAAGAAATAAAAATATAAAAATAATTTGGCATTCCAGGTATGATTTGAAAGATACTACGAGAATTACCCTACAAGATCTTCAGTTTCTGGCCGCCATGGGTCCACCAGGGGGAGGTAGAAATGACATCACATCTAGATTTGCTCGTCATTTCAACATTGTTGGCATTAACAACTTCAATGATGACACCATGGTCAGGATTTTCTCAACTTTGATGAGTACCTATCTTAGGGTGAGTGAATTTGAACAAATGTTACTTGAAGAAGCTTGTCCAAACTTGAATGACCTGACCCACACCTTGCCTGACCCACACCTTACCTGCACCCAACTCTTATCTGACCCACACCTGATATTCACCTGACCCACACTGCAAATAATTTCTTTTTCGATTTGTTACTTATTTTTCAGTTGCATATTGACATCTAACAATAAAGTTATGTATAAATATATTTCTTTTTTGCTTACAGGGAAATGACTTTTCGCCAGATTTCTTCACCCTTGGTAACATGGTCATTCAAGCTACTATGGACGTGTATAAGGAGGCTATGATTAATCTACTCCCCACACCTGCCAAGTCCCACTATGTCTTCAATTTGAGAGATTTCTCACGTGTGGTTTATGGTGTCTGTCTTATTAAGAAAGAACAAGTGGAATCTAAGCGTAGTTTCATAAGGTGAGAATTGAGTTACTGCTTCTTGAAAGACTTTTATTTAATTTATTGATAAAATCAAAAATACCATCTTAAGATTGCTATTTGACATCTGTAACGAGTCATTACACTTTTGTAATTGCAACCGTCATGTTAACCTAGTTTCTTGATTATTTTTTAATAAGTTTTTATGTGATAAATATTTATTTAATTGCCAAACAATGTCTCATAAAAATATTTCATGTACATTCGAATTTCAGTTCCAATCCAACCAATTATCATCTTGACCCATCAAAGTATTTCATATGAGAGAAAAGCTTGCAATTGTTAACTTATAATATGTCAAATTGTACGATTACTCATTTCAGACTATGGGCTCATGAAGTGATGCGAGTGTTCTATGATCGTCTCACAGATGACAAAGATAGACAATGGTTATTTAAGCTCATACAGACCTGCACCAAAGAACACTTTAAGGATGACTTCACAGCAGTATTTGAACACTTGGCTGCTAAAGAAGGTGCAAGGGTAAGTCTCTGCAAATATTCAAAATTCGTCATGATTCATGGAAAATCATATTGAAATATGTGGCTGACAGAAGACAAAAACTCAGTGGTGATTCAAATGGAAATTCTATTAGTACAAAACATGGAAGTGTTGGGACTAAATTACAAAGATAGAGCACCAAACTAAAATTGTGTGTGTCTGAATGCATGATATCTTTTTTAAATATCAAAACCAGGCTATGACCCCTCATCGTAGATCCACAGCTACAATGAATTGAATTGGAATGTGAATGATGTTTTACAGTTATAAAGATCTTGCCTTGTGTTTTTTTTGTATACCAGCTTAATTTGAAATATTTTTGAAAAACATACACATTAAAGGTCTCTAAAGTGCATAAAATAATTTAGATTCATCTGAAATAAAACTGATGTTGAATATTGAAGCATACATAATTTCGTATTATCTTTTTTTAGATTGTTGAGGAAGATATGAGGAGTCTGATGTTTGGAGATTACATGAACCCAGATCTTGAAATAGAGGAGAGAGTTTATGAGGAGGTTGGCTCTCTAGATGACTTCTATACAGTCACTGAGCAATGCCTTGATGAGTACAATCAGACACACAAGAATAGAATGGATCTAGTCATATTCAGGTTAGGGCTCTACATGTTGACTTTTATCAGTCTGCACAATGTGTATGTTCACAAACTTTACCTTTCCATGGTGTCTGCTAACAAGTATACTTGTCCGGAACACATGTTATTGCAAAATACCAGACCACAGGTTCAAATTCAGACTGAAGAGTACAACTGATTTTGCCATAAGTTGAATAAATTTAAAATGATGCAATGTACAAATGTTTATTTTGTAATACCTATAATACTGTATATTTTACATTCACACATTACATCATGATATGTGTGAATTACAGACAGTTCTAGTTTGTAAAAAATGTGCAATTTTTAACTTTTTGTAGATATGTTTTGGAGCATCTGTCACGTATCTGTCGGGTGTTGCGCTCCCCAGGGGGCAACGCACTGCTGGTCGGTATGGGGGGCAGTGGGCGCCAGTCTCTCACCCGACTAGCCACATCTATGGCCAGCTATAACCTGTTCCAGCCTGAGATTTCTAAGAACTATGGGATGGTAGAATGGAGAGAGGATATCAAGGTAATATGTGTTCATAGATAAGTAAAACCTCTAGATGTCCAAAAGCACTAACACAGTAAAGTATGTTTAATCCGAACACCACTGGGAGCAACCAAGAGTTTGGATGGGCAACTGTTCACATTTTCAGGAAAAGATGTTCACATGAGGAGGTGTCCAAATTAGTGAGATATTCAGATATACAGGTTTTAATTCTACATAATTACTATTGTTAATTTCAGAGTCTCTTGCGCAATGTTGGAGGTAAAGGAGAAGGTACAGTTTTCCTGATCACTGACACACAGATAAAGGAGGAGGGCTTCCTTGAGGACATAGATGCACTGCTCAACACAGGGGAGGTCCCTAATCTCTTCGCAGCAGATGAAAAAGCTGAAATTATGGAGGTGAGATGTTGAAATAGTTAATGCGAAAAAAAAATTTCAAATGGGAGCAAAAATATTTTTGAAAAGGATATTTTATAGGGTAAATAGATAAATTAAAGAAAAATTACCAAGTCAGACAAACTATTTTTTTCTTTTATGTGAGGTACTTTAATTAGATAGATGGTGCTATGCTCTGATGTTGCAGCTTGACTTTTAACACATTTGGTCAATTGCCAGAGCAGTTGCCCTTCGAGAGTTGTCTACTGTTCAAACTAATGTTCCCTTGGTGATAAAATGGATGGTGCACAAATCAGTTATAAAGTCCTGCACCCCCTGATGATTTGCATGTGTCACTATAACCAGAGCTGTCAATCTAACTTAGTTTACCTATTTTTTATCTCTAGGCTGTAAGACCAGCAGCACAAGCTGGGGACAAGAATGCAGACTTCAGTCCCCTAGCCCTGTTTGCATTCTTTGTGAATCGCTGCAAGGAGAATCTGCATATCATCATCGCATTCAGTCCTATTGGGGATGCCTTCAGGAACCGCTTGCGTCAGTTCCCCTCTCTCATCAATTGCTGCACTATAGATTGGTTCCAGGTGAATTAGAGTTTTTACAATTTGAAATTCAGTCATTAGAGTGTCCACCTTAGAGAGGGTTTCACTGTACATTTACAGTACACAAATTACATAATTAGTATAATATTTATGATAATTCTGGGTTATCAGCAAAACTGAGTAATTATTGATTAACCATTACATGTCGTTTAAATCAGGTTTATTGAATCCAAATGTAAATAGGATCAATGCTTTTGTAGGCATGGCCAGAGGATGCTCTGACAAGGGTGGCCTTGAAGAATCTTGAAATGGTCGACATGGAGGACAGTGAGAGAACAGAGACAGTGGACATTTGCAAGACATTCCACAACAGTTCAAGAACACTCTCTGAAAAGTATGCTTTCAATTCTGACACCATTAGTTGTCTTATTTATTAGAGTCTACTTTATGGAATACCATTTACATCAATACTGGCCTAAATGCAATATTTTGAAATTAATAATTGGTTGTAAGAAGAATTGAATTTAAATAAAACTTCCTTTAAGTATCCATGGAAACTGTTGCACTTTTAATGAACTTAGTTAGAGATTGGTGAAGTCTGTCTGATTTTGTATTCTCAGTCTTTATGTTATATTTTCTTTCCAGATTTTTGACAAATCTAGGCCGCTACAATTATGTGACCCCTACATCATATCTTGAGCTGATTGCTTCATTCAAGAAACTAATCACAGAGAAGCAAGAAGAAACAATGAAGGCGAAAATGCGTTATGTGGGGGGTCTCGAGAAACTGGCCTTTGCTGCAACACAGGTGATTAAACCAATAGTGTGATGCAAATAACATGTCACAATTTATGCCATTCTCATTTAGCAATAGACTACAGTTTGATAAATTTTAGTAATTCATGGAGCTTGCATAATCTTGGAGTGTATTATAACATATCAATATTAAATACATGTATTGTATGTTTACATCCAGAAACGGAAATACTTGATCAGTAGCTCTTTTTATCATCTTTAGTATTTAAGACTTCATTGCTTTAAAAATATACTGGTTATATTTTTATTAACTATTTTACCCTGACCTCTCCAGGTATCTGCTATGCAAGTAGAGTTAGAAGAACTAAAACCACAGCTTGTTGTATCTGCTGCTGAGAATGAGAGAATGATGATTGTCATTGACAAAGAATCCAAAGATGTTGAAGAAACATCCACCAAAGTTAAAGCTGAAGAGGCTGTTGCAAATGAACAAGCAGCAACTGCCCAGGCTCTTAAAGATGAATGTGAGGCTGAATTGGCTGAAGCAATCCCAGCTCTTGAGGCAGCTATTTCTGCCCTGAACACTCTTAAACCTTCAGATATCACTCTAGTGAAATCAATGAAGAATCCACCAGCTGTAGTGAAGCTGGTGATGGCTGCAGTATGTGTAATGAAAGACATCAAACCCGATAAGGTCAATGATCCCTCTGGAACTGGTGGCAAGGTAAAATCCATTCCTTATTTAAGTTATTTTTAATGTTGATGACCCTTTGCTTATTAAACTTTCATTGACTTTGCCAAATTCGGAATTAAGATCCATTTGTTAGTTGGTGCCAGACAGTGTTTGCCAGAAAGCTTCACACTGGGAACTACACTATGATTGGTTAATCTCATGGCAGCTCAGATCTATACAGTTTAAATCTATTAAATATTTCAATCAGAGCATAATAAACTCTATCTTACTTATCAACTTGGCTTGGACCATTTACATATAGGTTTATACATCCATACATGACGTCATGTCAAATGATTATGTTTTAACCATTTTTTTTATTGATAACTTAAACTTTCCTTTTTTCTTGACACTTGACCTTAATACACTGAATACTATATTGGGTTTTGTGCTTTGAATTTCAGATCCTGGACTACTGGCCTCCAGCCAAGAAGCTCCTTGGAGATATGAACTTCCTTGGTCTCCTGAAGGAATATGACAAAGACAATATCCCTCCACATATCATGTCAAAGATTAGGAAGGTAGGCAGCGCTTATAGACCAGTATTCTTCACAAGATTCTTAATTTTTTCATTATTTGTTATTTTACTGATTTAACTTTTACGAAAGATTTCTATTTAGTTTGGCTAATTATGTACATGATGAAAATACAAATGTGTGTATTACTGTATATCATATCATATTATATTAAATTATATTATATTGGATTATTTTATATTATATTTTAGGAATATATCACAAACCCAGATTTTGTCCCTGATAAGGTGGCCAAGGCCTCATCTGCAGCTGAAGGATTGTGCAAATGGATCCTTGCCATGGAGATTTACGATCGTGTTGCCAAAGTTGTCGCACCTAAGAAAGCTTCTCTGGCAGAAGCTGAGTCAGAGCTTAGTGAAACCATGGCAACGTTAAACACAAAACGTGCCGAGTTACGAGCTGTAGAAGAAAGACTTGCCAATCTGAAGCAGTCTTTTAAAGATATGGTGGATAAGAAAGAACAATTGGAATTCCAAGTAAGATAATTGATTTTTAATACATCAAATATAGTTTTTTTATTTAGAATGTGTCATGTGGATCTTCTACTCATAATTGATTAAAAATTCTTGAATTCATTAGGAAAGCTCAAACTCTATTTTAGAGTAATTGGCAAACAAAACATCTACAAATTATGATAAATCCCATCATTGACCACTGCAAATGAATCCCTAGCATTATTTCATTTATCCATAAATCATAGTATATATCCAAATGTCTATAGCGTAAAAATAATGTATCATAATTTTCGTTAGGTCGACCTGTGTGGTAAGAAACTAGTCAGGGCGGAGAAATTGATCAGTGGACTGGGAGGTGAGAAGACAAGGTGGACCCAGGCAGCCGAGAACCTGCAACTTATATACGACAACCTGCTTGGGGATGTCTTGATCTCTGCTGGGGTGATTGCGTACCTCGGACCATTTACGTCAGCATTCAGAGATGAATGTACAAGTGACTGGGTGAAATTATGTTTGGTAAGTACATATTGTGAATGTAATGTTAATGGCCACATGAAATGTTGAAACCATTTTGGCTCATGTTGTATTTTAACAAATGTAATTAAGATGTGATATGTGAAACTTTATTTTAGAATTTAAGTATAATCTTAAGGACAATTTTTGTCAGCAACGTGTTCAAATTCTCATCATTTTCATATCATTTCAGGGATCACATTCACCTAGTATAACACATCATCATGTTTCATTTTTACATGAAATCGATTTCATTTGAGAGTAGGGTTCAAACCCCAATTTGGTTATTAAAGGCTATTAAAAACATTGCTGTTTACATAGGAGGTACTTGTATTGTTACACTGATACCTTGTCAATGTTCATAACTAAAAGGGAAGAAATTGATTACTTTTTGGAAAAAATAATACTCTGGCTCGACCACCTGTATGTCACATATCATATTTGTCAGTTGTTGACAAAACTTAATCAGAACATTTCGTAATCATATTGCATCAGTTTGTTTTGCTCTATTTGTAGTTGAAGAAGATCCCCTGTTCTAAGCAGTTCTCTCTCAGTAAGACACTAGGAGAACCAGTGAAGATTCAGCAATGGAACATCAATGGTTTGCCTAGGGATGCATTCTCTATAGACAATGGAGTCATCGTTGCCAACTCAAGACGATGGTATGATTCATCCTAAAGTTATTTAATTGGTATTCTTTATGGAAAAGTTATTGGATCGACTTGAAGAAATATCAGAATCAACAACAATCTAAAATGACATTAGTAGAAAATTAGGCTGTTACATTATTTGATATCTGTTTCCAGGCCTCTCATGATTGATCCACAAGGCCAAGCCAATAAGTGGGTGAAAAATACAGAAAAAGACAACAAACTGCATGTTATAAAACTAACAGATGCGGACTATATCCGGTCCTTAGAAAACTGTATACAGTTTGGGTATCCTCTCCTGCTGGAGAATGTGGGTGAAGAACTGGACCCCTCCTTGGAGCCACTCCTTCTAAAACAAACTTTCAAACAAAGTAAGATATGCAGTCATTTTATTCCTTTGGTTCTCTTTTGTATTACAGTTTATTCAAAGTAAAAACCATACAAAACGAATGTTTTGCCAGTGCTTTCTTACTTCGTATTTTTAGTACTAATACCTCTCACATTGTGTTTATACTTAGCCAATATTAATCCATTAATCCTTTATCCATTGGGTAGATGTCATCCTTTTTCAGTTTTGATTAATGCAAGTCTTTAACATTTTATTTTCTGCCTTGAGCCCTACATGTATCTCAATTAACATCAAATAAGTACTAACAACAGCTACATGCTATTAGTAATTTAAGCTACAATATTATTACACAATTTATAAATTTATTTAAAGCATTTGCTTCAAATGTAATAGCCTTGTATCAAATCTTTGGTTATCTCACATTTTCTACTGTATTTATTCTACCAGAGGATTGGATAGATGGGGGTACAGAATGACTTGATACAAGACTTCTTTGATTTGCTAATATTTTTAAATGCTTAGCTCAGCTTTGATAATTTCATATTGTATGTATTTATTTATCATTCATTTTAACAGATGTTATTAATTGCTTGTTACCTGGTGAGAATTAGCAGAAATTCATTTTTTACATTTTTTTAATCACTAAAACACACTTGTTGATCAAAATATTTTGGTTAAGGTAAACACAAGAAGTTATAAAATGTTTTCACAAATAAACAAGATATTTTGACAACTTTTTCATTATTATTAATATTGTTGTCATTTTCAATTAATTGATTAATGATCACATTTTCTCTTTCTGAAGTTAAATCTTCTCTAGGTAGGTATAGATATAAAGTTCTACTGAATCAGGTAGAAACATTCTGGTGGGAGGGGTCTGCCAGGATATTAATGCCCCTAAAGCAACATAATCACCTCATGGGCATCAGTAAGAATGTCCAATAAAACCTATTTAAGTCGAACATCTTTGGTATTTAAATGTTCTACTTGGGAGGTGTTCCACTTACAGAGGTTTATTTAACATTAAGTCAGTTGGTCATGGGACTCAGAAAAGTGTTCCACTTTCAGAGGTGTTCCACTTATGAAGGGTCCACAAGAGGTTGATATATGGTATAAAACTTTCAAGCCCATGAAATTTGAGGTATAGAAAATGTCATGGATTCTGATAGACCCCTCTTTGATTTCAAATAAGTACATTCTGGTGTTTGGTATAGATGAATTATGGTGTCTAGCATGGTGGTGGGACATATGTAAGGGGTCTATAGAGATAAGGTATACTGTGTAAAAAGATCCTCTATAGATCCCCACATGTGTTGCATGCAAATATGAATATGGTATGGGTTTATGTAAGGTGTTTGTTTGAAAGATATTTGCTTGCTAGATGTAAAAACATCTGCATGAAACTTGTATTATTTTTGCAACCAGGGTCTACACTCCATTCTGATTTGTTAATAAAGGTACTCAGTTAACCCTGACTACTCATCAGGAGGAGGAGTCAGCAGTATTGAATAATGTACATGTACAATTTGTATTGGAACAGTTTATGGAGCACCAAATATGCTATGCTGTGTTTTATCAAAGTTAATGTAAAAACTGCATGCTTGCACATTATGTATGTAATTAATGGCACTGCATTCTTCATTTCAAATAAGAAAGTCTGAATCATATTATAAACTTGGACATTTGTGTGATTTCTGATTTCTGAAGATGTTATATTATTATGTCTGATAACAACTGTATACATTACAACAAAAAAAATTTAATCACTCTGCAGGGGCGTAGTAAGCTTTCAGTCAAGGGGGGGTGCGATCGCCAAAAAAAATTCGGTTTTCAGTCAGGGGGGTGCTATTATGACTTAAACAAGCCCAAAAATTAAGATTTATTTTGAATTTGACAAAAATTGATGCAACTTCCTTCAAAATTGAGCTAGAAACTTCAAATAAAAAGCATTTTAAAGCTAATTTCCCATCCCAACCACCTGGCTACGCCTATGCAAAAGTTGTGATAAAATACCAGTTCAATCAAACTTAGTTAGGTGCAAAAATACCAAACTTAATCAGGTGCAATGTAAATAAAGTGAGTAAATGAAGGTTATTAAATGATGTGTGATATATGTACATGTACACAATGTGATAATAATACATGTAAGTGTAAAATTGTAAATGATACTATTGCTTTTTGCAGCTGGTGTTGAGATGATTCGTCTAGGGGACCAGGTTATAGAGTACAGTAAAGATTTCCGCTTCTATATAACTACAAAACTACGTAATCCACATTACTTGCCAGAGGTTGCCACTAAGGTGTCATTGTTGAACTTCATGATCACACCTGAAGGTCTAGAGGATCAGCTCCTGGGAATTGTGGTTGCTAAGGAAAAGTAAGTTTATTTGTTCTCATATATTATTTATTTAATGCAAATGATTTTATACAAGCACATCTCCTATTACCAGGAGTATTATAGGAGAGCACGCAAATTTTGCATGAAATATTTTCATGTTATCTTTTTGGGGAAGTTGCCTTGAAACCACATGTTGGAACTGAGTCTTACAGAGATTAAATTTACCCTACAGAATTCATATTTACAGTTTTGGGGATTTTTGTCTTGAAGAATGTATGGGTTTCAAATCCATACTGTCCAAAAATCACAAAATCCACAAATCAGTATTTGTCCTGAGCTTATTTATAAGAAATCCATCAAATACTTTCTGAAATATAAACATGTAATTTTTCAGACCAGACCTTGAAGAAGAACGTCAAGCTTTGATCATTCAGAGTGCCCAGAACAACAAACAACTAAAGGAGGTCGAAGACAAGATTCTCCACACACTCTCTGCTTCAGAGGGAAACATCTTAGAGGATGAATCCGCAATCCAAATTCTTGACTCATCTAAAGTTCTCGCAGATGAGATCAACAAAAAGCAAAAAGTTGCTGAAGTTACTGAGAAGAAAATTGATGAAAGTCGTGTTGGTTATCAACCGATTGCTCGACATTCAGCCATTTTGTTTTTCTCTATTGCTGATTTGCCAAATATTGACCCTATGTACCAGTATTCATTGACGTGGTTCGTCAACTTGTATATTAACTCCATACATGATAGGTAGGTGGTGTTAGTTGTTCAGTTAAAAATAAAAATATAATATTAGAAAATGCCAAAAGATTTGAAAATTTCATGAATAAATAAGTGAATTTATTAAACGTTGAAGCACTGAAGCATAAAATCTAACATTAAATAAATGCAACATCAAACTGGCTGATTTTAGTGATTTTAGGTTAAAAGATTGTTATTTATCTTGTATGGTGTCATGACCATCATATTTGTACACCACCGTTTAATTTCCTTGATAAGAGTATGTTTTATTTATTATATACAGTTTATAATTTATCTTACTAATTGATATTTCACAATGACTAAAAAATGCACACCATGTTTTATTTTCACACCATTCACACTAATATACTTCACACCATGCCTCATCATGTATTTCACATTTCAGTAACAAATCTAAGATTTTGGAGCGTCGTTTACGATACCTCAAGGATCATTTCCAGTACAATCTATACGAAAATATTTGCCGCTCACTGTTTGCACGACACAAAGTTGTCTTCTCATTTTTACTGTGTGCCAACATTCTGTTGTGAGTATAAGCACACGTTCACACTATATGCATGCCATTTTACTATTGCTTTGCCTTCAATAGGGTGGATGTCTTGATATGCTATATGGTCGACATGTCTATTTAACACTAAAAACAATTCATTTGAAACATTTCAAAGAAACATTTAAACTAAATTCTCAATTTCAACTCCTAATTTGGATTTCAAGAATTTAGTACAAATGTGGTTATTTCATATTCAGTGAAGATTATATATTTCATTGCAACTCCTGCATTGTACTATGTACCATGGAATAGAGAGACACATGTTGGTTCAGTTGAAATGTTATTTTAAATGTTTATGGTGTTTGATAGACATGATATAGGAACCCTTGCCTGATGTTACTATAGCAACTTTCGCCTGGAATAGACAAAATGTCCTTCTGCTTGAAAATTCCTTCTCCTGCTTGGCTTGTCTTTACAGATACTGTTGCTAAGGCAACCTACTGGCTTACCTGCTTGTGGTGGATCCTGGATTTCTTGAAATATTCTGTCAGAAATTCTTAACTTTTCATATATATTTTCTTTGTAATATTTGATACAAGAGAAAATACTGTATGAAGATTTAAGAAATTTCATTTGGCCCTTGGTGACTTCTTAGTTAGACTTCATAGTTAGATCTTGAATGTTCTTTTATTGCATGTATGGTTTGAGTGATTTATTGTAGGACTCTGAAGGAACCCTCAGGATATGATGACATTGTTTGCTACTTCAATACTCTACTGCCATCTTTCTGATTTCTGTGCTGCCACCTATATAAGTATTAGTTATGGTGCTGCCACCTATAGTTAGTTAAAGCCCTGCGATCTTTATTCTCCTTCCAGCAACAAATCAAAGATCCTGGAGAGACGATTGAGATATCTTACAGATCATTTTACGTACAACTTGTATTGTAATGTCTGCCGCTCGTTATTTGAGAAAGACAAGCTTCTATTCTCATTTATTCTGTGTTGTAAGCTGTTGATGTGAGTATGATGACAATTTGTGAATTACCAATGTTAAATGTTATGTGTTGTCCTGTTTTGATTTGTTTTGGCTAATTAATTGGTATCAAATGCTTTCATTGTACAACACACACAATTTGTGTGACACACACACATTTTATGGAACACTCCAAATTATATTGTTTTACACCCCACTTGTGTTTGTTCACATTTTTATGTCTTTTATAATGTATTTTGTGAATAACCAGGCCCAAAAAGGCACAAGACACCTTTTGTAAACATGAAAATTATTGGGAAACTTGTTTAGAAATGGCTCAAGCGAAGCATGCATCCAGTATACATGTACCATATGTGACTATATACATTTGCTTCTTTTACATTATACATGTCATAAAGAAAATATGTCAATTTGGGAGTTTTTATTTTTAAATCATGAGGAATATATTTTCAAATGTTGGATCATCAGGGATGTGTTAGGATGGTCAGGATGGAAACCTGCTTGGAGGTGAGACACCATCCTATGAAAAATATAAACATTAAAGGAATGTCTTTATAATTTCCCTCCCAGTATAACCCGAGGAAATAACATAACTAAATAATTGATAATACTTTGGACACCATCCTCTGGAAACTCTAAAACTGGTTTAGGGCTTAAAGGAATGTTTGAAAATTCCCATCCCAGTACACTTAAGGAAAATCCATGTAACCGCATATCTAAATGAAACGTACAAACAATAATTATTCATAATATTTGGGACACCCTCTGCAAAATCTAAAGCTGGTTTAGGGTGAAAGGAATGTCTTTGAAATCCCCCTCCTAGTTCACCTGAATAAAACCATGTTGCAGTATCTCTCGGTACATCCTCCTAAGCAGGTATCCAGAATCCGTACCTCTTTCTTCCCCCTGCTATAACCAATTTGGAAGCGCCCGATTAAACTGAATCACGTGATCTAATTATGCGCAATGACTTATACGTGATATCTGTCGCAGTGTTGCAACAGCCAATCAGATTGCAAGTTCTTAATCGGGGAAATGCTAAATGCTTATCGCAGGGGGTAAAAAGAAAGAATATATTCTGGATTTTGAAGTCCTGTGATCGGAGGATGCTCTCGGTAAGAATTACAATAATTGATGATACTTGGAACATCCCTTTGCAAAATCTTGTTAACTCCCACCCTACTCAGGAATTTTTAGCCATGTGGCTTAATTATTAATACTAGGCATCATGCATATTTGTTCTACCATGAATATTTGTTCTATCCTAATAAATAAAATATTTGGTAATAAATGGATGACAAATGGGATATTACATACTCTTGAAAACACAGATCATTAATTGGTGAATGTTTATTCATTTTTAATTTATTTAATATTGTGCACATAATGTGCACTGCGTACCAGTTCAAAATATTTATATGTGTATATTAATACCATCCATAAACCATGATAAAATTCTTTTTATCTCAAAATGACTTAAAATGTGCCACATGAACTCACATGGGCAGTCTGCCTACAAAGTGTCTGGATGATTGCTGGTATCCATTCAAGGAAGTAAGGAATTAATCAGAAATGTTACTTCTTTTTAATGAAAACTTGTCCTTAAATGAGCGATAATACATTGATGATGACACCTTAATCACCTTAATGATGACACTGAATTGTATGGCACATTTTACTTCATTGTATGTTGTTACTAAATACATGTTTTCTGCTAATCTGCCTTACTAATTCTCATCAGCTTTTTGCATGTGTTTCTTATTTCTGTATATGTTTCTTAAATCTTAAAGTCCCCCTGATATGTTCTCTGGGTGACTAGAATTGTTAAAATGTTATAAAACCATATACATTTGTATTTGACTTATTTGTCTCTATGTAGATGTAATTTAAATCTATTTTGAATGATACTTTCTAAGAAAACATGTCATAATTATCAAAAAATGAATAAAAAACAATTTGATTAGTTTTAAATCTGAACACTGAAAATTCTTTTTATGATATTACAACTTTATTCTATATTTAATCTATCAATACTACTATATGTTGTAAAATGTCCATTTTCATATGCCATTGGCAATTTGTATCAAATACAGTGTATCAAAGACATTGAAAGAAATAATGATTCTTTTAATTCTATTCAACAATGAATTAATTGACTTCCAACCTCGTTCAACACTTCTCATTTTTTCTCTTTCAGAGCTAGAAATGACCTTGGACGAGAAGAGTTTATGTTTTTCCTGACTGGGGGTGTCGGCCTTGAGAATAAAATTCCCAACCCTGACAGTACATGGCTGACTGACAAAAGCTGGGATGAAGTTTGTCGCTTGACAGACATTGGAGGAAAATTCGCATCATTTAAGTAAGTAAAATACATGATATGATAAGTTTTTGAAAATGTCTTCAATGCTATGTGGATGTGACTCATCGAAAGCTTTCTTTTCCTACACTATCTTTTCCATTTTGATTCTTTGTATGTCTGCCCTTACATAAACATCATTCCTCCTTGTCTTGTCTTATCTAAGTAATTCACACCTTCAAATATTTTCAAAACTATGCTTTTCTAACCTGTCCACTGCACTCTTGTATTCAATGCTATATTCAAGTTAAAATCAATCAATGTGAAATCTGTGTGTTGCGCTGTCTGTATACAGTCAAACCTGCCTGGAATGGATACTGCAAGCACCAGCTCAAACTGTTCAAATTGTAATATGTTCAGGTCTGATAAAATGTTTACATTTAAGACTGAGATGTTCATTTTCACAGGTTTTACTGTATTCAGAATCTATGCAACAAAATGGTACTATCTGCTTTTCCTCCATGTATCTACATTCTCTGCAACTGCTCTGATGTATTGTTTACTATGCTTTCTATGCTTTATTAGTCTTGCATCAAGCCTCCTTCCAAACATACACATGTACCAATCAGGGTAGATTGGGGAAATAAATAATGTGATTGACCAAAGGGTAACATATCAAGACAAAGAATAAGAGGCTGAAAAGCATTCAGTGTAGCTCTCATGTTTATGAAAGTTATAGAGTAACAAAAAATTCAATCCTAGATTTATTATGAACTTGCAATTTTGAACAATTTGCACAATAACATGCATCAGTGTCAAGGAAGAAAACATAATTTCCCCTTTTCTCAAAGCCATTGATGCAGTTTTAAGTAGACCCCTATTTCACACATTGAACACTCAATCTTATGGCCCAGGAAAGACACCCTCCCTCCCTTCCTTCCTACCACCAAAGACTTGATGCAAGACCTAAGCTCCATCTATAAACCTATAACTGTCTATATCTATCTGCTTGCTATCTCTCCAACCAGAAAGGATTCCAGTGCTATGTCTAAATTGGAGAAAATAGAAGCCAAAGCTGGAGAATTTGCTCTTGTTTACCACCAGAAAAAATTGAAGTAAGTTCATCTTTTGAATGATAACTTATTAGAAATGGTACATATATTGGTCTCCTGAAGGTGAACTGAAATTAGAAAATGTATCTTTGGGTGAGTTTTCTTTTGTTGTAGCTAAATGGAAGAGTGGTAGATTTGCAAGTTTATGAACATGTACAGGCTGGACTAAAGATCTGCCTCTTATTTTTTTCCATTTGAATTTCACTAGAGTATTTCTGAAATATATCTGAATAGGTTTCATCAAGAAATACAAGTATGTTGTGTAGGTGTTCAGAATTTATATCAAATGATTTTGCATCACCATGGGCTGGCTTTCAAGAGAAAGCTAATGGATAGACAGTGCATTGTATACTAGTAATGCTCCATACACATTTTTTACATATGTATAATCTGTATATTTGAATACCAATGTATAATGTACAAATGAAATAAATTAGCCTGTTAAGAGCCCCCTTTCCTTATATTCCTGAAAAATTGTAATAACGATTTCTGTATTCCAATGCTTCTTCACAATGATAATACATACACAGATACAAAATATCATAAACATAGTGAATTGATCTTATCATAATTTTCAGACCTATACACTACGTAACTAAGCCATGTTATTAGGACAATTCATTGAAAATTCCGTTACAGTGTTTAAAATATTACTGGGTTTGGATCAAAATAGTATAACAACCCTACAATTGTGTTATAGGGACCACTTCATTGAGAACATAGACAAGTGGCGAGCATTCTATGATAGCAAGGAACCTCATGAGGAGACGCTCCCTGCCCCCTGGGACTCTGACCTTGATGAGTTCAAGAAAATGATTGTATTAAGATGCATCAGGCCTGACAAGGTAAGCAGATTAATATTTTGTCGTGCATTTGGAGATTATTTTATTTATCAACTGAATAACTGAATAACTTTTTGATTCAAACATTCTTAATGTGAAACTCTAAATCTGAAATTTATTGCGAAGAAAAAAGACAACAAATATTTCACAAACAAGTTACAACATTTTCAAAATCTCAAATTTTATTAATCACTATTTCATAATTAGACAACCCATAATAATGGTCTTTACATCTTGAATAAAAGTACATGTACAGTATATTTTAGTTATTAAGTGTTTGCAATTTTCAGGTTGTACCAGCAATCACAAATTATGTCCAGGAAAAGCTAGGAAAGAAATTTGTTGAGCCACCTCCATTTGATCTTGCTAAGAGTTTTGCTGATTCAAACTGTTGCGCTCCATTGATTTTCGTCCTCTCCCCTGGTGCTGACCCAACCATGGCATTGCTCAAGTTTGCAGAGGACAGAGGCTTTGGTGGGAAGAAATTCCAGTCTATTTCTCTTGGCCAAGGACAGGTAAGAAAACAGTGTTTTAGTAAAAGCACCATTCATATATTGTGCTTTAATGTTTTTTCGACAGTCATTTTATAGTTAATATCCCAATTTATGTACACAAAATACACTTGATATCAAGTCACAATGTATATGTTGTTTTTTAGGGTCCAATCGCAGCAAAGATGATTGCAAGTGCAAAAGCTGAAGGTTCCTGGGTGTTACTACAGAACTGTCATTTGGCTGTGTCCTGGATGACTGCTATGGAGAAGATATGTGAAGAGTTCACGCCTGAGAACACGCACACAGACTTCAGGCTATGGCTAACTAGTTACCCTTCACCTAAGGTGAGTCATTATCACCAATTAGCTTAAGTAAGATAAAATATTCCAGGGTCAGTTCATTCATTGTTAATGTGAAACTTCAGTCTGTGTAATAATTTAGATGTCATACAAAGTAAGTACCTTAAAAATCTACTTAATTCAATAGTTACCAATACTGCAAAGATGGGGAACTACCATGTTAAATAATGCTTTAGTGACCCAGTTAATTTTGTCTTGTAGTTCCCAGTGACTGTGCTGCAGAATGGAGTTAAGATGACTAATGAACCTCCTACAGGTCTGCGTCAGAATCTACTCCAGTCCTACCTTAATGATCCTATCAGTGATGAGACTTTCTTCAAGGGATGCCCTGGCAAAGAAGCGGTAGGTTGACATAGATTATTAATATTTCACTGATCACCCAACAGGTTAATCACTCAATGCTGCTTCCTGTTCATATTTTAAAACCACCCAACTCCAATTTCACAGAGTTGAGAAAAATAATAAAGATATTTTGATCAGTTTTAATAATTTATTTCTAGCCAAAATTAGTAAAATGACAATATGTTGTGTCCTTATTTAGAAAGAAGCATGTTAAGAGCCCCACTGGCATTTATATTGGCTTATCCTGATTATTGATTTGTTTTTCTAGGTGTTTGAGAAGCTTCTGTATGGACTGTGTTTCTTCCATGCCCTGGTGCAGGAGAGGCGTAAGTTTGGCCCTCTGGGGTGGAACATCGCTTATGGTTTCAATGAGTCAGATCTCAGAATCTCAGTCAGGCAGCTACAGGTAGATTGAATACTATTCATTTATATTACATGTAATGCCCAATGTGTAATTTGCCCCAAGCCCAAAATTGTACAAAATAAATAAACAGCTGTTGGTCTTTAGATAATTAACCACAACCATATCTGTGATAATATACTGATAATATAAGTAAAATTTAAAGAGCCATTAATCAAATTAATGTCAGTTTTCATTCTCAGATTTTAAGTTCAATTTTGTAAAATGGCAGGTTTGAAAATTCAGTCATTGTAATTTGAGCAAGCTTTAATCGAATTGATGTAATACTGGAAGCATAACTTGCTTTCAGATGTATGTCAATGAATATGACAGTGTGCCGTATGATGCTATCACCTACATGACCGGGGAATGTAATTATGGGGGTCGTGTCACAGATGAGAGGGACAGGCGATGCCTAATGACAATCTTACAAGATTTCTACAATCAAAATGTCGTCAGTGAGCCCAAGTACAAGTTTTCACCTAGCGGAGCATATTATGCACCACCTAAAGGGGAATATGAAGACTACGTGGAATTCATTAAGGTATGCAAAAATTAAGTTAAATTATATAGTTAAATAGGCCATTGTCCTATAGACCAGTCTGTGCTTTTGTCACACCTAATGTTCATATTCCTTAAAGGATATGACCATCATCTGATCTGTACTTCAGTGTGAGGATACAATTTTCGTTATCTGAACCATTGTGCTTGGCTGCAATCATAAGCTCACCTTTGCCTGTGGTTGCAATATTGAACATCTTGCAGTTGGTAGTTCCTGGTTCGATCAAGTCCTTTACCATGAGCCCATCTGGCTCCAGTAATGTGACTGTGTTCTTCGTGCGGTTAAGCACCATTATGTTGTCTTTGTTGTCAACACATGCATGAAGGGCATCATCTTTGCTGTTGATAGGCTTGTATTCAAGCATCTGACTAGAACACTCAAAAATACTGCCACTGCTTTGCATTCTTATACCAATAACTTTTCCTTTCCCAGCCACTATGATGTCATTGTTACTTTTCATGGATATAGTGTTTGCCTCAGATATGTTATTGATTTTGAATTGAGGTATTATTATTTCAGAAAATTCAGTGTGGAGAATACTACCATCTGAATATAAAATAAATACATCACACTGTTTATTCATCGCAATGTCCTGGATGCTTGAGCCAATATCTGGTATTATGGTTTCCATTACATCATCTGTACCTGCATATGTTTTCATCTTTTTATAAAATATTGAGTCACTGTCAGTGCACACAATAATGCCATTATTATGTGTGGGTGTGTAGGCTAGAACATCCTTTTCTTTCAATGTGTACTCTCTTGTGATGGTCCAGTCTTTATCTTTGTCATAGCACACTAGTTTATCATTTGTTCTTATTCCTATTACATTATTTGGAAACACACGCATATCTGTAAATCCCACATTCATGATCTTATGTTCTTTCTGTATTTGTATGTGTTGTTCAACACTTATCTTTGCCAACTGCTCCCTTTTTGTTTTGACTTGTGACAGCTTAATGGTTTTGTTATTGCTGATTTTGCTTGGCTGAACCTCGATTTTAGTCACTGTGTCGATTGGTAGATCTGGACTTTGTGTCCATGTCTCCCTCTTAGCATTCATCTCAGGTATATTATATACAATGTCTGCAGGATGGCCATGGATACGTAAGTTCTCCAGCTGTTTAACAGTGCCATCTATGGCATCTTTCTGAAACTGCAGATCAGCCAATCGAGCCACTGTGTTTTTGATTGCAGCATTACCAATTTCGGCAACTTTATCATTAAGTGCTTCAAAATGGGCTTCAACATTTGCTACAACAAGTTTTTTGTCTGCTTTCAGTTGAACTTTAGCATCCTTAATATTTTTCTCGATTGTTTGTTTCTGGATATGAGTAGCAGTTATGCCGACTTCGTACTTATCTGATTTCTGTCTTCCAAGGTCAATAACTGAGCTAAGGTTCTTAATGTTTAATTTAGCTGTCTGTGCGATATTGTCCAATGGGTGTCCTTGATGGTCAAAGGCAAAGCAGTCCTGACAGATAAGGCACTTATCTTTTTTGCAGAAATACTTCAAAGGTTCATTTTCATGTTCTTGACAGTATATTGTTCGTTTAGATAACATCCCTAGTGCTGTTGTGGTATCTTTTGAAATGTCACCACTTAGCTGGAGTACTTTGTGTGACTTTGAGAAACGTGAGAGTTGATGTGTACGCCCACATGTCCTACATAGCTTTTCATTGCATTCAATGCATTTCATAACAGCTTCGACCAGTTTATCATCTTGTGAACAGATGTCACAGTTTATTGCATCTATTGGCATTGATCGATCCTTCAATGCTTCAAGCACAGAATTAGCAAAAAAGTTCACCTTCAAACCTCCAGCTCCCTCTTTTGGTATAGGGGTGCGATCCCTGCAGGTTGGACAGGAGAATGTTTTGCTCTTTACCTGAGCATCTATGATGCCCTGGATACATTTTCTGCAGTAACTATGCATACATGGTAGACATCTTGGATCCTCTAATGTTTCCATACAGATTGAGCAGTTTACTGAATCCATCAAAGGATCATTGTCCAGTTTTGATGTCGCCATATTACTATGTAAGAGTTATACTGTTCTTTTGTGTAAGCTGCTTCTATTTGATTATTTGTTATATGCCTCTTGGTAAGCTGGGTAGTTCTGTATATAAATGTATGTCTTATCTGGTTGTTTTTGAGTTATTTGAACACTTGAAAAATCAAATATTAACTTGGATTAAATCATCGAAAAATTGATAAATCTTTTGCTAATGACATCTTTTAATTATCATAAGATGTATTATCATAATACTTGAAGTCTTCACATCACATTCAAGCTTTTTTCTCACCTTGTGAATCAGCCATTTCAACTGGAAAATGATGTTTTAATGTAATTATGTATAAACAAGCTACCAAAATTCCAGAGTAAGGTAAAATATAACTGATTAAAACACAAATCTTCCCATGTTATTCTAGGCACTGCCACTAACCCAGCTGCCTGAGGTATTTGGAATGCATGACAACGTAGACATCTCCAAGGAACTCCAAGAAACCAAGCAGCTATTTGACTCTGTGTTGCTGACCCAAGGTCGAAGTGTAGGTGGCGCTAGTGGTGGCTCAGATGACAATCTTTATGCCATTGCAACTGGAATTCTTGAAAAGGTAATAGATGGGGATATATGTTGTTTAGAGAAAATACAATTAATCTCTGAGAAGGATTCTAATTTTAATTCAAAAACCAATTAACATTAAGAACTTGATTTTGATAAAGCCCATAATAACAAACAGTCTTGCACCAAGTCCTTGTGAACCCCCCCCCCCCAAACTTCATCCCAAACACACAATGGTTCCAAGTATTGATAACATGTTAAATTCAATCATTATTGAATTTCTGTAAATGAGAAAAAAATATAGAGGAGTTTGGTAAGACTGTGTAAGAGGTTGCAGCAATAAAATGAAATATATATAAAGCGGGGAAGTAAAAATGAAAACTTAGAAACACATGTGCTGTATTTGCAATTCAGATGCCACTAGAATTTGACCTTGAGGAGGCATCCAAGAATTTCCCTGTAGTATACAATGAGAGCATGAACACAGTATTGGTGCAAGAAATGGAAAGATTCAACAAGTAGGGACAGTTTACATGTTTTATTTGTTAAAAATATTGATATTAATGTTTTCTAAATTATCTGCCAATTTTTTGCCAATTGGATAGATATTTCAAGAATGGTAAGATGAGATTTATAGGGAAGATTGTTATTAATTTAATAGTTATGATCTGAGAGCAGACTCGTTTTTGAGACTGTACATTATTTTTTAAAATTGTAATTTCAACAATGAGATTGAACAGAGAGTGTATATTCAATGAATTCCTTATATAATCTATATTCTATATGTACATTGGCCAATTTCAGCTTAACATCTATAGTAAGGAATAGCTTGAAAAATCTCCAGAAGGCAATCAAAGGTCTCGTTGTGATGTCATCAGAATTGGAGGAGGTGGCTGCAAGTGTTCTGATTGGTCGCATTCCCGCAATGTGGGCCAAGAGGTCATACCCGTCTCTAAAGTCTCTCGGGTCATACATCAATGATCTAATAGATAGATTGAACTTTCTACAAGTAAGGCTTTAGAACGTTTAGAGTATAGTACTTTTTACTCTCAATTTGAGGTCATCCAACTTGAAACTATTTTGAGCATATTTGTAAAATGTTGACCATTTGGAATAGACCAATGAAATGATAGAATGAAAGAACATTGAACAAGGTTTAATTTAGACAAAATTGAATTTTACTTTAAACCAATGCTTAATTACTGAGTTATTAACATTTGTTTGGGTTAACTTATTTATGGTTCACCATACTGTTTCATTTTAAGACAAAATCTTCATATTGTATTAAAATTCGTTTCTTAATATCTTTTCAGAAATGGCATGATGAGGGGAAGCCAAATATATTCTGGGTGTCTGGATTTTTCTTCACGCAAGCTTTCCTCACGGGTGTCATGCAGAACTTTGCCAGAAAATATGTCATCCCTATTGATATTCTAGGCTTTGATTTTGAGGTAAGCAGATAATTTTAAAAATCAAACTTGTAAGAGAGCCCATCATAAGACTAGGGAAAATGCTAGTTATATAGTATATGAGGCTATAGGGAGAAATCTTTACATCCGTAGTCATATATTACGTAACTAATTAGCTAAGGTTATTCAATGACAGGATAAGATTTTCGCTTTGAATGTGGCAACTCCAATTCTCCATTTCGCTGTTCGCTCTTTGAATCAGAACGTTCGCATATATGGTGCATATATGTACTCAAAAAGGACAAAATTTGATTGGTCAATATTTTTCAACGATGCATTTCGTGTAGCTATTTGTGAGACCCGAAAGTTCTAAATCAAATTAATTACGCAATTTTGTTTTTACACCCGCAAGCTAAATAAAAAAATGACACCATCGGAATTCTTCTTCTTTGTCATTGAATTAATAGTCAGTATACCAGATTTAATCAATAAAAGATTATACAATTAACAACAAAATTCGGAAACGAGTATGTAAGATTTGCTTTCGAACCACTAAACTTGACCTAGATAATAGCGACGTGTCTTCTTTGGTCAAATGCTCAGTTGTTTGTGGGTTTTCAACGTAACTCTATAATGTAATATGAAGATGAGTACTTTTATTCAGTTGTTGCATCGATGTTACAGTTTGTAGTGCGGTAATATTGGTATGAACGTGTTGAAAGTCGAATGGAATTGCTTTTTCCAATATGGCGACTAGTCACGTGACTTCTTCTCTTCCGGAATATACTCCCATTTTCAATCATTGTTTTCACCCCGTTAGGAGCCAATAAAATGAAAAAAAATATATGTTATATAAAGATTATTAAAAGACTAATTGTTTCTGATAGTTTGTTTTCTCCGATCGCATGGAGATTCGATCGAAAATATCGCTTGAAAAATGGGTATGAAAATCCCCATGTTAAACCAACGGGGAAAAACAAGGTAGAAAAATTTTGTTCCCCCGCGAACTGCATCATGGGAAATATTTTGACCTTATAAGGAAAAACTTTCGCGCCATCTTTATTAGAGATTCAATACTACCGAATCCGCGATTTTAAGAATTGATCCTTTAATTTTTGCCTTATTTCATTCACATTAATCTATGTTAGAACAGTAAATAGATGTCTCATATGTGAGAAGTGTCTCATCTTAATCCATTTATAGAACGTTGCACAAATCATGGGTGGTTTAACGGCCCTTTAACTAATCATGGAACCTTAAGGTGGTCCTAGTGGTATTACACAATTGATAGACCTTAAGGTGGTCCTAGTGGTATTACACAATTGATAGACCTTAAGGTGGTCCTAGTGGTATTACACAATTGATAGACTTGGACATAAGTTCATTTCTGTAATTATTTAAGCTTAAAAATAGATCATGTAGAAAGAAAATTAATTGCTTTTTGAAATTGAAAAAGTAGTTTTTAATTTTTGTACTTGTCATGCTGCTTACTATATAAATTTTTAAAAAAGAAATTTTGTGTCAAATTTTCTGTTGATGATGTAATTAATAGGGTTATTATGGTTTGGAGTTATTACACAAGAGAATTACAGCTATTGTCCATTGAATCAACAATCTAAGAAGAAAAGTAAATAACTTTTTTTCTTGGTGTACTCTACTTGTATAATTAGTATATAATGATAAATATGGGTTATGTTCTGAGAGGTTTTGGATATGGGGTTTATCCAGGAGATGTGCATTACTGGATATTCCACGAGGTATAAACCTCATATCCAAACCGAACGTGCATAACTGCTTTATTTGTTGCAGAGGTTGTTATTACAATTTACCTTATTGAGTCAAGTTCTACATAATAATTGTGGCAGTCATTATGAAATTCCTTGTTAAATAGACGACTTTTGTTGGAAAACTTTTTATAAGGCTTTTAGGGTTGTTTATTTAACTGATGTTGGTCCTACCTTATGAAAACATAATAGCCAGAATATCTGTTATAATTTACTTTAAAATTATTATGCATAAAAAGGAAAATGTAATACCTCATGCCTCTATCTTTATTGTGCAATCAAAATCTGTTATTGCAGAAGTTTGGTTCATTTTGACATGAATGTCATGTTAATGAGCCATTATTTCTCATAATACACATTCTATAGAACAGTATTATTCCATGTTAATTGCTTCTATGATAAAACTAAATGATTTATGTTTTTATTTTTGCTTCATTTAGGTCTTGGGAGATGTAAGTTGATGTTTATAAACTATGGATATGGGATATGTAGCTCTACCTTGCTTTCTTAAAATGTGCTTACCTTACTTTACCCCCTCCCCCCCCCCCCATTTGGGAAACCAGAGACTTGATTCAAGATTCATTGGTTGTAGTAGTATCTAGATACTGACCATGTAATTTTTGAAGTGTGATTCCAAATGTGTAATTTGGCCTTGTCTGTGATTATAGAGATAATATATATGTATACAGTAAAATGAAACACCTCTGTAATCTGAACACTACTCAATGTGAAAGCCTTTTAATGTTCCAGTTTTTATGCATCATAGATTTTTAATCTTACCATGATAAAGAACGTGGAAGTATTGACACCTACCAATCCAAAACATGTGGCAGGTCCCAGTGGTATTCAAATTTGACAGGTTTTACTGTAGTAGAGTGGCCAGGAATTAACTCATGAAATCACCCTTCAAATACATGTCAGATGGACTGTAGTACATGTCCTGTAGGCACATGTCATATACTTTGCACTAAATTCTACTCTATAATCTGGTTGTGAGGTTGTAAAACTTAACTTAAAGCATGAACACCATTTTATAGCATCCCATTTTCAAAATAGAAATCAAATTTCCAAAAAGTGATGAGAAATATTATATTATTATTATTAAATATTATATTAATATTTCCAAAAAGATGAGAAAGTGGTGTAGCAGATATCAAAATTGGTTATTTCTAGAATTTAGTGCAAAACTTGAGATGACCCCTAAGAATAAATTTAACTCAAAAGGTACAAATTATTTTAATTTAAGGAATAAACTCCTTTCCTTAAATTTAACTTAGGAATAATTTTCTAATTTAAGGAATAAACTATTCTCCTTAAGTTTAGCTTAAGGTAGGCCCAGTGGAATGATTTTAGACCTGCATGCAAGCCTTTATGTCAAAGCTCTTAGTTTATTTGTTCTATATGGGCTACCTTAAAATAGCTAAATATCTCATATTTCCACTTTACTGTTTTGTTTATCTTCTCTGATTGGTCCCTGTAGATGTATTGTAGTCTAATTAAAATTGACCATTTGTCAATTTTCAAGTAGGTGGCGCCCCAGCATTGTTCACTTAAGACAGGCTTTACTGTACAGTACCAGAACCCTTAAAACATTTTACTCTCAAGCTCTTATGTCTGAGAGCTCTATTAGCCTATTAGTATGATGCCTTGTATGATCACTTAAAAGTCATTAGAATACAAAGTGCAGAATTATTACAGAGTACAATGGTACATTATACATCACACTAATAGAATTCTTTCTTGTAGCTTAGAACAAACTTCGGAAGAAGGCCTTTAAAGATTCAAAAATATTGTAAATTATGATTTGTGTGTTCTATCATCCTTTATGTTTTAGCTTAGTTTAACAGAATAAAATTCATAAATCACGATCTATGATATTTTTGAAAATCTGGCGTAGGATTAGTATTTTGACATATGCATATCTACATCCAGAGTGTATCATAAAATGTCTATATTTTTTCCAGTTGATGCCATAGCAAAATGTGAAAAGATATTGATAACTCTTGACATGTTTGATGTTGATTGTACAAATTATCATTTTATCTTCAATAAACATAAATACATAAAAAGTGATGGTGACTGTAAGTCTGTTGTTTAAGAAAACAATTGATTTTGCAAATTAAACTTGAATTCTAGTATTATGTGAAACATGCCACAGCCTGGTGCACTACACAAGTACACTTGTGTCAAGAAGATAAATCTTAACCTTGTATATATCTCATTAAGGATCTATCATTGTACATCTGTCATGAGACAAAATCCTTTGTAAGCCCTTAAATATGTTTGTGTCAAGAAAATTTGCCCAGCTACCTTGAAACTTGCATACTCATCTATCAACCTACGAGGATTCTGACAAAACTGGAATGATCTATTAGACAGTGTTATAGTCGATTTATTCATTGCACAATTGATGATGGGTATTTTTAGTTGAGATTTGTCATGAGTTCATATCATGTCCACATCCATGCGAATATCCCTTCTAACAGGAATTTTTAAAAGCAAAGCTAATTTTACTTTGTTTTATTTTTATTTACCAAGTAAAACTTGTATAAGTGGAACACCCTTGGTACTACTTGGGAGGTGTTTTACTTATAGAGGTTTATATTTTATGAGTAAATGAGTGAAACGATTGGTTTACATGAATCTGTAAAATGCTGCTTATCTAAAAGAAAACAGAAAAACTAGATTGATTTGTATCAATATAACCTTGTTTCTATGGTAATATACAGAATTTGCATTTGCTTATATTAGATTGTTCACTTTTGAGATGCAAATTGTGTAATTGCATCAACATGTTATGAATTGTATATTACAATAGAGATGAATCATACAAGTTGAATAAAAGCACTACATACATTGCAATTCAGATTATTGTATTATACAAGAACTCTTTGACTTATCCTTCATTGGTCATATTAAATCAATTTTGCTAAAGAATTGTTCCCCAGAGGCCATAGAACATAAAAGGTCAATTATATTTTAAGAAATTATTTCTCGGAGGAAATGGACTATATTAAGTTGAATTATTATTGAATTATCTTGAAGAATTATTCCCAAGAGGAAAATAATTTCATAATTCAGGTCAGTGATATGAAAGAATTGTCTCTGAGAGCAAATGTGATGATATCTTAGGTCACATCGAAGAATTGCTTTGAAGAATTAGATTAAGGTCATTGTCATTCTACCATTTTCATTATTTGATGCCTAATGAATATCCAGAGGAGTGTCATATATTAAAAGGTTTTATTTTGACATTTCTATCAGTGGCTGTCATAACAGACAGAAGCCATTTAATCACGCCTACCTACATGTAGTGCCCACAATGCCATAGTGCAGTGACATTAGTCTTGTCCCTTTTATTGATTAACCTTTCAAAGATTTTGTCTACAGTATCATTAGTACATGTAGTTTCATAATTCAATTATGTATTGTACAATATATTTAATTGCATGCATTTTTCACAAAATCAGTAAAATGCTGTCAGATCTGAAAAAGATTGTCCAACTGGTATCTCCAACAGGAGATCATGGGAGATACTAGTACTTTGTCTATTTATATTTATTATTTATGCAGTGAGAGGTTCTGGAATAAGTTGTAAAACCTGTATAAAAAATGCATGAGAAAATTAGACCTCCGATTTGGAAAAACCAGTGTTCTGTTGTTTCTATAATCCAATTATCTAAGTTGTCACCTCCATTATGCAAATGATTTATCATTGGATCTCTTGATACTGAAATTAGAGCAATGTGAACCCCATGTGAAAAACTGAACTATTGATCTTGCAACTGTGTTATATATGGCATTTCATATTTGCTGTCTAGTACCAAACATGTAAAGATTTTATGTTCAAGCCTTTTTCAGTTCTTGCATATACAAGCTTTATTTTCTCAATGAATTTGAAAAATGTTTTATTGTTTTGCAGGATTAGTTGGGTGATTATAGTTGTAATAGTGAAACTTGAGTGTGTTGTCCATTTATCACCATGATAACGTCCGTCTTTGTTTACAGGTGCTTCCCATGGAGACAGCAGACAAACCACCTGAAGATGGTTGCTATGTGAATGGTCTATATTTGGATGGGGCTCGGTGGGATAGAAAAAGGTAATTTATCAAAAGTGCAAACTTATTTTGTTGAGCTCATGTGGAGTTCTTCCCTGTTGATTTATCAGTTTGAGTTCTGAAGATCATGGCTGGAGAAATTCCTTGGCCTTGCTGACCGAGATATTGATTTATTGACTCGAATCTATAATCTAATCTCCTTTATTTTTTCTCAAGCTGAAATATTTTATTGTTCCCTAACAACGGAAGAGGATTTTGCCTATTGGAAAGAAAACCATATTACTGAACTTGAAAATACAAAAGATTATGTATCTCTGAGAAACTAATGCAAATGAGGCAACTTACTTATATATACTTTTGTATGTTGCAAAAATGTACTAGCCTATTCCTTCTAAAACCTTTTTTATGACTGATCAAGTAATTTACAATGATGCCACCAATACTGCTTTATGTGAAGTTGATAATTCCGCTGATACTATGGTGTGGCCTTAATTGTGTGAGATTGTGAAAGAGATCAGATCAGAGTCATAAAATGTCACTAAGAACTTAAATCCAAGAAGATAAGTCACATTTGTCACGTTCATTCATTACCATGATTGGCAAATTAGTATCCAGGCCCTTTTGCTGTAGAACTCCTTAAACTGGCTCATTACTCATTAAAGGAGGGATCATTTCCAAATGGCAACAGTTGTTCATCATTTTAATTCCCTCTCTCTCACCTTAAGAAAATATCAAAATGTTTGTTTTCTAATTTTTCCCTTTGTACACTTGATAATTTTCGAAATGCAATCATCATTTTTTTCCTTGTTCTCGCGTACAATAATTAATCAGAATTTCTCCCAACTGTCAATATTCAGACACGTTCCCTAAGTAGGCTTTATTGGCTAATGATATTTCCCACCTTGGGAACATGCATGGTGTTTTGTATGAGGCATGTGGGACTTAAAATGAAACCTTCTCATCTATATTATCTCTGTGATTATCCTTCTTGCTTGTAAGAATTGTGTTAAGTGTAATTTCTATCATTTGTTTTGCATACTAAAGTATGTATGTACTTTAACATCTTACTATGATCCTAAACGCAGATTCAATCTTGTATGTTGGAAGTAATTGAATTTATCTCATGTATTTCCAGTGGTGTACTAGGGGAGCAGTTACCTAAAATACTATACGACAGCATGCCAATCATTTGGTTAAAACCAAGCAAAAAGGATGAAATTGACACTAAATCTGTGCGCTATTTATGTCCAATATATAAAACAAGTGAACGTAAGGGAACATTGTCAACCACTGGTCACTCTACGAACTTTGTACTCCCGATACTGTTACCATCAGACAAACCAGTGGAACATTGGGTTAAGAGAGGATGTGCCCTCTTATGTCAACTGGATGATTAAAAACTTCAATTTATATTTAGTCTTGCATCAAGCCCTTGTGCCCCCACCCCCTTCACCACCATGATATACAAAGCTTCTACATATGTGGTTAGTGGGAGGGGACAGAGCCTTGGTGCAAGATAACTTAATTTAAAATAACCTGAGAAAAAGTAATGATAAATACTACATGTACTATAATCATAATATCAATATGTTAAAGAATATTGACTATATGAAAGAACAAAAAGAAAGGGAAACAAGAAATAATGTACTTTGCAAATGCACATTTGCCAAGTATTTATGAAAATGAATAAAATTGTAGTAGTAATTGTAGATTTACCAGTAGTAATCACAGAATGTATCATCTATCACGTGTCATATTTGCGAAATGTGAAACAACTTAACAAAGTGTAGTTTTATTAAAGATGGAAATTCATCTAAATTATGAGAGCTTATTTTCCAAATATACAAATTTTAATCTTCTATAAAATTATAAATGTAGATTTTTTCATCCATAAAACCATGTGAGACATTTTAATCAAATACTGAGCTTTTAATCTTGGAAGATGAAAAATATTATGATTCTTCCTTTCCAGAATAAATGCCACTGTTTCCTCAAAGGTAGTTCATTGACTCTACATGAGCACTATTCTAAGGTTACAAAGAGTAATATTCACTCATGACATTTATTTTACAAGTCTCACTCCTTAGAATATGCAAGTCATTACAAAGCCGTCCATTTTATACATAGATAGAAAGATATATAAAGTACAATAAACCTATGTAAGTGGAACTCATTTGGTTCTTCAAAGTAGTGTTTCACTTGGGAGGTATTCCATTTTACAGATTTACTGTTATGTAATGAAATGCTTATACAGAGATGTAATGTTATTGAGCAAGGTACCTTGGTAAAGTATTTGGTGACTGATTTACAATACTTGTAAATATGTTTTTGTAAATACTGTATATTATGAAATTTTATTTCTACTCATCCGTCCAAAGGTATAAGAAATTATAAATTGCATTGTTATTGATGCTATGGTCAGCTTTGTTAAGTTTACATCACAACCGTCCAACAATATACACATATTTACAGATTTAAAAAGGAAATTGTGGAAAAGGATTAGTATTGTGTTTTGAATCCTTTCTGTCAGTAAATCACTATCTTATAATATTGTTGTTTCATTTTGTATAAATTGAAATGTGTTTTACTGATTTGTATATATTGTAACATAAAATATTTTATATTATGTTCAATGTAAATACTGGCAAGATAAATTGAAGTGAAATAAATACAGCATAAAAGTATAAAGTATAAAAGCGTTTTGTGAGGTAGATTTGATGCAAAAATCTAGTAAATGTTGTTGCATTTTTGAGAATAAGAAATGAAAAATGATGTAGCCTATAACGACATAATCATTTCTTATGTCATTGAAATCTACAGCCTACTCTACAGTCCGTTAAACCTACAGTCTCTTCTACAGTCCCATGCCTGGATAACACCTCTGATGTTTCACAATAGGTTAGCTTCAGGAAAGTAAGCCACGAGAGGTCAAGTAAATGATGACGCCTATGTATTAACTGATATGAAAATCCATAAATGACCTTGCAAGATTGATTAGAACTAAAGTGTTGATAAAGTTAGGCCTAAATGAAAAGTCATTGAAGTGTCAAAGAATATTTTAAACAAAACCATTCCAGGCTAACCTACATGTTTAACACCATAAAAGGCAAACTGTAACATGTAGGCTATGAATTAATATCATTGATACACAAAGGTAAAGAGGGGGGGAGGGGATGGGCCAAGAAAAAAATTGGGCCAAAACAAAACTGTTTAAGGCCCCCAACAAGGCGGCCTCTGGGCATTACTGGACCTTTTAAGGGCTCATTTTTTAATTTTAGGCCAAATTATCAAGAAAATGTGCCTTCAATATTCAAAACTTTTTGGTTTCAGGGGCCTAAACTTTTTTCCACACAAGCGCGGTAATTTCATTTACAGACTTGAAATATGCCCCCCCCCCCCTTTGTTGGTTTCCAGATTAGTCCCTGAACAAACACCACTTTATGCTATAATAACTCCATTATTTTAGGCCATATATAAGTACACCATTACAAATGAGTGAATAGAGAATTCGTAATTATTGATTTCATGTTGACAGGGGCAGCTAAATTTCAAGAATTGGTAATCTCTGAATCAAGAATAATGTGTGATCAAGTATTTGGCATCAATAAAAAATATATGGTCCCTGTCCCTATCCCAAGCCAGTTTTGTTTCATAAATCAAAGACTCATTTGTGGAATGCAGTCCCATCATCTGGATGGAATGTCAACTTTTCACTTTTGCACCCCTAAGCTCAATGCAGAGATCTCAGTTCCATCATGGACTTCAAATATTAATATACTAGTCTATAACTTGATGATACTTCACTAAAACTTACTCGAGTCTCTAGCCAACTCAGTGGCCATAGAATATGGTAAACTAAAACAATTTATCATTTGAAAAGAATGCCCACTTTTATCTAAAATTTTACTTTACATTCTTAGAACATGTAGAAATATTTTAATTATTTAAAGTTTGAATTTCCCGCCAAAAGATACAAATGAGGAGATGCAGTTGTCATAGTAATTGAACCTAATACGTTTGGATTTTTGAGCTCACGTTTTGATGACGTCATTAGTTTATGCACACATTGAAAAAAGAATTTCTGTACGGATGTGAAGGCCAGTATCTCTGATTATTCGTGTTTTTAAGGAGGATTAACTATCTAAACATACAAAATGCCATTATTTGGCAAAAATAAAGACTCGGGTGGAAAGTATGAAAGTGATATAAGGAAAAGATTTGACTTCAAAAGTGATGTTTTGGGAACGTAAGTTTGAATAATTTTTTCCACTTCATGTTGTTTGTTTTCATTCGAATCAATTTCATTTCTGATGATGAAAAAAAATTGTATTTCCAGACTCACAGCTTTCATTTCATTTGATTTATTTTGATAATTAAGAATTAAAGCATGACTTTCTGTAACGATTCTGTGTATGATCAGCATATATACACAATTAGATTGAAGGCATCTGTTTGATTCATTATTGTCAATCCCAAACCTCGAGGCCTGTTCTGTTTTTCTGCAAGTTCATGAGGCTATAGATCTAATGCCAGTAATAAGTAATATGACTTCCATCAAACTTCGGCCTAGCATCATTGTTTTCATTATTTTATCTTGGAGCTGTGTTTCGTCTATGTTCCTTGGCTTTCGACTACTGTCCTTACTGCGACGAGTTGAATTACGCTAGAGCCTTGACTCTATTGGGATTTGATGAAAACTGAAAAACATTTTGAATGGGCCATTCCTAATTCTCAAACTTCTTTGCTTTGCTATGCATTATCTGCAGATCATCTGTAAGGTTTTGATCCCAAATAGATACCTGAACAACAGGCTCACTAATGTGCTACAAGAAATAACACTTGCAATTAAATGTCAAATATATGAATACTGAATACATAATTTTGATAATACCTTATTACAAAATGTCTTAAAGGTTATGACTTTCAGGATAATCTTTACAATTTTTAAGTTTGTCCATGAAAAAAATTAAAAGGGGGATGTTGAATGAATTTGGACATTTCCACTTAAATATTCAATAACTTCCACATTATTTCAATCAGAAATCTCAATTCTGATAATGATTTTTTTAAATGGTGAGTTGAGACTGAGAAACAGTTTTGTAGCAGTATGTTTTTCTTTGAGGAATAAATTTCCCATACAAAGTTTTCTACATTTATAAATATCATAAAAATTAGAGAATGTTTTGATAACTTTATGATTTTGAACTCCTTCGTATATGTTTAGAAAATATTCTTAATTGTCAAAATAAGTATGACAGTGAATCCTGGGTTCTTATTGAATGGCGCCCCCCCCCATGCTCACTCAATTTACCCCCTCCCCCTGCTTGCTTCACCCCCTTGTTCCCCCCTGCTTTGTTCACCCGCCCAGGGTCCTCGATCTAATCATAAACAGGCCAAGGGAAGAAGTCTTCGATTTTAAGGCAGCATGGGGGAGGTGGTTTGACATGCACCCCAGAAGATGCAGGGACAGGAGGCTTTAAGGAAACTGAACAATGAATACTACAACCATATTATCAAATAGTATTATTAAATAAAAGGTTTTCTAAATGAGATTTGATGTGTTTATTTACATTTTACAAGTGAAGAAATAGTGACCCTGTGGGAGCTGCTGAAGTACATTTGACAAAGCAAGCGATGGGAGCAGCAAAAATTGACCCAAAAATCATGCAAGCGAAGCGAGGGGTGAAACTTGTTAAAAAATCCCCCCCCTGATATGAAAAAATCCTGGGGAGATCACTGGAATCAGTAAAAATTGTCTATTTTACATTGGCGAGGATAGAATACTTTTTCAGCCATGATTGATCATGTGTGTGAAACAAGTACAATTGCTTTTTAGTAATTGCCAATACAAAAAACATCTGATGATTTATGTACTACATAGTTATTCAGTTCCTTTCTTCTGTTTCAATATTACATTGTACTACTATCTGAGAAATATTCCCTTTTTACTGTCACTGGGGATGTGGTTATCATGTCATAGAAATCATGAGGAAGAGGTCATAGTTAATTTCAGGCACATCTTGGCCAATCCATTTAATTTTTTGTACCTGGTAGTTCTCATTTCTACAGCACAGATGAAGGAAAAATAGTGTGGGCTTTTAATTTGATACAGAAAAGAGGTTCTTGTACTGGATATGAGATGAAAGAAACTATTGCTGTTGAGCGTAGGAAGATCCAGGGCTCTTGTTTAGGATTTGCAAGCAGCTGGTTAAAATGGCATAAGGCACCAGTAGCAATGTTATTTTTCAATGAGATAACAAAATATGAGCTTGCATCTAATAATATATAACCTGATGATGATCAATGGACTAGCTAAGACCTTGTTCAGATCTAAAGGTCCAGCCCCGTGAGACATGATTTTAAATGTCAGGGTTATGTAATGTTGTTATAGTTGATAGTTGCTAGTCAGATCTGATAGCTAAGATATTGGAGTAAGTGCTTCATATAACCACAAGAGATTACTCACTTAGAGCCCAGATATGACTACCCTTTGCTAGAATCAGAGCATGTCATCTCTCTACAATGGTTCTTTGGTTCTGGATGTAGACACAGGGCTCTCGCCAGGCCTTTAGACTGTGGTGCAGCACCACACTCTATTTAGCTCCCTCCACACCCTATGGGCAAATCTTTACTGTTTCCACAGTCTAAAGTCTAAACTTGACTGAATAATGAATATACAATAATAACATGTAAAAAGGATAAAACAAAACATAAATATGATTTATCACGATTGAACGGTTATTCTGAAGATGTTAGTACCACACCCTAAATATTTCCTGGTGAGAGCCCTAAGACATGAGTTTTGCTCTGTGGAACTCATTGATTGGTTGGATCAATCTGTAAAGTGATATGTCTTAGTCAGAGAGAAGTGTACTTACTAATTAGATCAGGGTAAGATATGAACAGCAGAAGTTGAGAATGTCATTCACATGATTATACAATAAGTATAAAGGACAATGAAAAGCTCTTATTTCATTTGTAATCAGCGTGATTATATTGAAATAAGAAAGAAATGTCAAGAGACACTCTCCCACGTGTGAACTTCAAATCAAAAGTGAAATATGAGAATGATGATTTGATGCTGTTTTCTATCCTGCCTATAGATTCAGCGCCCTTTCCAGGATCATACTCAGCTCTGTGCTGTGTTAGAAAAATATAAAACCATTTCTTCTTTTTCGATATTTCCAATTATCTCCCTCCTCCAAAACTTCAATACATTATGAATCATTAAAGCAGCACTGTTGCTGTTGAAACTTCATCCGTTCTTCCCTGTACAGTACTTGGTATTTCAGAGGTTCTGGATGAAGTTTGGGGTCTTCTTGTAGTGTCTTGTCAGTTTTATACAGTAATTTCTCAAATTATGCAATTACAATACATTTTTGAAACAATTGGAATTCACAAATTTATGCAGTTTTTATTCTTGGATTAGTGCTAAAATTGCAATCGGTATTGATATTGAAATAGTAAAAAATGCCAGGATTGCATGTCAAGATGGGAATGAAGTAGGTTTTCATTTCTTCATTGTTCATGTTATCTTGTCCTCATTAGGCCATGTTACAGCCATATTATAATATATGGAGCAATCATATACTTCATCATATATTTTATGGCGTAAGATACAGAAACTATAATGATAATGTTAAAGGCCCTATTTATTTGTTAATCTTAAAATACTTGAAGCTGAAACCAATGGCACCTTGAAACCAATGGTACAGAAATATTTGAAAAATAATAAACACTACATTTAATTTAGAGAATGTTTATGAGAGAGAAAAAATGATGAATTTTGTGAAGAAATCATGCACCCTAAATAAAATAACTTTAATAATTTTAAGGGATGACATCATAATCTTCAAAATGCTCAAATTTCTGATATATACATAAAACTGAAATAATTTAACCTTTTCTTGATCTTTGTTACTGAGTCAATAATAGATATACATTACGGACTGGGGATTATATTTTATTAATATTTCCTGCTTCTTCGTGGGAAGTTCAAATATTTGGAAATTAAATTATCAACTACATTTTTTTCAAAGTCCACTTTTTGAGAAATGTCTCAAACGATTTTTTAAGTTATTGCAAATGATATTTGGATAATTCAACAATATTTTCAAACTTTACAAAGGGCCTTTAATGAAGGAATAGAACAAGACAATAACTTGATACAAGTTTCAACTCTCAGTGAAGAAATTTTTGCAGTCACTTTGATTCTACCACTTTGCATCACCACTCACATATTTATCTACCACTTATTTTGTTACAACTCTGATACCTCATCAATATTTAACACTCATATGAATTATTTGGCACCAGTTGCTTATGGTAGTAGTTCAGTAAGTGCAGAGTTGTGTCTATCAATTTCTATTCTTTGTAACTATGATTCAGCTACTCATTAACAGTTTCAAAGCACGATTACAGCAAGATGAATAATATATAGTATGGTTGGTTTGACAACAAAACAAAACACAATTTTATATCACAACGAAAATGTGGTAACATATTGTGGGCATTTAGACATCATTATTTTCAAAATCATCTACATCTGACTTCAGATTTGAGATTTGACTTTCAATGACCTTCTGAAGGTCAAGGTCAACTTGCTTTGCTTCAAATTGATCGACTGTTTTTCAATATCATGTGCACAATTTCCCAGAAGTTCAAATCTGCGGTGATTAGTTATATAATGCAGTGCAGTTATATGAAATACTGTATTTGGATTGGCTTGAATCGAATTGCCTAGATAAGTAGATATGTGTAAAAAATGCATAAAATTGTAGATTTAATGGTTAAATAATATATAATGTCTCAAATCATGAAAAATAATATTTCAATGATTAAACTATATTTACAAACTTTGGATGAGGCCTTAAACTAACTGCTAAAATTGGTAGATTTTTCAAAGTGAGATTTTCTTGCTTTACACTTTTTATCACTTCCAGGCTATGTAGTATCAGTCAGACTATATATTAATCAATAAAAGGCACCAAAACAAATTTTCAGTAAATCTGATATATTAAGCTGGCCTTTCTTGTCAGCACAAATATTTATATTCTTACATATTTATGTTATTGATTTACATATTTGTATTGATTTTCTTCCTGGCTGATCTGCCTTTAACAAGTTCATAGTTAAATAAAGCTTGTATGAATAATGCCATGATTAACCCAACACTAAATATTATAAGTCACCATCATGATAAGTGAACCACCAATGTTGATGAATTGATAGAGCAATGGAGGAACA